AACGGTCGCCGAACAGCCAAAAGCAAACGTCTATCTATCTTGAGGCTGCAAGTCCACCGTAATTAAAGCTATCCAGTCGTCTGGAAAAGCTATCGCAAGCCACCATCCCAACGCGGCTACAAGCCAAGCGTTGGAAATGAGGAGAGTCGTTCCCTGACACCTAATTGCCGAAAGACCACGGGCGTGGCGCGGCCGATCCCAGAGGCTCTCGCAGTTCACCATCATCACCTTTCCCCACCAAATTTGGCATCACATGGGTCATATGAGCACCCGCCGTGCTTCAACTTGCTTTAACCCCACGTGTCGACTAACTATGTCATGATGCGATCCCGGCTTCGACAAAAGCAGAAGCCTTCCGTGGAGCCAAGCGCACGGCGACGAATGGTATTGACGCACGCCAATTTTGATAGTCTTGTTTGACAAAAGGCCCTCGTACAAGGCGTCCGAAGCCCTATTTGCAGATCATAATTCTTGAGACTGGTGTACCGTACTCCGGACCTTTTTAACCTTAGCGACGAAGTCAGGTGGGTTTGCGGTAAACATTCGAAGCTAGGTATCCTGAAATCGATGTTCATCTTTGTTGTTGTCTATTGTCTGTTGTGTGTAGGTGGGATCATGTAAACGGCATTCGCTCGAGGGCCCCGATTAGGAGTCATGGTGCGATCAAGTTAAGGATGGACAGGTCAGTTGCTCAAAGAAAACATGGTACTGAAAAGCGATATACACCGACCTTTTCGACGGGCCGGGGTTTACCTAAAGCGATGCGCTCGGCAATGGACTCGTTCGGGCCGGGGAAGTACTCGTCTGCCGTATAGCTAGTTGTTGTTCGCGCCGGCTGCTGAAGACAACAGGGGAAATGCTGCACTTGCCTCACTTCGGGAGCTCGGGGTTCAGGGGCTAGTCGTCCAATGCCCTTGACAGAATGCCACAGCTATATCAAACACGAGTATCTCTCTCTCTCTGTGTGCATCGTATCGCTCTCGCTGCTAACGGGAGGCGTAGCGGGGTAGCGATGTGACACGGCACTCCAAGGTCTTTGATATCGACTGCATTGAGTACTCTTATTACGCCGCAGATCCTCTTCATGTACCGCGGATGCACTGGTATAAAAGATGTGCAGGATATCTAAAGATGCAGGGCGGCGGCGGCGGTGACAGCGGAACGTGCCATGAATGCAGAAGAGCTCAAATCTGGATGGTCAGTGGGACCTTAGTCTGTCCTGACCTGGTCTTCGGTGGCCATGAAGTCGGAATAAGCCCTCGGCATTATGACAACTGCCCGCCTTGCATCGTGGGGTAGGCATGTATTTGGGTATTTGGGTATTTGGCCAGGATGCCCAGCGGCTACTTCCTCTCTCTAACACAGGAGCGCAGGAGTGTAGGGGTCGCCCATATTGCGCTCCAGCTCATTAAGGAGGGCCAATCGCAGAGATGCGCTTCATGCAAGTTGTAAATCGTTGGCAGACGGGAGAGATGGTCCGGAAGCCGATACAGTGATGACGCCTCGGCCCCTACCTCTGCTCACATATGTATGAATGTGGGAATGCGGTGCAGCCGACGTGGGCGGTCTGCAGTAGGATGATGGATGAATGAATGAATGAATGAATGGACGAGGAATAATAATAATAACAATAACAGTAGTGGCTTGACCTTGGGCAAGACGGATAGGAACATGAACTTACTACAGAGCAGGCAGGCCTTCTAAAACAGATACCCCGGCGTTTTGAGGCTTTTCCCAAGTTGTCTACATACCTAGGTAGGTACATTAGTACTTGGTACAAAACCCACCACTGACCCAGGTACCTACATACACTACATAGGTACCAGCATGGCTGCTACAGGTACCTCCTAGTGGAGCGCACTACAGTACTCTAGGTAGGTAGGTAGGTAGGTAGGTAGTTACCGTATCGGTCTGCATGCATCTTGTTCAAATCTCGTCCGCAGGACCCGAGGCCCTCCCCTGCTATGCACATTGCGTTCGCGAAGATTGCTTGCAGTCCAGCGCCCCCCCAAAATATCAGATTAAATCACGCCACAATGTTTCAGGGGTTCAGGTTGACTGTTGACCGTTGGCTGTTGGTTGTTCGCTTCTTGCATACAAAGTAGGCATGTAATTGCTTGGGTGTTTATACGTCATCAGTAAACCCCCAGGTCTACGTGAAATCGAGTGACCTGCCGAATGAGGAATCAAATAGGCCTGGACAGGACAATATATCCTCTGAAATCCCTGGATTCCCATTGGCTATCTACATAGTAAGTACTGCACACGGCTGACTTTGGAGTTTCTGACTGGTTACTGTAACAAGTCAACTGGTCTTTGTCTTGTAGGGTGCCGAGTGCTTACGATGAATCCATAATAATACATTGGGCCTAGGCATATCCAATGGAGCTTGTTGAGCTAGCTACCTGATCTAGTACTGTAATAACTCCTGCAGGACCCCTTTTCGTCTTGAGCCAACAAGCATATCCAATACATACAGCTTATACCTTATACTGACTTGGTGAATTGTCAGTCAACCTGTGGATTACTAGAGTGCGTTGTTTTTTTTTCCACTGCTATGCAAGCCAACAACAGCCAAAATATCTCAATATGGCCCTGCATTAGAAGACAGGTCTTTTGCCGTAATTCCGAGTGGGCAGTTGTAACGTTGCAATGCAAGGCTTACAATAGAGCCTTGTGCCACATGTCATATCGAGGTCATGTTTTCCCACCACTTGCCGTACATTCTTGTTCCTTTTCCCTGTGAACTTGTTTCTACTAAGCAAGAACTTGTCTTTCGGCGTGAAACTTGGTATTCTTCTCGGCTTACTGGCACTAGAGGCTTGAGCCAGCACTAGGTTTGGCCCAGACACGGACATACTGGCCGCAGTGACATATTCTACTTTACAGAACTCCTATACTCGTTTGTGTTGCTGAAATACTATAGTTTGGATATAATTTCTGGCCTCGTTGAAGCCAATAACAACGCCCCATGTTCATATTAATAGTCCTTCTTAGTACTATAAGAGTAACTCACGCATTGTAACTGACGGTTTAAGCAAGTTATAGTATATAAGTGCTTATAGGCATATATACTACGGTGACCACCCTATGTTCTTCATAAGTTATAACTGTTTCAATGAGACAGTGTATCCTAGCATAAAACTTGAAAGTCTAGCAGGCTTGTTTCGGATATACGAATTCAAGTTAAGTATAACGGCTATTATCGGAATTGTGTGCATGTCCATAATGTTTCGTAGTAAGATCCAGAAACAAGAAAAGGAGTGAAACTCCCCAGCAGATCTGACATTCCCATGATGCATGTTGACTGTGTGGTTACCATACCTTCCAGTGTTATAACGAGTTTGTGGAGTTAAGTAGGATCTTCACGTAAGTTTATTTTGAGATACAAAATAGATGATACTTTACACTATAGCTGGTGCAGCACCAATAATCTCCTGCCTATATTTTACTCTCAACATCCCAACTCAGTCTACTGAATTTCTTACAAGCCAGACATCTACTCAAGCGGTTGGCAACATCATTAAGCTTGAGTCTATTTCGCCACCTACGAGTTATCAACCTAGAACCATTTAGTATAACTGAGCATTTTTGTTGCACAGTGAGCTTTGGATAATCAACTAGAAGTCGGTACTATGTATAAAGCACATTTTCCCAATCTCTAAGGAGTTATAGTATAAGATGCGTGCTGCTAGAAGGCCAATTTTAACAATAAAATTGGTGAAATCAGAAATAAGGCATACGAAAGATAAAATTGCCATATTAAGCATAATATAAATAGGATTCAGAAACCCATGAGTCCCAATACGGAACGCCTGACTCAAAGCTGACAAGGATGACGGTTAATAATCCATTGAACGACTATAATCATTTTCAGATAATCAAAACTGCCGAGTGCTTACTTATAGCATTAGTATCAATCTCTCTACACATGGTATCCCCGTACCTGGCTACCTCATGCCAGAACATTCGCCCCTTACAACAGACGCTCTTACTACCTTGGCCGCGCAACTTCAAGTTTATCAAGTCTAAAGCCCTTGACTTAAATACTGTCAGCAACTTATACTGTTTGATGAGGTAGAAAGAGCTAGCAGTCCTTTAGCACTGTCAAGCTCGCCTACTGCAAAATTATCTTTGCAGCACGGAGCCATATCACTACTTTGATCTGAAGTCTTGCTAGGCTAGGAACTTCAAATTAACAACCTGCAGGATTATAGTATCTTTAAAGTTTCACTACACCCGACTCATGTAGTTTCAGGTCATTTTTCGTATCTTTAAGAATACTAGCTCTCTGACAAGCTATAAGTTATAATCAATGAATATCTACTTCCTGAAGACTATCTGAGATGTGGCCGACATATCTCGTACTAGGGAATTTGAAACTGGAAGTACACGACTAGAAGGAACCTGATTGTATTTACTTCTGACCTTTTGTGCTGTACTTATACCCCTGATGCGATTTATGACACTTCGCATATAGTTTACTCAAACTCCCCTTCAATAGAAGAAGACATTGCCTGTTACAGATTGAAAAGGGGGCACAGTAGGACCCAGTCCCTTCAAATTATCATTTAAAGCATTGTGGTTATACTGGCAATAGCATTCTGGAAGAGATAGATCCAATAGTCATCACATTGAGCTCGTACGAAGGGCCGAGACCCGGAGCTGTAAATATTGAATCCCATTTATCCCCTACAACAGGATATTAATCATGAATGTAACCATGATATCGAAGATAGGGAAAACTTACAGTGTATACTATCAAGATGCAAGCTTAGCAGATGAGTTCAAGGCGATAACGACTAAGGCAACTAGTGTTTAGGAAGAGAATATACCTATTGTATTGTCAAGAATTAGTAAATCGGAGGAAGCTATTGATCTATTGCTCAATAACATCGACCAAACCAAAAAGACTTTCTTCATGGCTAGCGGTCCCCTAACAAGAGGTAATATGTTACCGTCATTCACAAAACAATTCTAGTGCTGTCATACAAGCGTTGGGATTCACAAGGCAGTGAGATTGGAGTTTTTAATTATTCTACATAAAAGGGGTATCATCCTGCCATCTTGCCATGCGACCAACTTAAATGCCTTTGGTAGTATGGGGTTTTCGAGCGTTCTGGTTTCCGTGGCTCAGTATCTTCCACGACTACAGTCGTGATAACTTCCATTTGAATGCCACTACGTTCCACGGGCAGTGCCAGGGATGTCTGACTAGCATTCTTCCCGCCCTCGGAGGGACGCCGGACATGAGTCTCGGGATCGCCCAGTATCCGCCACCAGCCGCCAGTAGGCTGTGTTCGAGACTCCTCGTCATCGCCGCCTCGTACCCAAATCGTATTTCCGAACGTTTGTGGTTTTAAAAATGCAAATGTATTAACGCCCGTGTCCTCGCTCCCGAACTCTTCGGTGTGCGCGAACACGATCGATCGGCGTGTCGTCGTGAAGAGGAGGACATCCAGCCAGCCGTTGCTAGCCACTAGCGCTCCCGCAGCGCAGAAGTACCCAAGCGATGGTTCTCTCCCAGCCATTGTGGACACACGGCCAATCGCTAGCGGTAATATGCATATCAAGTAAATAACTGGGTAAATCAAAAAGACCGGATGGTGGTAATCCTTGTTTTTCGTGGTGCCGATGCTACCTCGTCTGTACTGCCGTCGCAGGGACAAGTATATAGCTGTATAAAGTATCCAAGACAGGACGATGGAAATAAATATGAAGATGTAATGCGTAAGTAGACGGATATCGCCATACTTCTTATTAACCCAGCACTATAATGAGCGACATAAGCATTCCTTCTTCGACCTATTCCTCAACTAGGGATACTGTGACTTACCCAAGCTCCGGCACGGACGTAGAAGCCTCCTGCCGAGGCGCCGTTCAAGGTGCCAGCTATAGGCAACAATGCTATAAGATATACAAATGCCCATATAAAGAGAATATAATAGTAGAGAGTTTTATGCGGAGGGCGGTATTTGTACACAATTGAGTAAAAAGTGTGAATGGCGATTGCTGACATGAAGAGACTTGAAGCAAGGTCGCCTATAGATACGAAGAGACCTTGAGTGAAGCAAGTCCTGGTTCCGACCTCGATTCCATCTCGAAGGACCCAGGATACGTTGAGAAAAAAAGCGGTCGCTTGGTGCAAGTCGGCTATGAGCAGGTTCAAAAAGAGAACCATGAATTGGTTCGGATAAAGGGGTCTGTTTGACCTCTCCGATGGCACAAGTGACTGGGCATCAACCGTTGGCTCTGAACCGGCGAGCCGGGCAGCATCGTGGGCAGGTCCGAATTTGATGGGTCCGGTCGCAAACATGTGCCCAGGTGCTTTTCTTCGAGAACTTTTGGGTGTCCATCTCCCTAACCGCCATGCTATTAACTTATAGGTTAAGTAAAGTAGTAGTCCTGATACTGAGATGAAGGACGCCAGAGCAAAGACACTGATGGCGATAGAGCCCGTGCGTACCACTGTTGGTAAGGGGCTCAGAGTACCGATGTTGGCATAGCCCGTCGCCATAGTGAGGTGGACTGAACGTCTCAGTCTAGCCTTGGGGCTCGTCTCCGGGTATCGTCAGATTAGACTGTGGCCAAGCCATAAGAGGTGCCTCAACGAGCGAAGACCCGAGGCATGTGAATCATTGACACTTTGTTATGTTAGTGGAGGAGAAATAATCCAAGAAAGAGACGATGATAAATAAGTTCCAAGCCCATTAGTTTTGCGCCACCCTTTACAAGTCCCGGAACGAGAGCTTTTGAAGTGGCTTTCCTGGCGACGACTTGTCTTTCCCAAGTAATTCGGGGTCCTCCTCACTCTATAAGAGCCAGAGGATTGCATTTGACAACAGTACGCTAACTGTAGCATGGTTTCAATGTATTTAACCACGTGGGTCAATGTTGCCCTTAGCGTCCTCTCAGCTCCATTGTGTGTGTGTGGAGGGAGCTGCAAGAAATACAAAACATAGCTTTGGGTTGAGGAACGACACATGATTTGTTGACACCACCGCAGGGCTCCGAGTCATTAACTTAGCACTATCTCTTGGTACGGAGCCGACTACAGTACCTGCAGGATCGACGCTTGACTACATTTGCTCTGGCAAACACTGGTGGAAGGATCGCATTCTTTTGCGTATGGAGTACGATTAACATGTTTCTTTGTATTACACTTCTAGAAGGCTCGCATCCTATTCTCGGAGATCGTCATGAAATCGACGTAACGAGACTACTTTGTGTGTACCGCGCGAACGGTAACGCCTTGGCGCACCTCTGTTCGACATGGAACAGGCTTAGAAATTTTACCTTGAGCCGTATTTCATAATACAAACCAATATGAACTTTTTCATAGGGAAGTAAGCTCTGACAGGGCTGATTACTCTAAACGTCCATGTCGATAAAAATAATACAGCTGACACTGTTATCCACAAAGCCACAAGCCATCATCAGCACGATTACCCAATGACGCACTGTTCTAGGCATAACAGGCAACTACCTAGATGGCTATCTTCTCGTTTCAATGAGTGCGATGAGTTCCGAAGCTACCGCCGGGATTTAGGGATGCCAGCTGAACTGATAAGATCAACCACTAGAGAAGATGAGTCTTCTTAGCGTATAGATGATCATGGTGATACTGAAAGGGATGAGATGTACAGGTAGTAAGTTTACATGCAAAGCTTGATATCTTCGTTCTGTTAGGTCAACATCGACTATGTAGTATAACTTCTGAGAAGCTATCTTCGGATTGCTATAAATGCCGGGGTAGCTCAGGTCGAGTCTAGTCATACCATATACACTAGCGCACGTTAGGTGTTTTTTTCGAAGACGCCGAGCCGACGACGGCTTAGGCAGAGCTTTATCTCAGAACCAACCAGTTGGAATACATATATGCTCCCCGACTCAGGAAAGAGCCGTTCAAACAGGCCTGCGCGGCTACTATCTACAGAGCGCACGCAAAGCGTAGTGCGATGGCTCCCTGCCTAGACCTTGCGAGTCAAGTGTTCTCGTCCTGTGCTTCTGGAACAGGACAACAGAGCCAATACCTCCACCGGGACGACCGTGACTAGCACAAACCCAACGAGTCGGTAACGCATTAAAGTAACTTTGGTTACGGGTTTATTACCAACTGCAGATCCCACTCTGGACTTTCCACTAGCGAGATGCTGGGTTTCTGCTTGTCTGCTTGTCTGTTCATAGACTAGCCAAGGATGGCCTAACATTGACCCCATCATTTGCCCTTGGCAAAGGATTATGCGAGAGTTTACATGGCCGATGCCAGGTGCTGTAGTGCGTGTACACTCAAGGAATTGTTGAATCCTTCGTTCACCGATCGAGGCTGAACTCAAGAAAGACCAAGACAAAAGGGAGGAAGATCCGATAACAGCACACGATGGCCTATCGAAATTCGTATTGGAGGCTTAGGTTTGCCTTATCTCCCTAGCTAGAGAGGAGGAAAGGGAAGATACGAGCCAAGGTCAGAATAGAAAGCCTTCTACCTACCAAATCTTTGCCTAAAATAACGTCCACGATAGCAAACGCTGAGAGCGGTGTTATGGACGGGCATGGGGGGCGGGGAGGGGGTGGAAAGATTAATAATCTGTCATATCAAAGCTCCTATTGGTAAGCACTTAAACCGTCTCAGATATTGGTGATACACACCTACAGCCTGAGCGTACGTGTAGCTACCTCTGTCTGGATACCATGTTCTATGAAATTCTGCATGTATTTAGTAGGTAGGGTCACGATGACCTACTATACGACGTGCTTTTTGAAATGCATGTAGTCGGACTAGCAAAAGTCCAGTACGTTATGCTGCATTGCCTGCCTGAGTCGAGCTTTCGGCCCCTGGACAAATTACCCCGGGATCTTCAGGCGCTACCGAGTGGTTGGGTCAAGATTGAATGATCCCCGTCTTTCTATCCAGGTCACCTTTCTCGCGTCTCACAGCTGACGCCGCGTGCTAGCTTCATCATCGTTCACGTGGCTTTTCGTTCTGGGTTGTAGTCGACGACTGCGTCATAGCGTGCTCTTTCACACATGTACTACCTACCGGTAGTATAGCATGAATACTCCGTCCCTTGAACACCTTAGATTTAAAGCCATACGGTATCTCGACGTTAACCTGGTGTTGTACAGATCCGCAAGGAATCAACAACTAGCTTGTCCATTGCAAGTCGTTTTCCTACTGTGAGCCGGCTCCACGCTAATATTGTTTCCCACCCGGTGAGATACTCTTTTCATAATGCAAACAGTTCCTGTGCAAGGGGTGCAGAATATGACGGTTAATTCCAATAAATACGACACAGTATATTAAAGAATACCAAATATCTTCTAACAATAGACTAATAGACTACCAAGATTAGGTGGCAGGGTAACAGCTGAAAATCCTAGTTCAAAGGGATAAAGCAGAGTTCAATAATCTTCCATCAGTAACAGCGACAAGCTATCGTGCATTTGAAACTGACTGAAGAATATGATACCGGTACACCAGGTAGAATTGCAACAAAATTGAAGCGTGTCAACGCCACTGGTCGGGCTTAAGATGACGGGCGAATTCCGCTCCAGACCACCACCCAAAAATAACAGCACTGACCAGGCACTGACCATGGTAAATCTGCTTGCTTACTGGAACGCAATCCAGACCAATCCAACGTGCCAAGGACTGCACTGCACTCCGCACTATGATCCTCATCTAAAAAGGGAGGGGGGTTGATTGGTTCCACACAACGCTATTCTTTGGTTTTGGCTAACTACTACGTACATGTACATGCAGCTTATCGCCCATTTCTTACATGCCGTCTTATGCCGGTATACCGGTATACCGGTATACCGACATGCAAAAGACACACGCACCATGCTTCGTCTATCGGGACACTGCTACAGGTATGTATACTAGGTAAATCAGTATGACTACCAGTCCTTACTTACTTAAAGATGGTGCCGAGGACATCTGCGAACTACAGCAGAACCGAAGCGTTCGGCGGCGGCGGCGGTGGTGGTGGTGGTGAAAGACAACCCGTGCTTCATCTCACATCAATTGCTTCGCGCTGACGGTCAACAGCCTTGGCGCCACAATGCTACCCAGCACCCAGACTGAAACCTGAATTCAACAGCATGATAATCGCCTGCCCCAACAACCGCCGGCAAGAAGTTGTCAGGATTTCCACCCGGACTCCGAAGAATCATATTTCGTCCCACCCTCTCGACTTGACGCGTGCAATTTGTTCGCAATAAACGCTCGTCTGAGCGCCACGGGAAGCGGGAAGCGGCTTGATAAGCATATACTAGTAGGGCATACAATTAACTAGTTTCGAAAGCACTGAAGCCATAGACAAGTCGGACTTCAGTCGTTCTCCGCTAGCTAGCTAGCAATCATCTTTACTATAGCAGTACCTAGGCACTTGCTAACCCGGATACAGCAAGTAAGTAGGTAGGCAGACAACCCAACTTTAGCGTGATCTAGTCCCGTCCTCTGTCAATTCTACGTAGTAGGCAAAATGCTATGTCTAAGTAAGGAATGTCATGGACTTCTTGATTGCCCCCAGATATTGGGCGTTGTAAGTACTATGTATTTCGAGTTAGGACACGCCGACGCCCCTGGAACGCTTCACACGAGTTTTACTCTTTTCAGGCGAATCTCCGTCACGGCCGACAAGCGCTATACCATTCCCGTCCTCATATCCCATCGTCAAACCACAGATGCAGATAACTTAGGTCAGGTGATGGCCAAGGAGTCTAGAACATTTACACCGCGGTGCGGTTCGCGATCCCAAGCCGGGAACGAGCTGATCTTCTTAGGTCCCGGATTGCAAGAGATATATGTTATCCGGTCAGTCTCTAAGACGTCACTTAGAGAATAGCCTAAGTACTTGCTCAACAGCGCTCTCCGTGTATTTAGTATACCTATGTGGGTATGCAGAAGTGGCGTATCGCTACCCGAGTCACGATACCCGTGGTGCGGCGCTGGTGATATAAATAGACAGATGCAGATGTATGGATGTGGCGTGCGTCGGTCTCAGATGGTTAGGTAAGCTAGGATACATAATCAGCCCGCGGCCATTGTCACCGTTACAACCAACTCAACCATCCACGACCACCTATAGTTCGATGAAAAGGCACCCTTGCAATGATGTTACTACGATTGGGTTGCATTCCGATCATACCACGAAGGATCTGCCCGAGATTGATAAACGGAGGGATCTATCCGCAGCACGGCCTGGCAATAGAGTGAGTAAACTGTACCACGGCGAAATCAGATCTTGCGGTGTACATACAGTAGGATCCGACTACGCCTCACATCTGCGTTTCTGCTCACGCGCACTACTGTACCTAGCTTGTATGGATTCGCCTGCTCAGCCGCCCCATTCGAATTCCTTGGTTAAGTACGTAAGTCCTACCCAGACATATAAACTCATAGATGAGGCGATGTGAGGCGTAAAGACACAAACACTCGGCGTGGTAGTCTCTGCCGAATCGCAAAGCCGTTATCTAACTTTGGTTCTTGGAAGGGAAAAAAATTATCAACAACTTTGATTCAAGCATGACAATTGAGCTGCGTAGTTGACACGTAATGGTTGAAGGGCAATTGAGAATAGACAAGGAACGGACTCCTCCTTGTATACACGCGATGCTACTTGCTACCTACAAATCTCGCTATGCCGTATGTGCAAGAGGGTTTGATCTATTTCGTTTCTGAATCTGGCGTATCATCGCCGTCTTCAAGGAGTAAAGATCATATAGCTACAATTGCCCATAGCCATTAGCTGCTGCCCTCGTATTAAAAGTGAGGAGACAGTTCCAGTAGCTAGATTGATATGAGCATTGTCATAACCTTGACAGGCTGCTTGCTCCAATAGATTGGAGAGTTTTTGTATCACCCACAGTCACTTCAACCATACTCTGTCGAGGATAGGTATACCAATTTAGATCCCACAATCTAGATATTACTAGAGTAGCAAGTGAATGATAGGACAGTTGTTGACCTAGCATGACAAGCCCTTGAACGCCACAAACTCACCCATGGCATTCCTTTCCCTATCTTCCGCCGAGATATCCATCTACTTTACTTCTCCCTCCAAGCAGTCTCACCTCTTGTTTCTAAACTTGCGGGGTAGATATTTTATTACTCTTTTACTGGCTAAACTGTCGCCCCCAAAACTTTCCGGCCCTGTAAGTATTGCCACCTGGCAACTTAGAGATAAAAAAAATAGCGAATAAGGTCGAGTACCATATCGTTACTCTAATCAAGAAATAGGCATGAAGGTTTTCAGAACGGACACATAAGCATCATCAGTATATGTCTGCATCCAGGGGGTTTCACCTTAATATTACACAGCCGAGTGGCCGCATCCATACTTCCATCAAGGCGAGAGACATGTATTCCACTTCTCGCTAAGTAAAGCACCATGAGGCGTGGCTGTTCCATAATTGTAAACCTCAGCAGCGCGACGAACCAGCATTAGTATACATATAGTATATTGTGTATGAGCATGAGACACGCGGTCGTAATCGTGAGATAGTTAGAGATATGGTACTCTGCCGGGTAAGGAGTAGATACAGAATAGGTACAGATAACTAGAAGCAGATAAATTAGTCAGGGTTTTGGCAACTTGGATAATGTTGCGCAAATACGTCGTGTATCCAGACGCCCAGTGCGAGGATTGTAGAAAAAGAGATTAGAGAAGTATGCTAGGGTCAACAGGAGGAGACAGGTTATAATTATATGAAACTGATACCGCAGTTTAGTTGCCTTAGGATAGAAATACTCATATTGCATGCAATTGTTCAAAATTTGGTACAGATGCCTCCAACGTTGGTAGTATTGACATCTTGATGTAGATTGTTCTATACCACCTACACTCCACAGACATGTTCGGTCTAGGGGATGGCTACCTAGGTGGTCAAGAAAACCGACACTGCTGCCCATCAAGCAAGGTAATACCTTCCACTGCCTCCCAGGTTTGACTTCATCGTGTAGAGTGTAATCACATGTGCAAAGAGCGAGACAGACATGATGCAATGGTTCATTATGGGAATGCGTAACCATGAAAATCTCAGTCAACATGCAGGACCACCTCAGACCTGTGACCGACTCAGATCTGGGAGGTATTGTGTCATCCCTATAATCGTTGTGACTTTCTTCTTCCTCTGTATCCTCAGCTCTTAACCCCTCGCCTACATGACAACACCGGCGTTTGAAGCGATACGCTAGGATAAATCAGCCTGGGTCCTGTAATCACCATGGATTAAAAATTTTGGGGCCAGAGTGAATAACTTACCGGCCACAATTCTGCTGATTCCTTTCCGACTGGGCCAGTCTGATGTGTCAAAATAGGTCAGCACGTCATTTTCACTGTAAGCTGTAGAGATTACCGATAAGGTAATAAATAAGTTGGTCGTAGTACGCACAATGGCTGATCCCTTCATCTCGCCCTTGATGTTTACAATCTAATCGATGTTAGCGCGTGAAGCTATGAAATACAATCTGTGTGACTCACCACACCAGCGTTGTCCTCAAAGTAGAGGAATACACCGTCGAAGCGCTTCCAGGGTTTTGACTAGGTATGTTAGTCGGAGTCGGCTGGTCTCAAAAGCCTTCAGGGGAATTACCTGGCGAACGATGACGGCAGGGTGGACCTTCTTCCTCAATTCGGGCTTTCCCTTCTTGACAGTGGCCATAACCATATCACTAACATGCCAAGTTAGAATAACCAACCACGCGGGCAGAGTGATACAGAATAACGCACCCTACACCCGCAGCAGGCAGACGGTTGAGACGAGCACCAATTCCCTTGACTGAGATGATGTAGAGGTTTCGTGCGCCCGAGTTGTCAGCCTGTGATAGTTAGCGTCATTCGGTCGGTCGGATCGTATCGGTCGTAGTGATCACGCACGCAGTTCATTACGGCACCGCTAGTCGATTCGTCAGTACAGAAACGTTCGTTATGGGACTCGGGAAACGTACACCGGGAGACCTCGGGTCATGCGCAACTTGGCTCCAGGAGCACCACGTCTGTGATGTGAGGGTCAGCATAAACTTCGATTGCTCCAGGCTCGCCCGGGTATCGTTGACGCTGGATCCGTTCGAGTTCGGTCGAATACAGGTCACCGTAGCCGAACGAGCCGGTGCGCGGGGTAATAGGAAACACGTACGATTGTTTGGCCATCTTGGTTGTCTATGAGGGTGATCGTGATGGTACTGGCGATGCTGGTTGGTGGTGCTGGTGGTGATGCTGGATTTGAATGTGTAGTTCTATTATTTTTGGCATAGTTGAAATTGGTGGGGGAAGCAGCTCGCCGATAAGGTATCGATAGTGCGCACATAGGGCATTCTGCTTCCGTTATCGTTAAAATTTCAGTTGAAAGCGAGCCCCACCTGCACATACTCCTGGACTGGTCCACCTTTTACATCTCTTCTATTGGTTACATGTCCTACAAGTAGCCCAGGAGTCATTCTCAATTCGACCTCTCGAATATTCTGATATATACAATTATCTACATGCCTACCTACCTGGTTGTATCTTAAGGGCGCTCTAGAGCTGGAGGTCGAAACGAAGCAGCGAGCGGGCGGAGATTAGCCGGTGTGGCACCGAGGATTCCTGAATTTTGAGCTGGTCCGTGCTGTGAATATATGGACGCCCTCGAGACTCGTGTAGGTATGACTTGCCAAGTTTCCTTGAATCTCAAGTCGCCGAAACAAGGACTTGACTCACGGCTGGCACTCATGATGCATCAGATTGGTGAGAGGCACTCCCAGTCCAAGATTTGGCACAGGGGTGGGGCTTCTTCTACGGTGCGATAGAAGTTCACGCCAGATAGGTGTCGATACGAAAATCCTAGAGCCGACTACCTCCAGTTCGATAGCGATATAGTTAGGCCGATATCTGACTTCCACTTCATGGAAGAGACAGCTTTTAAGCGTTGATATTATGCCAAACGCTAGATGGGACGGTATGATTCTGCTGTCGTAATAATCGAGCACCGTGCTCGAATCTGCGAATTGGCTGTCACGGAACCAAGGAACATTGTATATAACGCTAGGAAAGGGAATAAGGGGCGAAAACTAGAACTTCCCTCCTTGTGCAATAACAGAACAAATACATGAAACCACAGCTGGGCAGTACTGTGACATTGGCCTTAGCAGAGTAAAAGAATTAAGTAGTACTTAGCCCAAAGATGACCCAGTAGACTTTCCTTTGGCTATTGCATGCTAGGAATATCTTTGCGAGCACCAGAGGGTTGAGGTGGCATCTCATTTGGTCGAAAAGAGGTATGCTAGAAGTTTAAAACTTGCCTAATTATTTGTTGGGAGATTAGATGTATCAACACTGGTTGACAATAGCTTATCAGTTTGACGTCAGCGAAGCCGATTGTTCTAGAGCAGGCGGTGTCCTTTGGATGTTATACGCACTAAACGCGCTGGACATTTTTATATGTGTCTACCATAAAGATTTCAGGCAGCAGCTTATGAGAACTGCCACCATGAGTGTCGTAGCAATCGTTGCTGCGCGAGAGTTTTGAAGCCTCTGTAGTCTCAGGATTGTGGCACAGCTGCTAGACAGTCATATCGTCATTTTCGGGGTGAGACTGACCAGCCACCACTTATATGAGATATATTGATGGCCCCAGGACCTTGCAAAGGTTGGTTCAATTGAGTATAGACCAAGGTCAGCTAGGTTGGTCTTCGTAGCCATGACGAATTATTGCCTTGTGGATGGTTTTGAAAACAAACCTTACTGTCCCAGTTCTTGGTTGGATCACCCTTTTGTCCTATGCAGAGGGATGTTGAAGTACATCACTGATGTCAACGCCTGAGGGGGTTGGGGGCTAGGGGATGATGACATCTAGGGCGTTCAGAGTTTTATACAGTATCTACAGTAAAACTCTTTTCGTCATCCCCAAGTTCAAGAGGTCAAAAGTTAAGACGGAGTCCTTAGACTATATACGCTCACTTCTTAGTTAGTAACAGTTATCTTACATAGAGTTAACTTCGAAGGTCAGAATAACCTGCTGGGGAGCTCCAACAACATATACCGACTGCTAATAATCCAATTAACCGTCGTCGTTGAGCTTAAAGCTCCTCGTGTACTAGTATTAGGTTGCGATGTCTCTTAAGTGAGAATATTGCCGTGTTTTCAGCGGCAAATAGGAATGCCGATATTGTAGAAATAGTCATGAATTCAGTGGCGCCATAGTTTACGCGTAATGCATGTGATTCATCCTGCAAGATACCGTCTGGGGGTTGGGGGTCTGATAACAGATTTCAGCGTACCATTCGAGAGGAATGTATCTTGGGTTTTCAATGAGGTGTTGAACTTCTTCGAGCACGTCTTGTTTGTTTTGCACTACATCGGCTCAATGTCTATTTCATGCTACCTGCTTGTCCATAACCACACCTATGCCTATCAATTCCTATATTCAGCTGCCGGTTTTTTCTAGGAGGAGTTCAATATTGCTATTTAATTATTCTTGATTAACACATGGGTAGATATTGGCGCCAGGGATCTGCGCATGAGGACGGGAAGACTTCTGTTGTTGGACGAGGAACTCCGAAATACCCTGGATTAGATCACCCAGACTCTATCACATCCCGGCCCTTTAACTAGGCCCCTGACCCTTTTATTCGGATAAGCGGTGTGATAAAATCAAGTCTCTGGTGCATATGATTAAGTGCTCGTAGCGCTATAATATTTTGGTAGGCTTCTTGCATAGGTCACAGGGCCCTACATCATCATTTTCAGACATTCAAGTGATATACCGTAAACATGAAGGCCTATAGAATCTCCTATATCATCAACACTTTCCACCTGGAAAATACCCTTCTTCATAGTGGAAGGTGATACAGTGGAGCTGTTTGTACTGTTTGTCCGCTTCCCCCGTATCTTCGTTGTCGCGACGACCCTTTAGTACACCTTGTGGCCCTCCTATATATGGTGTACACTACACTACCTATCTTTGCCTCATGTCAAAAAAGGTCTAACGGTGTATGGTAAAACTTTCATTGTTGCGCGATGTGTTAGCAGACTTTAGGGACGCGGAGACATATCAACTTACTCAGGCTATTTGTTCATCTAGGTCTCTTTGTCTCCTTGCCCAGACCCCCAACACCTCCAGCAGCCTAATGTTGGCAAGTTTGCCTACGCGCCAGCTCATGTAGACAAGTAAATGCCCTGTCCGTGGTAACTGGCTAAAGCATGCACATTGGTCATTAAATCAACACGCTGGGTCTTGCGATACGCATGTTATAAGCAATCTGAGGACAAGGACAAAGAAACTGAGTGTAAATACTCCGAATGAGTCTGGATACCCTCACTCCTGACCTTTTGTACTTGGTGTGATAATGAAAGTGTTCCTGTATATCTCGCATGTTTTTCATGGCATATGAGCCATTACTATCAATTTACACTGTATAAAGCAAAAAAAGATATGGCCAAGGGGTTCAAATTCCTTATCTGCAACTCTCAAGACCAAGTGGTGGCTACACGTGGTTATGGCCCTTATAATTCCTAACTTGAAGCAGAAACAGATAGAACCCCTGTCTCTCATTTTTCGATTGCAACGAAAATTTCATAATTAAGACCACATATCTAGGTACACAGAGAGAAGTATGAGCCAATATATGGAAACTTCAACTGGAAAAAATTCGGCCTCAAGATGAACATACACCCGTATTGAAGTATGCTCATCAAAATTACCTAATTAAAGGATTCTTCTGGTCAATGATTTGAATTACGGTCTGCAAATATCATCATGACTGGGGCATCTTGGCATTTTTACTGGGTCTGATTATTTTATGCGGTTCCACACTTACTTACTGAGTAATAAGGTCTCTCAAGTCAAGGTAAGAACAATCGGAGATCGGACGGCAGGTGTTTTGTTTCAAGATAAAACCGATTACCTAGAAGTTGTGATCATGATCTGGAAAGATAAGATCAACGTTGCCGCCAAATTTAGACACGGGAGTGGAACGTCGTAATGTATAAGCGTGGCGCAGGACCTTTTTTGAAAATGCTTAGACAGAACAGCTGGGAGGATTTTGTACTGACGCAAAGCAAAACACCAGCGACTGGGGATTGGGGCTGTAGTATTGCGCCAAGATGCATCGCGAGCCATTGTACACCACTTAAGCATGGCCTCGGGCAAGTTTCCCCGTTGCTACAACCATCTGCAAGGGGTACGATAGGTATGAGTACCTAATGTACTTGTCGGTAGGTTTGCTACCAAGCCTCTCTATCTCTGCCTCTACTGCACTATGTACCTATGCATATGGTGATAACCTCATTACAGATGCTTGCGGCTGGAAACTGCCATTATGCTCCCTCAGTCGAAGGGCTCGTGAATCATCTGACTAATGCCATGTCAACAACCAATGACTGCCTTTAAGTGCTGGCCAGCTGAAATCTGCTCTACTTACACATTGTACAGACTGCACTACCACATATCCACGTGCCCGCAAGTCAGGATTCTCCAATGTAACCTCCGACCTACTATGTACTTCGTAGACACCTTGATTGGTACCTGGGTAGGTAGCGCATTAACTGCCATCATTCTGAGAGTGCTTACACTACTTACACATGCTCATATTTGGTAATTAAGTACGTAGCGTAGGCCGTTGATCCTCGAGCTCGACCGGTGGTATCCACAATAATGATTCTAATTTAACTTTGATTTAACCTTAATCCTCAGCTACTGTGCCGATCATGACATGAACCCGACCCCAGCGTCTGGTATTGAGGCGTAGTGTCTGAAGATCACGTCTCGACTATCTGGATGGAACAACAAACACACTAAACACGCGGACGTGGAAGCATCGGGTCCGAAAGAAACTGGCAGCTTACTGCGGCAACTGCTGAGGTTATGCTGTAAACATTGCGATGCATGACGGCATTGAATGTGAAACCGTCTAGATATATGCTAAGGGGAACTACAGACTCCCTACCGTCAAGTTGATAAGAGGCTTACCTACCTACCTACCTACTTACATACCTAGCACATGTAAGATGATGTGTGGCGTAACAAAGGGCTCTTCCAGACCTCACATACCTACATCATCTAGAGTAGATAGGTAGCCTCAGTGGAAGCCCGCGATAGTGTAGGACTTACTTAAGGACCTACCTAGGCATGTTACAGTTAACAGTTAACCAAGTGTAGGTAGCGTAGTACTACAGACTACATAGTAATTGCTAAGGCTAGTGCACCTTAGAGCTAGCTCAAGCACAGCATCATACTTACTTGCATACACTAAGTACCTTAGGTACCTACAGGTACTTACTAAGTAGGTAAGTACGCAGATGCCTCTCTCGCTAAGGGTCGCCTGGCGGCAAGCCACCAGCGCCTATCTGAGACCCAAATATGATCCCTACATGCCGTACTTCGTACAATCGAACGCAATGCCATCGGTAATCTATACCAATATATGTACCTCGCAGGCAGTAGAGATTAATATACTCTACACTATGTAGAAGAACTACGTCGACAGTGCTAGAGTTGCAAAGAGAACCCTCGGATCACGTTGTGTAGTGTAGGTAGGTATTTCAAATTAATATTAGCACTTAGTGTTTGTGTTCCGACGATCACAAGGCGTGTTTGTAGATCACCTACCCATTGTACCTACTGTAGGTAGACTAGGAGGGCGGCTGGTTCAGCGGCGTGGCCGTGAACTTTGGGTGAGATGTGAGATGTGAAACCCGCAGCTCGCAACTCGAACGGCCACAGCCACCGATTCAATCGTCGTTACATCAAAGGTAAGTAGGTAGTGTACTATGTAGTACCTACATAGGGCTGGCTGGTTAGTGTGCTGACTTGGAAATCAGCATCGTTGGTTTTACATTGCGACGGCGCTGGATGCCTCTGACCTGACACGGACGGCTTCAAATTTATCAATTTGTCAACACCGACATGTGTAGATGCCGCTACGACAAACCCCATGTCCCTTGCAAACGCTCCCCCTGCCGTTCCTCTGCCAGTCCCCTGTCATCCTCGCCAGGAGGACCAATCGCCGGCCGCAATGCCGCCCATCCACCTACTAGGTAAGTAATCACTCGTGGACTTGAGGACGCACTACCTGCTCACTTGCTGAGCATCGTACACATGACAATTCATTGCCAAGGGGGAGAGAGAAGATACTAGACTGCAAAGAGAAGCAGTCGAAGCCATGGAAAGGAACCGACAAGGACCACACCCCTTGCCCGCTGCCTATCTGAGCCATGGCCGCTGACATCAACCTGCCCTCGACTGTCTATTAGTCTACCTACTGTAGTGTATCCTCTCAAGCTCTCCCGTTCCAGTCTCATACACTATCTACTTACTCCAGTCCTTACTCCAGCCAGTCATCGGCGGCAGTGCTTGGAATCAAGATGCTAGTGTAGCTTGGTAACGGAGCCTGTGCTAGCTTTTGCCGTGCTGGGGCGAGACAAGGAAGTCAACCGACGAGGATATGATCCTGCTGCTGCGCAAACCCACGCGAGGTGAAAATAAACTATTGTCCTTGCCGCGCCGCCACCGCTCGAGCTGCCCGCCCGCTACCTTGCCTTGAGCCTGCACATTCCGTAAAGTAGCCTCGGGAGCCATTCTTTTTCAAGCTTGACCCTATACTTCAACAAACTTCCATGTCTACCAGCCGGCAGGATAGGCGAATGAATGTGGTGGCCTAAGATGGCGACTGCTGGGCAGTACGGCTCTGGATATACTGCAGTTCCACCAAGCGTCGTCGACCAAGGCAGTTCGATCAACGACGGGTCTGACGAGAATCGATATGCGTATTATCAGAGTGCCGCCGGATGGACTTATCACGAGCACCACGGAGCCAGCGGCCCAACTCAGACGGCAGGACAACCTACAGAAGGACCGTGGCCTTACCAACACAGCGACGGGACTCATGCTTCTGGCTATCCTCATGGGCACCCATACAACCAGGCGGCTTATTCGAACTATCAATATGACCAGGCTATGGCCAACGGGGTAGCTGTCCCGCAGGCTGTTTACAACGGCCAAGAGGGGTGGGCATATTATGGAAATGGCGGCCAGTATTGGAGTCAGTATAGTGTTGGGCAGCCGATGAATCAGATACCCACGAGGAGCGATGCGATTCAGTATACCGCACCACATCACATCCAGCCAACGGATCAGACGTATGCACAACATGAACTCTATAAAGCCCTGGCCGACAAGATAAATGCTCCCCAAACACCGACGTCGCTCTCCGGGCGCTCTGGTAAATGGCAGCATAGAACCGCGTTGATGGATCCCGTCATAACGGAATCGCACCCGAGGCAAAAATTGACGCCGTGGAAATGGAGACTGATGTTCATTGTTTGCAACATTTTATCGCTGTTAAATGGTAAGTCGTGGCTGGGCTGAATCTTCGACGAATTCACTGCTGATCGGAATAGGCTACGATCTTAGTAACACCGCCAACATCCAAGGTCCAGTCTACAAGGCGTATAACGATATACACCTACTGCCATGGGTTGCTTTAAGCTACTCCATATGCAATATTGTCGCAACTCCCTTGGCTCGAAAACTTTGCCAATTCTATGATATCAAGGTTCTTACGCTTAGCGGACTAGTTCTTATCACTGCCGGTACTGCACTCGCAGGTGCCGCCCCCAACTTCGTATTGTTTATCGTTGGTCGAGCTATTATGGCATTTGGTGCCAGCGTTGTCTACCAGGGGTAATATCACCCCATACCCTCCCCCCCTTCTATGATCAGCCACACTGACATGATTTATAGCATATTGAGTTTTACTGTTATTTTTTCATACCCCAATGAAGTTGCCCTAGTGCAAGCTTCTATTGGCGCGAGCTTTTCCTTCGGTGTCTTGACAGGTCCCGTAATTGGTAAGTCGGTCCCAGCATCCTTGCATCGCGCAACACCGAGGCTGATGGTGGTTCCAGGAGCTGGATTCGCACAAAATGAGCACGCAACATGGCGATGGGCTTTCTACTTTGCTTTACCTATCGTGGTTATCGCCTTCTTCCTCTCTGTCTTTGCCTTGCCAAGCTATTCCGCCTCGACCAAGAAGTCGGTATCTAGATATTTCAAAGAGATTGACTGGATTGGTCATATCTTGCATTCTGCGACGTTCATATCGCTTAGTCTCGCGACTGTATTCTCCGGGTCTGCTTGGCCATGGGGATCTATCCCCCAACTCGCCATATGGGTCATATTCGTTGTGGCTTCTGTTGCATACATTGTGCAACAAACATTCTCCATTGGCGTAAAGCCTGAACATCGAATTATTCCTATCTATCTCTTCAACAAACGCATTATCCTTTTGACTTTCTTATGTACATCAGGCGCCAGTATTGCGTACGGTATCTCGCTTTACTATACACCTCTCTTCTACATGTTCACTCGCGAGATCCTGCCGCTCGAGGCTGGTCTACGTCTACTGTGCCTAACAGCACTGTTTATTGTCGCCATTTTTGCGTCTCATGGTCTTCTTGGATACACGAGATACTACAAGCCATTCTTCATCCTTGGTAGTGCTCTGCTCTTAGTAGGCGGCATTACATACCATACTATTACCGACCATACTCACTTAGGTGCCATTATGGCTTTCAGCGCCATAATCGGTGCCGGCGTGGGCATTTTATGGAACCTCGCCATTCCGGTATGCTCGGCTGTCCTGGAAACTGAGGAGGAACGCTTAGACCAGGCGACTCTGCATAGCTTAGCGCAGCTGGGTGGTACTGCGGTTGCTCTTTCGATATCAGCAAGCATATATTGGAATGTCGGGCTGAGGCTGGTGAAAGCTGCTGCAGGGTTTGTGGGCTTCAAGGACATTGAGATCCTCGGATTACTGTCAGGTGTAGAGTCCACCATGCTTGATGGTTTCAATGCCGATATCAAGGAGCTCGTCATCAGTGCTATAATCGAGACGATCAGCTGGCTTTATTACACAGTCATTGCTGGTGCAGCAATAGCCTTGCTAGCATCCCTTTTCCTCAAGTGGGAACCTTTAGAATTCCAGCAGTGGACTATAACAAAAGAAACTGGGCACAAAACTCAGGATTCAGAAAAGGGAAAAGAGGTCCTGTATGAGCTCAGGCCTGATAGACAAGGGCCATAAATAGACTGTCGCTTATATATACATACACGGTACAACTGGCTTTGATACCCTCTGCGCTTAGTTTACGATGAGCTATGACACATGGCTCTTTTAGATAAAAAAATGTCAAGATAATGATTACACATTAGTTAAAAGGGTTACTCTTATGATCTGTAATAGGTAACTAGGTATACTCATATTAAAGTTCTATTCCATCGATATCTACTGACATAATCACATTGATCGTTATAAATTATGCAACAGACTTTTATTTCACATATAGGATACCTGCCCATATATATCAATGCAATTCTTATCAAAAGACTAGCAATCTCAATGTTCCTATTCCATTCGCCACGCTCGCTATGTTCAATAATCTAAAACTCACCTTGAATCAACCAGTATCGACACTCGATTCCTAAGCTCCTATATCAGCGCATACATCACTTTGTGAAATGCACATGTTTCTCACCGCTCGCTATCTTTTCTTGGAGGAATTCCTCAAGCCTTAAAGACTGCAGCGCAGCTTCGATATGTTCGCCCTGATCAACCTCGAAGACCTTGCCCTGGCGTCTCTGTACATGATCATTGCTTCGCTTGAGCTTCCTCGAGACGGCCCGCTCGTATATCTCGTGCTCCTTCTTCGCCTCTCGCATCAGCAAGTCGCGGATGAATCCCTGATAGAGCAGCTTGTATGTGCGACAGATGGTTGTGAGCTCTTCCATTTCGGGGGAGAGCGGCTGTGGCGCAGAAGCGACCTCTTCGTCAAACTCATCTGTGACTTCTAGGACTCGTGAGCATGATTGCAAAGTATACGAATCTACGAGCGATGCGACCTTGTCGTGGAGGGCCTGAACACGAGGATAGCACTTTCTGTACTCCATATTGATGATAGTGGAAAGCGGAGAGTAGAGATATTTTCTTCCGGTATGCTCGAGGGGGCTTGTTTACGAGAGATTAGCGTTCCACAAGACTTCCTGCTTGTGAGCAATGTATTCTCTCGTGTTTGGTGAGTGTGACGAAAACGATAGATATGCCGAAGGTTTTGGAGGGCCTTGAAACTTTATATGTGGATTTGGCCTGGTGATACGGTGCTGATGATTTTGCAGACAATGCAGTGTTCGGCTTGATACGCTAATTCTTTGTGATTCTTTGAAAAGAGGTTAAAGCTAGGCAAACAATAAAAGTACAATTGGTTTATGCATCTCAAAAGACTAGCTCGAGACGCAGAGGCTCGTCTTATGATAGATTGGATGGACTCTTTCATGCCATTGTAATGACCTGTTGCAAAGGAGACACTCGGTGCAACACCGCCAACCGTGAAAGGAGAATGCCACGATATAGCAAGAGTTATACATCTTAAGTTACACCTTTTCATCTTATTGTGGAACAAAGAGCGCTACATGACTCTCATGGCTGTTTCGAGGTTGATTGATTGTTGTAAGGTATGGTGTATGGTAATACTAGCATAATGGAGCCTTGAGACCAGCTTAAATACTCACAATCGGAGCGAACTTTGTAACCTGTTTAATAGGTAGAATGTAGGCTACTATACTTTGCCGTTTCCATGTCGTTATAGGACTCCTGGTCACAAGAGAGGCACAATAGGTAACGTATATAGGGGTCGAGGTAACAACCTTGTTGTAGCGTACACAACAAATATCTACTAGATGAAGGGGATACTTATATACATGTGACTACCTTGTTTAGATGGGTGTTATGTGAACGAGATTTTTGGACCATACTGTAGCTCAGTGCGAGCGTGTCTTACAGACAGTCGCATCCCTAGCGCAGCACAACCCAATCGCAAGCAACTCCCCAGCGTCCAAGGCCATCTAGTACAACCTCCCAAGTAGGTCGAGCAATACCGATAACGACTCCAGGTCGCACATCATTCCCAATACCAAGACCGCTCAATCGGCCTGGGCCTGCAAGTATCAGCTTGAAGATACTGTGTCCCAGGACATCCCCTGCCTCTTCGTTTCTACCCTCAGCTTGACTGTTATTGTTAGCATCGACCTTATTACTCAGTATCTGCCTGCCTTGAACAAGCGTCATACCCCGTGCGTTTGGACTTGTATCACTTGTATCATCAACTTGAATTCTGGCAACCCACTCTTCGTCGCGCGCAGTAGTATTCGCTATCGAGGAAGAGCCAAACCCTGCCTCAACATCAACAAGCCAATCACGTAGCTCAGCCGCCAGTCCCCCTGCAACGTACTTTGCGCCTTTGCGCTGTGGCGAGAAGACATCGGGCAAGGGCTCCGGACGCGGGGCGCCTCCTGGTAGCTCAGCGGGCTTGAAGCGCGGCGGTTTCTGAAACGTGGGTCGATGTGCTTTAACGAGCAGTTTCTCTCCACGGCAGGGAGAGCTGTCTTCGGTGCCCTCGGCGGCGTCTTGAATGACTGCTACATCTGATTCTTCGTCGTTTTCCGAGATTGTAGGTTCCGACCTGAGAGACTCGACGGCTGAGGCTGTATCTTGCATGTCGACATCTAATATGTCTTCGGTTTTGAGGAGGAAAGTCGATGGTTCTTGGATCCCAATGTCGGGAGAGGATATAGAGATACGTCTGCGTTTGGCGTCTCTCTCTTCGTTCATGTCATAGGCTTCACAGTCACTTCCTCGTTCCAGGGGCGAGGACTGATGTACCACATCATCTTCGTCAATTATAGTGTCTTGCTGGAATCCAGTGCGGTTGCGCTGATATTCATCGTCTAGCCCGACATAGTCACCATCGTCATCAGCTTCGTCGTAGCTGACATGATCTTGCCTCGGCACAGGTGGCGGTGAGCTGTCAATAACAACATCATGCCCCGTGCCGCGATGCCGGAATGGCGTGATAGATGACGATGGTCCTTTGTGCGGCGTTGAGTGCAGCGAGAACCGCGGCGTAGCCTGGAACTGCTGGCTGCTCGGCTGAAAGGCCACATGAGGCGTCTCGCTACGAGACTGCGAACGCTTTGGCACAAGAAAGCGGTGCGGTGTTGGGGTCTATACACGGCATCAACGAAGCTAGTCTTCAACAGCATCGGAATGAGGACTTACGGCTGGCGGAGGGGCCATGCTCACATCGCATCCCGAGCCGAGACTTGCGGTGCTTCTCGCGGGAAGGGAGGCGGCTGGACCACGATGGCGTCATTGGGCGCTAAGGGCCAAGCACCTCATATCTCAGGCTGAAGCTTTCCATAGGCAGCTCGTTATCATTTTCACTCGTGGCGTCCTCTGTTAACACTTAACACGGTACCTAGATGGTTAATTAGTTGATGAGATGAGAGATTGCAGAACTGCGCTGTTATAGGTATCTTGAAGTGCCTTCTTGTTCGGTAAAATGTCGGCATGCCCCTGCACTGCACTCCCTGCGCTCCCTGCCTAACTACCATACCTAACCTACTGCCCCCCAACACCAGCAAATTAGGAGCCTTAGACTACTAGCACTTGTATAATTCAACCAAGTGATATCTCGAGTCGCGGATTTTACAAAACGTTTATACTCATTGGAGCGATTGCTATTGTGAACGAGAAATTTATTGGTCAAGCATCTATCTGATGCCAATGTCAATTGTCTTGACTATCCCCTGTAGTAACTCACAGTGTGTGGTCTCCGCCATCAAAACACCCTTCGCCATGCAATGCTTAAACAGACAATACAATACCGTAATACGCCTTATCCTACCAAAACGTTTGAAATCCTTGTGCCTTTTCGTGTTTTAACGCCAAAGCGACCCGAAGCTTACTCAAATGAGCCGCTACCAAACAAGCCCCCGACAACTTTGCTTCTCCCTTCAGCTCCCTTCCACTTCTTTGCCTCGCGCCTCTTCTCCGCCTCGGCCACCTTCGCCCTACGCTCATTCTCGTGGGCAAAGTAGTTAATGCCAGACCGTTTGCCTGCGTTCTTCTTTAGCTTACCATCCTCACCGAAACTGGCAGCCTTGTTCAGTGAGCCCGAGGTACTGCTGGCTGAGGCTTGACTGGTGCTGCTGCTGCTCATGTCACCGCTCGAACCCAGACGCTTTGAGTTTGTAGTGGCCCGACGTAGCAAGGCCGGCACTTTAAAGCCACTGCCAGTGGTAGCAGGTGCAGTGAAGGCCAGCTTTGTCGTCGTGCTTGTGCTAGCCGTTGAAAGTGAAGATGAAGAACTGCGCTTCAGGGTAATCCGGTCGACGACGGTACCACCACTATGGCGAAGGGTACGGTGGTTCTCTTTGTTAGAATGTGATGTTGAAGGGCGCTCTCCTTCCCCTTCGCTGTCAGAACCAATCTCTGTCGCAGGTATGATGGATCCAGCTGAGGCATTAGGCTCATCAAGCAACGTCGAAAGTGACCTTCGAACTTCTGCTATCGACGATGGTCGGGCTCCTTCCCTCGTATGGCGCCCATTTGGACCCGGTCGGGGAGCATGATCTTCTGTTCGAGAGCGCTTGCGGCCAGTCGTCGGAGGTTGGCTGTCAGGTATGGCTTGCTCAACCTGACTAGCATTTTGTGATTGACTGTCGTCACCGCTGGATGTGGTATCCTGAAAATTCTCATCAAAATTCCATTCCTCGTCATCATTCATGTCTTCAATACTCTTCAGAAACGCTGCATTTCGAGGATTCTCTGCGATCTTGCCAATACGCTCATCTGCAAATAATGCCTTCTGCATCTTGGCAAATTGCCGACGTTTCATTCGACGGCGGGCCTCGCCCCCATCGTCCGAGTCGGATAGATCAAAGTCGTGACCGTCACCTCCTCGGCGCCGTTTACGGAGCATGCCTGTGGTGATGTCTCGGAAAAGCTTGTCAACTTGAGCGGCATCTGCGGCACGCTCTCGATCCCTTTAAGAACATTAGCATCTAACAACCTCCTTTATTCATTGTGACAACTCACGCAAATAATCCCGCTAGCTTGGCAGCATCCCCGTCATTCTTCCCAGTGTCGTCGATCATCTCTTTGACGAGTTCATCATCCTCATCACTCGAATCCTCTCCGTCTGCGCCACCTAAGCCAGCATATTCATCTTCGGATTCCACGGCCTGCTCTTCGATCATCACCGCTGCTTCGCTCTTTCTCTTGTCAAGCTTCCTTTTCAATCGCTTCTCTCGTTTTGCTGCCTTCTCCATTAACTTGAATGCATCGGATGATGTTGCTTGCTCTTCGGACAGCCCGCTAACATCGACAATAGTGGCACGGTTGGTGCTTTCGGCAAGCTCTGTAGATAGCAAAGTAGGGCTTACGCTAGCGACGTCATTTCGTCGTAAAAGTTTCCCTCGTTTCCTTACAAGTGGTGACTCCTGTGTGACTACTTCATCCAGAGTGTCTGTGAGTAGGACGGTGCCAACAGTTGACGGTGGAGGATCGACAAATCGCTGTTTCAAAGGTGTGAAGTCTTGAAAACCACCATCCTGTGTAGGGTCTAGGAAGTCGGAAGCCTGCGTCGCGTCTGCCTGCACGAGACTATCGAAGCCATGGGCCTGCGATTGTGAGTAATGTAACTGCAATCCCTGGGTTTGGGTTTCATGGCCCTGCAAGGTCGCTACTTGCGAGGGTTGGCTATCAATAATCATATTGTTGGCCTGAGATTGGTCTGCTGTGGCTGAAAATTGGGAATCGGGAAACTGGTCGAGACTAGGCATGAAAGCTTGAGGCGAGCCACTAATCGATTCCACCTGGCTATTGTCCATAGTGCCGGCGAAAATCTGAGTTAATCCTAGACCAGCAGGCGCTGCAGTTGCGATAGGAAGCCCGGGTATGAAAGTTTTGGTAGCTGAGCGCAAGACCGACGTTGGTGGCTTAGGAGAATCTGAACCCGGCACAGCAGGCGACATTGGTAATGCACTTTTTGGCTTGGGGGTAGCCTCAATACCACCCTCATCTTCATCGTCTGAAATGATTTGTACCTGTTTCTTGAACCTTCTTGTTTGTGAGGCGGTGGGGCGCTTGATTGCTTCGATGTCTTCATCTGAAAAGTCATCGAAATCATTAGGATTTGGTGTCTTTTCGTCCTCTGACTGTACTTCTTCTGCTTCATCCATGAACATGGAATTGTTCACATCCTTTTCCGAGTTTTCAGCGGTTTCGTCTTCCACATCACCTTTCTCTTCATCTTCCTCTTCAGAGCCGGAAAACTCAACTTCTCCAGCTTCTGTGTCTTCATTGTCTTCGAAGCTGTCGTCATCGCTATCATCCCAAGCGAGAGGATCTACTTCGCCATTCTGCCTTTTCTCCTTGCGATGCCTCTTTGCCTCCTCCCGTTCACGCATCATGACCTCCTCAACTTCTTGACGTGCCCTGGCAACAATGTCCTCAACTTGTTCTCGCTCACGCTCTCGTTCTTCGGCGGATTGAACCACAATGCCTTTAGAACGGAGCAATTCGAGGCGTCGTTCACGCTCCAGTTTTGCCTGGGCCTTGGCACGCTGCTGTAGAGACATTTGAAGCTCAGCCAAAGTCATAGAAGGTTTCGCATTTCGGCCACGCGTTTGTTCTTTAGATGGTGAAGAAAGATGTGCGAGGTTGCGTAAGATCTTCATCTCGGTCGACTCCTGTGCCTTGCTCTCAGGAATGCGAGATAATACGGCCTGAAGCTTGTCCTGTTTCTTAGTTTTGGTGATTTCAAGTTCATCATCAGAGTCCATCATCATAGCCTGTACTTGCACAGGGGGTAGTTTGACTCGGACTTGGCGCATTGGCTTTTTTGAAACCCGCTGTTGCGGAAAGGAGGTTACCCTATCAGTCGTGTTTTCCTTATCTTTGCCCGCATCTTTAGATTGGGATGAGGAATCTTCCAGGCTTGGATGGTCGCTGTGCGCTTTTTGAGGTATGGGAACGCTATTTTCGGACGTAGAAACAGTCGGGGTTGAGGGGCACACTGTCTCTTTTGATATACTAGGAGGGGAGCTCGGTGGGGTTCCATCGTTATCGAGCTCTGCATCGGTCTGGTGAACCGACGCGGGTGTCGTGGCACGACTTGAATTTGGTGCCTTATTTCCGGTGTCTGTAGAGATTCCCTCGGGTCGGAAATTGAACTTTTTGAAAAGCATATCTTTACTGATTTTCTTTTTAGTCTTGGCTTCATGAGCGAGCTGGAGACTTCGGCTCAATCGCTGCGTCTCGCGGTTCATCTCTTCCAGAGCCTTTTTGCTTGCCTTACGGGCAGGGCGAGAGATGTCTTGCGTGAGTTTACGACCGCCATCGTCATCCGAAATGTCTGATACATCGTCTTCATCAGCGGACTCTGTGGGTACCTGCTCACTGACACGCTGGGCGCGTTCCATCCGCTGACGCTCTTCCTCAGCCTCTCTATCCAACCTTGCTCTTCTCTTCTTCTCAACCAATGCCTTGAAACGAGCGTTCTTGCTCAGGTCAATGGGCATCTCGTCGTCATCAGAGGCCGAGGCAGTCGAGCCATGTTCTGGGGCTGTGGTCTTTTGTGGTGATGGGGAGACGAACAGTCCCGGGGATGAGTGACGGCTTGTCGAAGCCGGTGTACCGGGTGTCGACTGACGATCAGGTCTGGCCAATCTCCGTCGAGTTGGGGCGATTACATCATCCTCATCATCCGCCTCCCCTGCAAGCAGTGATTGCTGGATTACGGTGTCCTGTTCTGGTGTTGGACGCGGCTTTCCACCTTCTGATGCTCGAGTGAGCTGATTGGTCTTTGTGAAATTGGCATGCATCCGAGCAGCAATGCGGCCGCGAGGTTTCACGATTTCTGTATCTTCATCCTCATCTATAGTGTCGTCTTGCAAGGGGCTTTTAGATTCGGCTTGCTGTTTGGTCTTGTCGATGGCAGCAAATAGCGCCTTCGCATCAATTGGACCGGAGCTTTCGTCGCCAGAAGATGCATCATCCACAGCTGCCAGCATTGCTTTAAGTTTGGACCGGGGGGTTAATTGTGGTGATGTAGGGTTGGACGCGTCGCCAGCGGGCGACGACGCGCGAGGAGAAGACATGTTGTGACGACAAGAGGTGGGCTGCAAGAAAACCAAAAGAATAACTCAGATCAAACGATCATGACATTAGATGGAGGGGGCTTTGCAATGCTGAATATGTACAGAGCTCAAAAGAATTACGACCATTGACGGTTGATTAGGTAGGTAGGTAGGTACTTTAGGCATCGAAAGGGAAGTGTAAAGCAATCAATTAATTGGAGGTGGGGGTCATGTCTATTAAGGCACTTTACGAACGCGCTGCGCTGCGCTTCAACACGCGTGCCCACCGCGTCAAGCTCGGACAGTGTGAAAACCCCACACGAAACGTCATGCCGTCGCATCCCGCCGAGTCTCCATCATTCGCTAACACGTTTACACGTTACATATAGACATTCCAAAGTCAGCCAAAAGTCCTTCCACTTCAGAATAAGCGACCTAAGCTGATCTATCTAGTAGATGAGATTGGATACAAGTGCCTCAGCTAATGAGTGCAGCACCCTAATAACACCCTGCACTGTTAGGCAGCTCGTAGGGTTTCCCTTCGGCACTCGTCTGTAACCATGAGATATCTAACCCTCATTCACACTCTTTTTACATCCAGACCGCCGAGGCAGTTATCATGTAAGTTTAGGTAAGTACCAAGACGATATCTTGACAAGCAATAGATTGAAGGAACCAATGGGGTATCGTGGACGTCAACGTACAGGCTCCTTCAGTACAAGTCCCTCCATCACAAATCCCTTCACTACTTGAACCAAAACGCCGAACACCTTTTAGACTTTCCAGTGGTACCAATGCAACCTGCCCTTTGCGCCATCCCAATGCTGATACAGAGTACTATATACATACATACTACTAAGGCATAGCTAATAATCCGTCTAACACACCGTCGAGCGTCTGCATGTCATGCAAACTTGTGCCCGCCCAAGTAGGTTCATCATCGTCAATATCCATGGAATCCGGCGCCGTGCCATTAGTCATCCCATCTTTATGGCTGCTCGTAACCCCATTGACCATGTTCTCGTCGCTATTGCGTGGCTGCCCCTGTCCGGGCACATATGTATAATTGTTATAGTGGTCCAGTTCGCCATCTCTATACGTGTGTAAAACTGACTGGCGGATCGTTGGCAATGAGCTGATGCCACAATCACCAATTTCCAGCGCAAGACGTAGATCGGCCATTCCAAGCGGCGGACGTTCGCTCGCTGCCTTTGCTTCGACCGGTAGCAATCCGCTCTTGTCTCTAGACAGTTCGCCTCTATTGAGAGCAGCTTCTTCCTTTCGAAGTTGCCGGCGGTACTTGTGGGTTTGTATCCACCCAACACCAGCCCCGAAACCCGCACTTCCTGAGTCACCGGGTCCGTTGCTTCTCGTCCTCCCGAATACAGTCGACAAAAATTCTTTGATGAATGTCTCGGTGGCAACCGACATAAACTGTGCAACCTCGGGAGTATGGCCACCAACCAGGCCGGCGGCATATGATATCGGCAGCATTTGCAACTCGATGCTCGCGGAGTCGGGGAACTCCCCAGACTCGACGGCCAGGGGTTGCGCAAACCGCTTCTTTATCTCCAAGTCCAGGTCTGTCATATTTAGAGAGATTACCTTCACACAGGATCTTGTAGATCAACTTACTCATGTTGTTAAGCCCTGTAGCGCTTTGGGGGATGTCCGCAGCTCGAGTGGCCCTACCTCGATGGTGCTCCATAAACATGTCGGCCATGACATCGTGTGGATCGAACTGCCTGAGGTTAGCTAGGCATGTCCAATGACTGGACCTCTTGCGATTAGAGTATGCATACATCATTAAGCGCCAGATCCTTGATACGCCTGCGGTCGCGGCTTGGCAGCTGCATGACCTCAGCCTTCAATCTTCGTTCAGCCGCATCACCGGTCACGGGCTTTGCGCCAACGTTGGCAGCCGGTTTGTCGTTAGCAGAGACCCATGGTGCAAGCCCTTGATCGGGCATTTCTCTAGTTAAATTGCCATATATTGCCGCCAAAAGCTGGTTGTGGAGATGGAGTTTTTCGCCATTTGGAGAGGCAAGTATTGGATCGATGCGCTCGGAATATTCAACTTGGTTCAACCGACCTGCGACGGGCTTAAATCAGCTTTTTAAGTACAACGGGGCAGATGTTCGACAGCAGAAACGAACCCAAGATGAACTGGGTGGAGGCATCTTTGTAGATATTCCATTGTTCGATGCCAATGGCGCTCTTCAAGCTTGTGTATAATGGTTCAAGATCGATACGGGCGGGAATGATCTGGCTTGTCTTCGTGATCTTTTGGGTGGCCGGTGTCGAAACGGTAATTGTTTTCAGGATGGGAGTAGACAGGCTGACAGATGGGCGGCTGCTCAAGGCCGCGGGATCTATGTCGGGCATATCGGGAAGTGGTAGATTATTGCGGCGACCCGACTGGGGTGGAATCGAGGTATCGCGACTTGTCGAATCGCGAAGCTGGGGCTAGGGCCGATGGTGGTGAGCTTAGGTAATAAGGGAGCGTACGAGAGCTGTCGCGTGCGGTGCTGCTACAGACACGACGCCGCGGGACCAAAATCCCATGGATCGCTAGCCCTAGCGCATGCGACCGAGATGAAAGCTTCAAAATGATGATATTGTGTTGTGGATAGCCGCCATGTGATGAAGTTGATGGCGCTTCGTCAGAGAGCGATGGAATACAGGACACTCGCTGTAGGACGTTCGCTGGTGGTGGAAAGTTTTGGCAGACAGATGCGAGTAACCGACGAACGGGGGACTGGGGCCGCAGACTGCAGGGACAAAAGTAAGGAGTACCTTTCTTCAGTACAGTTATAGGAGCCAAGCTAGGTACCGAGTACAGTCAGCCCGGCTACAGACTCTACCTAAAACAGTGCCTAGGTAGGCGCTGTACCATATGCTGGCTCAGACCCTTACAAATAGCTACCTACATACATACCAAGATACCTACCTAGTCACCTATCTTCTTACCTGGATAATGCCTAGAGCCTACCTAGGTGGTAGGTAGGTAGGTCTGCTAGGTACTTACCTACGAACCTAACCCCGCTGTGTAACTCAAGTTAGCGGGGCCCTAGTCGCGCTGCCCAGGTGTAGAATTACACTATAACACCCCGACCTACATGTACCTACCTACGTCGTTGGACGAACGCATCGTCGCGCCTACACAGTTGCAGTGTTCGCTCTGAGCCACGGTTTGTGTGTCGACTCATCGTCCTGCGTACACTGTTGATAGACCATTACCTTGGTCTACGTCCTTGCTACAAAACGCTTTGTCTCCTACCCCTTGCATAGGCAAAATGTTACCATGTCTCGAGCAGGGCCCGATTCGAAGCGCGTCGAGGCTAGCATCAACCGCCTCATTTCTGAAATAATACCCAATAACCCACACGACACAAGGGACGAAAACCAGCAGAGGCATAGCCTGTTACTTCAGCAAATCAAGGACCAGCTTGAACGGCAAGTGCTCATATTCGTAGGGGGGTGAGAAAAGAATAGTGAACAGAGAGAACAGAGAGAACAGAGAAATCGCGGGGCAGAAAGAACAGACGCAGGGGAGGAAAAACAAGCAGATGAGCTAGCTACTAATACTTGGAGTTTCTAGACCCCATCCGCCTCCCCTCGCCGACCAGAATCATGCCTCAGAGCTCATCCGCCGTCGGCTGGTGCAGTCTGATCCAAACCTAGCTCTGCGCTTCTCCAATCTATACTCTAGGTTGTTAGCCCTGCCTATTCTAAACCAGAAATGGGCAATACTCTACCTTCTCCATCAGCTGACGGACTCTCCTGACCCCAACCTGCCGGATCCCGTGGCTTTCGCCGAGTTTCAACAGGAGGAAGCGAGGCGGCAGAGGCGGCGAGATAGAGAAGAATTTGGGTCTCTGAGTCCCTCGGATCGTGATACAGAGAATGAGTTTGTACCGGATCCTATGGCCGGAGTCTACCGGCCAACCGATCTACGCGACGTCTTAAAGAATCCGAAGGCAGTAAGAACTTCAGATCAAGATTCCCCATACGATGATTCCAGGCGGCCGCCGTCCCCAAGCGAATGGAGACGCAACAAAGCGCAAGTTGACGAAATTCCCAACTCGTCAAAACGAGACGTTGCTATCAAATCGAAGCTGTTGGCAGACAACTACTCCGACCTTGAGCCCCCGGAGCCAACTATACTGAGAGATCTCCCTTACACATTACAAGGCGTTTCTTCAGCCACACTCCCCTTTGGCCCAGACTATTCTCTTAAGTTACCTCACTCGCTACCGCCTCCCCTAATTGGTCTGCTTCACACACTTGGTGAGCCATCGCTCCTTTGCAAGGCCCTTCAAGACTTTGTCAAGACTCCCGCAAAAGGACTTCTGGATCAAAGTCTTCGGGCTGCCATTAATGATGAACTACGATCTTACTTGACTCTTGTGGCAACGCTGGAAGGGCAGATTCGCCGGGCCCTCTCTTCCATCGACGAGACCGCTCCGCGAAGTGGCATAGGAAAAGCTGGCGTTACTCTTAAGCGCTGTGTGGTTTGGACTCGTGAAGCGACCATGGGCTTGAGACTTCTAAGCCTAATAGCCGAAGAGTCAAAAACCAAGAAAGGGGGCCAGATCATCTCTCTCATCCACTCCTTTTCAACATCGCACGGTGACCCCATCGTAGGCGCTTTCGCGGAACGCCTGTTGACACCTGTAACACGACCATTCTATGATATCCTCCGTCATTGGATTTACGACGGTGAACTTTCAGACCCTTATTCGGAGTTTTTCATACAGTTGAAATCAACGGAGTCGGTGGCCAAAACTAAGACCGGTTCAAACAATGTTTGGGATGAAAAATACGACATGTCTCATGATATGATTCCCTCAATCGTTACACTAGAATTTGCGGATAAAGTCCACCTGATTGGGAAATCGTTGAATTTCATCCGTCATAGCTGCGGTGATGCTCAGTGGGTTGAAACTTATTCTAAAGCATCATCCAAAGAATTGCGTTACGGAGATACAGCTACCCTTGAATCATGGATTGATGACGCCTACAAAATTACTATGCGTCGTTTAGTTCATCTTATGACACACAAGTTCCAACTATTCGAACACCTCCAAGCATTAAAGAGCTATATTCTCCTGGGGCAAGGTGACTTCATCGCGCTCTTAATGGAGTCGCTCGCAGCCAATTTGGATCGGCCCGCTGGAGCTCAATACAGACATACACTAACTGCACAACTCGAGCACGCAATCCGCGGGTCCAATGCTCAGTTTGACTCTCCAGAAGTACTTCGTCGTCTAGACGCCCGCATGCTTCAACTGTCACACGGTGATATCGGATGGGACTGTTTCACCCTTGAATACAAGATCGATGCCCCAGTAGATGTCGTAGTATCGGACTGGGGCAATCGTCAGTACCTCAAAGTCTTCAATTTCCTTTGGCGTATCAAGCGCGTTGAGTTTGCACTCTCGTCTACGTGGAGAAAGGTGACCACGGGCTCGAGAGGTGTACTTCAAACGGACCATGCAATTGTGAGAAAGACCTGGAAGACAACTCGAGGGTTTCTTGCCGAGATGATTCATTTCGTGGGCCAGTTACAATATTATATCCTTTTCGAAGTGATTGAGAGTTCCTGGTCTGAACTCCAAGCGCGCCTCAAGCGCGAAGACGTTACACTCGACGACATCATTCAGGCTCATAAGAATTATCTGAATTCCATTACGCACAAAGGTCTCCTGGGTGCGCGGCGGAAGCGCTTCGTGGCTTCTTCCTCAAACAGCTCTGCCGCCGCCAACGAGGAGGACGACAACGGCTACATGATTCAGCTCGGTGAACTTCTACGCACAATGCTATCATACCGCGATTGCGTCGACGGCCTATACTCGTGGTCTGTCTCGGATTTCACACAACGTCAGGAAGCTGACCTGCGACGCGAGGACATGGGCTCTGATGGAAACCCCGCTGGCCCGCACAGCGAATTCCCCGCCCTCCAGGAGCGCCTCCGGCACCTAGGCGAACGCTTCCGGACACGTCTACAAATCCTCCTCGGTGATCTCGCCTACCAACCAGACGTCGACCTCCGCTTCCTCGGAGTGTCCATGAATTTCAACGATGTGTACCAACCCATCCGCCGCAAGGCCAAAAGTACCCCGGCCGCAGCTCCAACCGGTGGCACGGACAGAGAGAAAGGAAAAGAGAGGGAAAGGGAATAAGTATTCCACATGGGCTGACTGAGATCCATTTTGTTATGGAGGGAGTTAACCGTTGCTTCAAGGATTGTTGGGATGTATTCATACCATACCATTTAGCAGGCGTTACGGACTGGCGTAGACAAATTGATTCCACCAGTATGGAAATGACGAAATCTAAGTTATTATGAATCGAAAGGTGACAAGGCAAGCTCGAAGCAGATTCGGCAGATCACTGCAGCACCAGAGAGTATGCGAGTGACAGCAATGCAAAACAGCAGGAGTTCTAGATTCACGATATGACTATTTAGACACGTACAATCAACCTACATTGTACGTCTCTAGAGAAGAGCACTTCATGGCTAAGTAGCTGCTAGATCCCTATATTTCGGAGATGGAGGCAGCTAGCATATTATGTATTGATAAAATGTCGATCAATGATTAAATTCGAACATTGCACCAGACCTTGAACATAGCAGGGCCGAGGAAAGCCAACATTCCAAAAGAGGTAGATTGGGACGACAGGGAAAATCTAGCTTCGTTATCAATCACTTCCAAAGTCACAGTCAACTCATATATCATGAAGATTTGATGTCATTCGTCATTCATGCGTGCTATCTTTCATAAAAGCTTGAACGTCCATTTTCCAGTGTCTTCCACCGCTAAGACATCCCAGCGGTTTTGTGAGTCCACCAGCCTCCGACATTTCAACTCTGTGAAGCAGGATAGTGAAATGTGGAAGGAGTTCGGCCTGGAGTTATTCATTGCTCGCAAATTATACAGGACCACCATCTTCCAGGAAGAAACGCTTTTGTACCACCGTATTGATACCACATACAAATAGTAATAGTAATTGGTCCTCCTGATTGTATTTTTTTCCTCGCTCTTCTTTAACGCCGTTTGAAGTGCACCCAGGTATAGAAACGCCGAATTCCCTGTCTCTTGAGCCGTAATATTGTACAGACCATTGGTTGTAACAGCTCTAGCTCGTTGACAAATGTCAAGAGTTTGACAGGTGCAAGACGCCAGGCAGTAGTGTCGAATCAGCAAAACAAGCAGATTTCTGGGTAGGCCCCTCCCTATTCCTTCCGAGCCGTATTGAGATCCATATGCCGATGAAGAATCAACCCCAAGTTTTACCTGCGCTAAAAGAAAACCCATCCCAATCATTCTTATCATGAAAATCGTCAGACAGTCCATCATACATCAAGCCGCAATAATGCCAGGTTCGCCAATCGAACTAAAGTGGTATGCCCCTAGTATTGGCAGTGACTGTCACAATGTATCCAGCAAAGCTGGTGAATAATCAGGTGACCCAACGCCGATTCCCAGTAATCCCATATCCAGCGTTCGCAAGATTGAGCAACATGCGACGCAAGAACTTCAACCCAAACTTGACAATTGTAATTGACAGATTAAACATCTATCATTTCGGTGTCAAGAGATAAAGGTTCTATAACCTCATCACCAGGTCCCCAATTTCCTTCAAAAACTGTAGCTCCGGCTCGTCGGCGATGCCCAACCCAAGTCAATGCCTCAAGTTGAAGAAGATCTTGAGCAGTGAAACGAAAGACCGGCACGGCGGCCAACATCCGTCTCACTACTGTGTCCAAAGAGCTACAATGGTTGGGGTCGCTCATGAAGAGAGGTGGTTGTTGTAGCTCGGTCTTTCGACTAGAGCCCGAGCCTGCTCGATGCAAGCCGAAGATATCGCCCGATTGTCTAACGGTGCTTCGGAGAATATAGCTACGGCGATTGCTCTTGCCTGTGTTTCCGTCATTGTCAAGGGCATTCATGCTGCGTTCAGTGTCGTCAAGAGGCATGCCTTCCGCGTCTCGCTGGACAGCATTGCCAACTTGTGCGAGGACAGGTATTTCCGAGAAATCATCTTCTCTTAGTGCAGTCCATGTAGCCCCATTCTCCGGCAATTTGACATTTGCCGCAATCTCCAGCATGATTAACCCGAGCGAAAAGATATCAGCTGGTGTATCAATTTCAGACCGAAGAGCCTCAGGAGCCAAGTACTCTCGGTCTCCATCCAAATCAAGGTTAGTATCGGATGCTTCTTGCAGTGATGTAGCCAGTCCGAAATCACCAATCTTCAAGGTACCATCAAAGCCGACCAGGATATTCGAGGGTTTGAGGTCACGGTGGACGATCCCAGCAGCATGGATATGTCCCAGTCCCTACTTTTCTTAGCGTACAGCTCATCCATGAATGAAAAGCGACACTTACCTGAGTTACCTCGAACATGATTTTCCAGATTCTAAAATCATCCAGTCGACCCTTAGCCCCAACCTCTTTGAGGAACTCATTCAAGTTACCCTCTTCACAAAACTCGGTTTGGATGTACAGATTATTGTTTTCCTCCCAATTATCGATAAGCTGCAAGATGTGGTCACAGCCAACAAGCCTTTTCAGTGCGTTCACTTCCTTCATCCGCAACTTCCGGTCTTTATCGCCTTGAATCGGAAGATTCAATTTCTTTACAGCAAACATCTTGGAAGCTGACGGAACAATTGTTTGGGAGAGTGGTGCGGGCGTACCGAAAAGTCCATTGTCATTCAGGCTGGTAGATTTTGTTGATTCAACGACTTTATAGACTTCTGAAAACTCGCCGCGTCCAACAAATTCTACCTTTGCGAAACGATGCATGAGGCACTGATCCAATTCGTGGCTAGTTAATCCGTGAACCGGAGTAATGACACGCCTGTCTAGAGATTGTGAAAAATTATGTTGTCTTGTGGTAGGCGTAGCAGGCGGCAGAATTGAACCTCGGCCATTGCTTCCGGGAAACAGAAAACTATCAGGATTGGTGGGGAACGATGAATGGATCACATTAGTGGTAAGACCACTTTCCTGTGGCGTTTTAGGTGAAGCGCTATCTGTAGTTTCACGGACGTCCAGATGGCCAGCTGCGGATATATCATTCTTAGTAACCTGCATTTCTAGAAGACTCGTGACGGCTTTGTCCATGGCCTCAAGCGGTGCAGGTAACGGTATAGAACCACGCTTCGCTCTTGATTGACTAAATGAAGAAATCGCAATTGAAGGGGCAGACGCTTGTCCGACATCATTTACAGATGGACAGGTATCCTCGTTATCGGGACTGTTGACTCCGACTGGTATATGCTCGAAAGATTCGATCAAGGAACTCGACTTACAGTTGACCTCGGTATCTCGTTGCCAAGTAGGAACTTCATGGTTTATAGGCGTAGACAATGGGAGGAATCTATGTGTCGTAGGGCTCTCGTTCGACAGCTCACTTAAATTGCTTGAGCTTTGACTCATAAGCTGATTCTTCGTTGGCGTAGGTGGCATTGAGCCCTCATCACAAGTATCCATCTCATCCGCGTACTTGCTAGGGCTCCTCCCTTCCTCGCTGTGGAGGCTAAGAAGACTCCCTCGACGGGAGTGTTTTGCATTAAACCCTTGGAAAAGCACCGGCCGCGGTGGGTCGTGGTAAGGGCTACGACTGAAAGGTGTTGTGGGAGATCCATGGTGTCTATTAAGCCTTGCCCCTCTCTTCGCCAGGCCAGTTGGCGGTGGCGGAGGGAATGTTGCAAAACCGTGGCTCGGCCTTTTCGGTAGTCCAGACTGTACCTTTTTGCATGGAGTATCAGGAACGTTTCCGCCAAAAACTGTACTCGAAAGTCGCTCCTCCGGATTTCGGATCATCTTGGAAACTAGGCCAGTGGAGGCGAAGGCCCCTTCGAAGGGTTTTGCATGTTTGTAATCAGGCGTTGACGCACTTGGAGCAGGACCTCCAGAACCGTCGGGTCTGGGTCGCATGGCGCCCAAAGGTAGACTTTTGGAGAAGTTCATACGAGCCCTTGGTTTCTCGGCCTGAACTGGCACGTGAGTTGGTGAGTCGTCAGCAAAGCTTGATCCCGAAGAGGACGTTGTGATGGTTCGAGAAAGTGGATGGCGTTGAGTAGGAGGCTGAAGCGTATTGGAGAAAATACTCTCAGCAAATGGACTGTCGCGTGGAGGAGGCATGAAAGAATCTAAAGATATGCGCGGCCGATTCATGCTGTTCGAGGTGGCTGCTTCTGGTGAGTTCTGGCTTGCCGCAACCACGTTCGACAATGAGGACAACCCAGCTCGTCGTGACCAAGACGTTCGTTCACTATTATGACGCTGCTGGAGAGTAGATTTGCGGAGTGACCCTGCTCTACGTGGCATTGCTGCTGGTGTCGTTGAGTACGATGGCTCCACAGAGCTGGCAGTGATGTGGGTTGTCCAGTCATACTCGCTGGGCGAGTCATCACATGTTTCTGGTGTGGTACTAGCTGATTTGGGGAAGTGGTCGAAGATGTTAAAGCTATCCCCCAAACTTGAGGGACCGTAGCTTCGGCGCTTTGCCTTAGGGCTATTCTCCGTGGACTGGTCGAGGTTCATGGTGGTGTCATTTCTTTTCTTCAGAGGGCTTGCCTCTATAAACGGGTGCAGGTTCAGTAAAGATGAGCCGGACATATCGAGATGCATACTATGCCGATTCGATGGCTTCTCGGAGCTCTTACGTGATGCTGCACTGCGTGTAGCTGCAACGCCTATGTTCTCCTGTCCATAGGAAGCAGAAGGAGTAAGCGATAGATAGGGTGATGAGTTGCCTGCAGAAGAAGCAGTAGTTAATGCGCGCCTAGAAGGACTGCGCGGAGAAGTTCGCGGTGACGTCCGGATCCGTGCTTGAGATCTTGTTGTCGTGGACGTGCCTAAGGGACTTCGGGAGGCTGATTTAGCAGACCGTAGTGATAGTTTCACACTAGGTCGAAAAGGCGTCGCCAAGGGCGATTGGGTGTGGCTAGAGTTTGGCTGTGCTGAAGCTGTAGTTCCGGGCACAAAGTATTGGGACTGTGCGCGGCGACAGGATGGTGAGTTCGGCGCAGATCCAGTATCTGAACTGCTCTGTGAAGCCGTACGAACCAGCGAAAACTTGGAAGGCGAACGCGATAGAGAGCGCCTCAGTGTTCTAAAGCCGGCTTGAACATCAACATGGTGATGATGTGGGTGCGTCGGTGACGGCAAGGTGAGAGTGCCCCCGCTATTGGACATGTTGAGCTGTTTTGGGATAATGGCGCTGCGTGCGGCAAAACAATAATCGAATCGAATACACGCAAAACTAAAAAGAGGCGCACGCGACCAGGTTGTGGCGTCGCAGCTCTAGATGGTGCGCCGGTAGTGGTCAAAACTATCGCATAGGCACAGACAGTGACGCGAATGTTTATCGAAGCGAGAAATGTGAGCGGAGCAGAGTGCTTAATCGAGTCAAGACATCTGGAATGCCAATGATGCAAGGGCAAGATTTATTTCTTCAACGGTGGTGACTAAAGCTGCTCATGATTTGTGTCTCAGACGAACAAATGGTTGCTTTTAATGGTATGTATGCGAAGCGAAAGAATCTCTCAAGGGGCCGACGGTATCGCAGAAGTGTGAGTTGCTTCCCTTATGACTGAATATCCGAGCTCCACAGGTGAATGGTGGGTACGTTGTAAAGGCGGACGGTTCAACGATGCACAGGCAGGTGAATGGTAGGTAGGTAGGTAGAACCTGTGTAGGTTAGATACTGGCGAGACACCAGCACGTAGAAAACGAGACGTCGACGAGACAAGTTGGCTGCCACGCACGCAGTTGACCCGGTCCTGACGTGTGATGTCAATCACTCAGGGTAGTCGCCCCGACTAGGCGATTAGGGAGGGTAGAAATGTGGCGCGATCGCGGTAAGAGCCTCTCCCACACCATACGATCTCTTCGGGCAGCCAGCGCACTCAAAGATAAACAAACTATCGTCGACGACGCAGGTAGATGTTGGCGACGATGGTAGAGGTGGTGGTGAGGGTGGTCGTTGGTGGTAGTGGTTTCCGGGAGGAGGTCAAGGCAGGCAATAATTTCTTTAAGCCTTGGGGTGGTATTATTACACACAACCTGTCGGGGTGGGAAGGGAAAGGGGGGAGGGCGGGAGGATGGGCGCGCACGTCTACTTCTGCGTCTGCGTCGGGGTTAGGTACTCTCTCTGCCTGGGATTGTACCTCGTGTACCTGCTTGCCGTCTGCTGTCTACTCCGGCCGTAGGTACCTCACGCTACTGCTTAGGCACATGAACACGTGTAAGTAGGATGCAGAGTACTAACCAATGTGGTATCTAGTAGGATGGCGGGATGTACACTACGGGTACTGGTGATCGTGGTCACAAGTAGCGGTCAAAGAGCGGTACCCGTGGGCCTCGAAAAACGGTGGCAAAGGCTATGCAAACCGATGGGGGGCGATGGGGATCGCGCCTACTCGACGTGTACCGTAGGCTGGAAGTGACATGCGCATGCGCTGGGACGGGTCTGACATGGGGGCTGGAGTCTGCTGAAGTACTTACTTACAGGTAGGTTAGGTAGACGACACCGCGGACTCTGGAGAGAGGGACGGGTATTGGTGCAATTGGCGCAGTAGTGGAAAGCGCGTTTTGTTTACTTTCTCCAGGCGCTACCGGATGGTCTGACGCGTTTTGCGGGCTGCCATGGTGGGGCTCCTTCCCACCAGACTCTAGATACCTGGCGAGCCCTGGATACCTAACCAGATACATACTAGGTACCTAGGTACCCAGGCAGGCACCCAACCAAACCCAACCTTGGTCTAAACCATCCGACTTGTGCTCTCCGGCTCTAGTGGGTCATCACAAGGGGACAGGCCAGCCTCGTGGCTGCGCTAACTCTCCCTAACAGACAGACCCTAAGTAAGTCGACCCTAGGTACCTAGGTCATCATGGTCCCTGTATGACCCCCGTTAAGTGTACCTGGGTAGGTACATGTATGTAGGCGCCCTCTTCAGAGGAATCTATGGCTTCGGATCTCTCAGTCTGCGCTCTGTTACCTATGAGCTGGCACGAGGAGCCTCCTTCTGCAACTCTTGATACGTGATCCTTTCTCTATCATTGCGAACAGTATTTTTTTTATCTGTACACCTACTTCGTACACGCTCTAGGTAGAATATTTACTGCTCAAAACTGCACATTAAGAATTGTTCGTTTCCAGTGTTACTCGCAATCATAATTACGAGGTACCATATGCTGAACAAAATACAGTGTTCACCTAACTGTATATACTCATGTTTATTCTCACGTGTAGTGTACGGAGTAGTGGTCTTGTTTATTTATTATTGTACCAATAATGCCCGTCCATATGACTACTAAGCTTGTTGTGCCTATGTAGGTACATTACTCAGGTTACCGGTATGTCTATGCATATGGTACACGAGAATTCTTATATCTGGAACTCAAGAGCACACTACCTACTTGGTCACTTCATAACCCCCTTCCATCCGTCCCTCTCTCCCTCAACTTTATCTGTGTCGTCTTGTGAGCCTCAGTTTCATCCATCCGGCATCAACCGCACCATCAACCAACTCTTTAGTGCAACACTAACAACTCACCAAACAACGCGTAGTGCTGCCGAACCCCCCGCTAAACCCTACGCGTACTGGATGCCCTATCTAGTGCCTGGATATGAATAAGTAGGTAGGGAGTAGTTTTGTCCCCTCTATTGCCAGCGTGTTGGTTGTAGGTAGATCGTTCGTGCGCAACTTGCCCATCAAGCCTGATACAGTACCAAGGCTTAGAAACCCTTCTTTTTCCACGCGTCGAGACACTGTGCAGATCATAGTGAGAATCTAGGTCGAGAAAAAGAAGGGCTGCTACTTAGCCGATCAAGGGTCCCGCACCTCCAAACTTCATAACCCTACCATGAGTAGATAGTGACAGTGTAGGTACATGGCTGGGGTGGTGGAGAATATGTAGTGCTCTCATAAGTAACAGAATTCTGATTTTCTCCCTCACGTTCTTCTCCCACGATATCATCGATTTACGTGCCGGAGGTTAAATCCCGCGTCTCCGCCACGTCTTATCGACTGCCTAAGGCCTATATTTCTACTTCCGTCGAGGTGAGTTGGTGAAGGTTTACAGTTGCAGTGATCACCACAGGGGGCGCGGCTGACAGATCCGAGGCTTAAACACAATAAAAATAGATAATCTTAATCCAATCAATTATATTAGGATTTCATTCCACGTTTCATGCGATCTCTTGAAATTTCTCATGGCCTATCTCGCTTCAGGGCTCTACTCCACCGAGCGGGCTTTCGCTAGCTCAAAGGGGTTAGCCAGCCACTATCGTATAAAATATTGTTACTGGCTCAATTTCCACTGAAGCCCATTGTTGGCGGTCTTTCGGGGCATCGTCGGATTAATTAGGGGACAATAAATGTAGTGTACCACACATTAAATAGGTCTACGCGTACAGAGCAGAGGTATGTACCTACTTAAGGTAGGGAATATGCGCAGAGCTGAACTTGGATAGAGTGGTCGGTCTTCCGCACATCACCGTACATTACATCTCTACACTATCACATCTCATATTCGCATTTATTTCTTCTTGGTGTATCACCAAATCGACACTACTGGCGTCATGGCACAAAAGGTCCGGCTATCACTGCACCACACTAACTGATGAGTTCAGTGATCAATCGAGATCCCCGTGCCAGTCAAGTCAGCGACTAAAATAATTCAAGGCTGCCTATTTTCGACGAAGCAGGATGAGAGCCACGTTTCACTACGTGCTGAACATGTAGGTACCTAAGTGACATAGTTACTTGGTTGTGTTATGGGATTGTAGCCTCGAACCCGATTCTCCTAGGTGCCTCGAGTCCTTCCAAGCCTGTCTGGATGAATCAATCCATTGGCATGAACACGCTTATAGTACAGTATGTATTGTGTAGAATAGCCGCACAGGCCTCGAAAGTGTCACGGACGACGAGGTGAGCCGTGTGCTAACGTTCGCAAGCGGGAAATAGTAACAGTAGCGGAACGGTAAGATCTACCCGGCCGCCGCCAGTCTAGCAAGTTTCAAATTGTCGAATGCGCTGCCTAATGCACACTGTCCTCAACTGCAGTCGATTGATAGGCGCGCGTTGTGATCGCAAATATCATATCGGTCTATCCCCTCGTGAACTGACCACCAGGACAGACGCCAGAACTCCTGAAATGAAATCGCACATCTGTCTACCGTAAGGGCGAGGTTTCAGTCTCTCTAATTGTGTGACCGAGATTTTATATTTACATAGTTGTGGTATCCTGCGACGATCAGCATTGGTGGATCGCATTATGTCAGTCGGGTATGATTCAATCAAAATCGAAAGCGAACACGGCTCGCTTCTATCGGTAGACTTTAATATCGTCGCATTCCCTTTATACTTCCAATGCATAGTTTTGAAGAGAAGACCAAGTACATCCAAAACATCTGAAGCTTTTGCGCGATAATCGCGATCTCGCCCGCTCCTCCGATCGGTTTTTTTTTTAGCCTCATTGCGTGATGAAGAGACAACCCCTCTATTGAGAGTGAACTTTGAGAGAGAAGAAAAGGATTGAGCCGTGGAAACGCGATTTCTTTTCCTAGCAATAGCTAGATTTATTATCTGCGCTCTTGCCAGAAAATTTGCCCTTTTTTTATCTGTGTAGTGTCTACAGTTGGTCAAACTCAACATCAATATAACACGGTCCGGTAACTGCCATTGTAAGCGCTCTCTGAAACAATTCCAAATTCACAACCAACCAGTTCTAAAGGATGAATGGATGCCCCCTGGAGCGACTTTGCGCGGAGAGAATAATTTGGGTAGCTATTTAATACTCTGCATGGTATCATACTCAGCCTCTAGCAATGGGAATAACGCTTTCCGAACTCCAGCGAAGCTGGACTCGCGGAGGCTCACACTTAGTCCCTAAAAGGAGTTGCAATGGCCTGAAAAGGTGACAGGAACTCATTGACTATCATCGTCAAGTCTGCTAAAAACAACCAGTCGAATGAAGTCTCCATGACGAATGTTAGGTACGCACCCTCTGGATGCGTCACCATTTTATAAAGAGAGGGGCGTTAATATTCAAGATGACATATGAGACTGCTATATAGGCTGGTTAGTTATAAAGTTTCATTTCGCAACTGCAAAGACCGATCGTAGTTTGCGCATCGAATGGAATCTCTTAGGGGAGATGTGCAAGAGAACTATGCTCATGATGGGCACAACAAGCACTCTATCTAGCAACATCACCTTATAATAGTTCACTCTGCCATTAAGTAAAAGCATGCGATTGGAGCCAGAGCAATTATAGAAATTGCTTTGGGCATCAATGTTAATTTAACATCTCAGCCAAATATAGATTTCATTGTCTTAACCAATTTTAGTGTCTTAATTATATCATCTATTTCCAGCTCACTTTGTGATTCTAAACGTTTTCTAAAACCCCCACAAAATACGCGCATTATATGAAATCTCTTGGCGTATTGTTTCCATAGAGGCCTAGTTATAGGAGGTACATATTTATGCCCATCGAGAGGAACTCTTGCCCATGGGGTATGAACGGACTCCGATGGACTAATTATGAGACTTGCTCGATGGTTAGTAACCTAAGTTTCTCATGTGTCTCGGGTTTGCTTCTCTTTTTCGCGCATCGGGACGCCGGCATCGAATGATATGGTGATATAGATGGGATGCCTGGGGAAGGGCATCGGAAGGAATTCGTAGAAATACTTGTCTGGCTCTCCAAAGCAGTACTGGATTGTACGGGAGGGTAGCGTTGCTAGTAATTTGTGACCCGAGTATTGTGGTTTTAACTTTGTACCTTAATTGGTTATCAATAAATTTACAGTGAAACTTACAGCAGCGAGACTGAATCAAAACGACGGTTATCTATCTATACATTGGTGTAGGAAAATATGAAATTGCCGAAACTAACCGTCTTCCCTGGTACGAAGAAACATATATCGTAAAACGCTGATATGCTGGTTCCATATTGCACCTTGTTCACCTTTATCTGGGATCATCTTCATGAATGAAATCTCCACAGCGTTCAATATCAGCAATTACCACCGCACCCTCGCAACTTATGCCGTTTATCTTCTCATCCTTGTAACTCGTGGATAGTATCAGGTTGACCGAATCTAGGATTGCCGCGTCCTCCACCGGCTCGTGTGTCGTCTGACGGCTGGGGGGTAGGTGTGCTCATAAGGCTCTCCGGGTATCCCTGAGCTGGACTTGATATTTGTGAGACATTAGAATGTCGGCTGTTTGCATAAACTCCTGGATGGTACGGCTGGTATGCGGTGATTGAGTGAGCTGACGACTGAATCGGTGATTGCATTGGGCTAGGAGAGTTAGGAATTGTGGATGGTGCGATGCTGTTGGCGCTTGGGGGTCCTTCGGCTGGTAATTCTGCTTTGAAGCCACCAAGAGCTAAGAAGCTCGGCGCGGGAGGGTCTGGTTGGATAGGGTCGGGCTCGACTGTTGGTAAGAAAGGCTGAAAGTTTGGGGTTTCCTTTTTTGCTCTGCGCCTATAGAGCAGGATGGCCGCAAATATGAGGCTAGCAATGACGGCCGCTCCAAGAACACTACCGATTCCGATACCTGCTTTCTCGCCTGGAGATAGCCCGCCAGAGGGCGGGGGCGCCGTTGCTGTTGCTACTTCCGCAGTTGTTGATAATGTCGGCGAGATCGGCGATGTTGTAGATGCTGACAAGCTGGACTCGGTTGCGCTTCCACCACTCGTCGATTGAGTTAACGTGGGCAGCGTTGTCTGCGTAGAAGCACTGCTTGTCGGTTCATGTCCGGGGAACCAAGATATAGAGCCACCTAATTTTTGGGGCAGACTTGCAATATTTTCAAGCATAGGCATATCCTCAAAAAGTACAGTGTCCTTCTTGCATTTACAGTTCGCAGTGGGCGGAGCCGATCCAACTACGCCTTCATCCTCTGGACATCCTGCCCATGAGTTTTGATCGGGGTCACAGCGGGTCAGGCCTACCCTGTTAGAATATCAGAATCAGGCCCATCACAGGCTCGTATACGCAGATGTTTTTGGGAGGTAGAAGTTTATATTCAGATTTGTAACCCAAGTTGCGAGAACCGCATGGCTTGAGAGGGATGAGGATCACCCATGCTTACCATGACTGATTGTAAAACTGCCCTTTGTTCTGGCAAGCTGGGCCACTGAAGTCTTGGCTAGTGCAACCTGCTAAATATGTGATGCCGACTGCAAAAACTATATGAGCCGATTGCAGAGGGTTCGGGCGTGGGTCGTGAATATGGCATGAGGGGACTTACATTTAGCGTGATAACAGGCATTGCTCGATAGACAATTGTCACCATAGTGACAACATGCGTAGCTGTTCCCCGTGGCTGCGTTTCCGCAAGGGATATATTCGTCTTCCAGAGCAACGTTTACGTTGGCCCAGCACGATCCACTGGATGTGTTCGGATTGATCTTAGACATGGTGCTGTTCGAATGGCCCCTACTGGGTACTGTACGAGCGAGTTGCTGCGAGTAGGCGAACCGAGGCGAAAGCCAGGCTCTCACGGCATTTGGAGCGAGAACTCTCGGGACAAGTGTTCGAGCGTATGTCTGATGCGGCTAAGAATGCGGGATAGCAATCTATCAGGAGAAGCCATAGAAGTTACGGGGGGGTTGGTGCGAACAAAGAAAACCGAATAGTTTGTTTGTGTAGCAGATGGTTGGTGCGAGGATACGTGTGGCCCAACATACATGAGAGTGGTTACTGTGCCTCAGGGTCAGTACTTCCCCATCCTTGGTATGCATTTATCTCTTGTTGGCTTCTCCTCCATTTCGTTCTATATATGGTTACATCCCATATACTGTCTCAAGGCAGCCTCTGTTAGTACCAGAGCCATCTACCGACCATTTGGACTACCCACCCAGCGTACCCTCAAGCCGCTTCAATATCGTAAGACAATAATATTAGAGGAGGGTTAAGGGCCTTATCTGTCACCGCGCTACAGACCGACACGACAAGAGAGAATCCCACTGAACTCGAGTAGCAGAATGACTGATCTGATAGGCTGAGCGACAACCTACCGAGTATCACAGAGACGTAGTCGTGCTCAGTCGTGTACGATTTTCCAGGCTACGATTGGGCAGCACGGAAATGATATGGGTCGCTGCATTTGAAGCTCACCCGAGCACTCGGGTAGCCTCATTAAATTTCATCCCTGCGCCCACAGGCTGCTGAGGGGTTCGTGTCAGAGTTTTCAAAAGCCCATTGCGGCCCCCAAGCCAACTAATTACCTGGCGAGAAATCGTGTTTCCTTATTTTCAAAAGCAGAAAGATACGATGGATAACACGTCTGACATGGCCATTATAATGAGTCTGTAGACATGAAGCCGAGAGCGCTCTTCGTGGTGTGATGTATTCACCACGAGTATGAGGTTGAACAAGGGACGCAGCTTACCAACATAAAACACGTAGGCGTGACACTGGGCATCCAAGTACTAGATACGGGGTTGGATTCACGGCCGAGTCGAGTGACGGTCAGTGTCTCGCCACCATACCCGCAGACAAGGACCCGGGTTTACACCATGGCTTCTGCACAAACGGACGACGGATAGAGCGTTATAGTCTCTTCACCGGTTTGTGTCATGATGGGGCCTTGTATCTGCAAGGCATACTGGCGTACTCACCTGCAGACCACCTGGCGAGCCTGGTAGCCAGTGGGTGGCCGAGAGTATTACATAGTATGTACTTGTAGGTACTTTATATATAGTTAGGTACACATACCTATGTATCCATGTATGTATTCACCATGGATACTACAGATGATGTACCGGTATCGAAGATACTAAAAGACTGGTCATACCTCTGTATGTAGGTAGCTACCTAACAGTACCATGTAGGTACCTATATGACCGTTATCGGAATATATTCGGTCCAGAAAGGCCCTGCCATGATAAGCAATTGCTGCTGCAGGTGCCACGTGGGGTTGAGTTCATGCATACAGGAGAATCGTGATGTACCTAGTTGTAAGGTTGGAAGCGGCTAAGCAAGGCAACGCTCGGCAATGGCCGGTTCATCTTTTGCTAACGCGGTTCTGTTCCACCCTGCCAGTTCGGATAGCTGCTTTCTTTTTTTTCTTTTTTCATTTTATAAATCTTTTTTAATCTTCTCCACGGTAAGTATGTAAGTAGGTATTTTGGTAATGAGCTTCAGTTACGTCCCAGAGGCCTCAAAATTTCATTCGACTCGTCACAGGTCTTCAACCGAGAGCATATTGTTCGCTGGACCTCCATGGTGAAACAATTGAATTATGTATTGATCAATGCCCGGAGTCGTACAGTAAAAGTTCGGAACGATGGTCTCTGATACCGGTATGCATGCTTACAGCCGAAGCAAACCTACGGCCACCATGAATTCGTTGAATTGTCTACTTGATGACCAACGGCCAGGCTTGCTGTAAAGAGAACTGGGTTTTGACACTCCACTCGCTCGCTATCCACATGACTCTCAGCCGCCGCCTTCAGCCGAGTTGACGGGATTATCGTAGCTCGGCCTCTGGATTATGCTTTCCGTAATAGGCAATCAGTCCTTGCAGGTAGTAATATCTAGAGCCTTGGTATCTCTGATACTGACTGCATGTGTCGAATCATGGATAGGTAAGATGCTGCATCGAGATGTACGTGCCTCCGATAGACGGCCAGATGAGCTGAGATGCGAATCGGCTGTGGGAGTCATCATTGCTTGCAGACTTGCGGACTACTTCTGTGTCTCGTCCGTAGCGAGATCGCATGCATCATGTCCGTGCCCGTGCTCGGCCAAGACCCGGTCCCCCAAGCCAGTTCACAGAGTGACAGCGGGCGTCGCTCCTCGGCCGACGGCAGATTAATTCCTTTGTCGCGGTAAGCCCCCATATTTATACCGTCGAAAAGGCGCCAGGCTAGGGGGACAACGCCCTTTTCACGACCGCCTGTTCGCGCTCGGCACTTACAACGAATATTGCCCCCCCTCCTCGACTGGCCCATGAGTCATGCTCGTTATCTGATCCACAACCGTTTCTATATAGATACGAGTCCAAGTTACCTGCTGACTATAATAGAATTTCTTTGTTGTGCCTGAGACGCCACCCATTCTGTTATCTGCCCTTCAAACCTTGATAAGAACGTCTAAGAAACGTTGGCACCAACACTTTTCTCAAACCTCACACGAGCCACTCAGCTTAAATCACGATAACACCTGAGTTCTGTACTAACATATATTGTCATTGGCAATTCCATCATGGCTCCTGCAGCAACCAGCCAAAACGGTCACAGTGGCGAACAAGATCTGGACCTGACTTCCTCAGCCGTGGGGCATCGTATGGTCGAGAATGATACCTCTAATAGCAATGGCGCGGCGAGCAATGGTGTCTCACAGCCAAACATAAACGAGCTCGATGCCTCGAAACTCAAGTACACATTTACTGATAGCCCCCGCGATCCCCCGGCCCTGGGCATAACAGAAGATAATGGCAACAGCATCTGCACCGATCATATGATCACGGCCAAGTGGTCAGCGAGGACAGGATGGGCTGAACCAGAGCTTAAGCCCTACGGACCTTTAAGCTTGATGCCAACAGCCTCGGTCCTTCACTATGCGACAGAGTGCTTCGAAGGGTTGAAGGTGTACCGCGGCTACGACGGCAAGCTCCGTCTTTTCCGTCCCGATTGCAACTGCGAACGCATGCTGATGTCGTCCGTCCGCATCAGTTTGCCATCTTTCCCACCAGATGAGCTTGAGAAGCTGATTATTGCTCTCATGTCGGTCGATGGGCCCAAATGGCTGCCTCGGGAGCGTGCTGGTACCTTCCTTTACGTGCGGCCAACAATGATCGGCACGCAATCGCAGCTTGGCGTACAGGCTCCCTCGGAAGCCTTGCTTTACATCATCATAAGTTATATGCCCGTCATGGACTCACCAGCCGGTGGCATGAAGCTCCATACGTCGCCCGATGATATGGTGCGTGCGTGGGCCGGCGGTTTCGGATACGCCAAGGTCGGCGCAAATTACGGTCCCTCGTTATTGGCGACTAAAGAGGCGCGTGCAAGAGGCTACCACCAAATCCTATGGCTTTACGGCAAGAGCGGCGAGTGTACCGAGGCCGGCGCCAGCAATTTCTTCGTTGTTTGGAAGACGCGGGAGGGCAAAACCGAACTTGTCACAGCGCCACTAGATGACCGTGTGATTCTTGCTGGTGTCACTCGAAGGAGTGTTCTGGAACTTGCGAGAGAGCGCCTTGCTGACGAGGTAAAGGTCGTCGAGCGTAAATATTCCATTGATGAGGTTATAGAGGCGAGCGCTGAGGGTCGGCTGGTCGAGTCGTTCGCGTCTGGCACGGCGTATTTTGTCTGCCCTGTTTCGGTCATCCACCACCGCGGCCGTGATATTCAAATCCCTGCCGGCAAGGGCGGTGAGGGTGCGCCAATTACTTTGCGCCTCAAGAATTGGCTCGTAGGTATCAAATACGGCAGAGAGGAGCACCCTTGGGGTGTTGTCGTGCCAGAGGAGCATTAAAGGCTCGTTCCCATAGTTCCCTGTCGTTATGAATTGGGTGCGCCGAACCCTGCGCGGCCACCAAATTCCTGGGCGACTAGATGGAAGGACTCAGCACGTCCGCCCAATCGATGCGCAATGCATCTATTACATTACTCAACCGGTATAGATGTCACTAATTGTGTACATGTAGCCCGACACAGCATCGTGTATATCAATGGGCCTGACCGGACATTCCCACGAACAACAAGTCAAAGCCGTTGAAAAGTCCTAGATACAGCCCTACGCGGCAGCTCGGTTGCCAACCAGTACGGTATGATAATGATGTCGGACTTGGGGGTGGGGACGAACCGCAATATGCACCCCGGCGAGTTGGCGACACAACGTCCGCGAATGACAAGCCTGCATTCTTGATGAATCAATATACAGCACATTAACTCCGGCATTTTGGACTGCGCTTAGGACCAAATGACACTTTGTGCTGATAATTGTCCATGCCCGGCGTGGGGTAACGGGTCGACATTTTTATTTATTTTTTTAAAAATAGGTCATATTCGGATGCAACACGCCACAGTATATGACATGTGCATGTATACTAGGCCTTGAATCAAAAGAGGTGGCTCACCAGCGATGATAGGCAATAGATAGATCTTCGGAAATCGTGAAGGTCTTGACCGAAAGCCCCGCGTGCCCATAATACTAGGTAGCACTTTATATACACCTTATTCTTATCCCCAGACCTAGCACGATAGTGTTGAAACTATCAAGTAAAACAACCTCCAACCTCAATACATTTTATCCACATCAGCAAGTTGTCTGTCGAGGATTATCAATACGTCAGAAATTGTCTTGGTGGTAGTTACAATGCGTTTGCTTAATACTTCGAGACGACGCCTCCCTTTTCGGGCATTGAAAAGGTTTATAGCACGCCTCATTCATCATAAGCGACCAGTGACGCAACAACAGCCATCTACTTCAACTTCAGTCAAAACTAGACTGGAAGATCGCTTTGAAAATATTGGTGTCCTCATACTTAAGTTTTTGTTGAAAGTCCTGATCCTCAATCAGCACATCGCCCTATCTTACGACTTGAGGGAGCCAGACAGGGTCGGGTCAGGCTTTAGTGACGGACTCACTTCTTCACATGCCGCCATATCATCTACTACCTTCTTGATTCGACGGTCGATATCAAGGTCTTCCTTGTCCATCCATTCCATGTTCGAGGACATTCCACTTGTTCCACTAGAAGGCTCGTGCTCGAAGAGATCATGAAGCTTGCCCGAAAGTTCGTCAATATCAGCCTGAGCTTCTTCCCAGGAACACCACAAGCGCGCGAGCTTCTGGTCACTCTCGGCCTCTATCTGCTGGTATCCTGATACCTCACTTCTCACATGAACGGCAGATGGTCTTTTCTGGCCGTCTTTGTTGCTGATCTGGGTGTCGACTTCGCAATCGAGGATAGATGTGGCTAACTCGCGCTCCCTGTCGGCAATCTTCCCCAGCTTAGAAATATTGGACTTGACTTGATGTTCTACATCCACTGCTAGAGCGGCTTCTACTTCTGTGGCATCTTTCGCCGTGTTAGAATGCAGAGTAACACGAAGTGCTGCGTAATCGCCTATTGCTTGTTAGGTATCGTCATCCGGGCTAGGAAATTTGAGCCAGCTTACGATTAAGTCTCTTAATCATATGTGATTCAGCAACTGGAGAAGTATTTCCTTGGTTGCGTGCCGGGTCTCGAAGCCGTTGGGCGCGATAACCATCGCTATTGGTTGTGGGGCGCTTGTACTTGTCAAAAATAGGATGTATAGAATAGCGAGTATTTTTCTTGGGCGATGGTGGATGGACATCACTCGTGTCTTGATTCACAAGGCATTCTCTCAGATTCCTACGATGCATATCGTCACTGCGAAGAGGTGTGGGAAGAGTAGGAGTAAGCGGACGAGTCCACATGGTGACCTATACCTGAAAGAGGTTGATAGGGATAGATGGCTGAGAAATAATATAACCGGACATAGATAGTTAATGTTATGAAGTAGGATAGACGGTGCTCTTCTTCCTAGTTTTCTCGGCCAGGCCCGTTAAGAAACATAATGCTGCATCAGGTTACGCAAATATAATAAGCAATGGCTATTCCATCAGGTAGTGCCATAGATATGCCACATATAGAGAACCACCGATAGGTACGGAGGTTGGCCATGAGAAGTTGAATGACAGCCCACCTGAGAAAGTAGAAGCATTGGCATCTTAAGTGATGCCGTGGCAGGCAGTTGCGACAAATGGAAGATACTGTATGCAGAGACGCAGCTGCCCCTCAAGACACTGGAAGGTAGGAGAACGAAGAAAGGACCGAGGGTCCAAGGCCGTAACTACCTGTCTCTCCCTCTATTGTATCACCTACAACAATACTGAACCACAGCTGATGCAACCTACATCGTACTTGCAAGAAATAGGTACCGTCGAGCAATGACGCCACCGGCCCAGGTACAGTCTCTTCATCCCGTTGTTTCGTCAAGACGAATGGACAACTAGTCACAGTGTGTGTTAGCTTTCATCGCCTTTGCCTTGCAAACACTTCATTGATGCTTTCTTGGGGTTCAGCACTTGTTTAATGCTTGTCCGTGGCAGAGTCTCAAGCTACATAAGGTACTGAGCTTCTGTTACGATCACCATGTATGATATACTTAAGGAGAGTGTTGGTACTAGCGTGCTAAGGCTTTCGGGTTCTTTATCTCGAATACGCGATACACCAGCTTTATAAGAAACGCCTTATACCTACATCTGATAGATCTGAGTGGCTTGTGTTGGTAGTGGGGTACCGTATTCGTATTTCTAGGAATTCATCTACCGTCCACCTGTGGCATGTATGTTAATTGAACATGCAGTCAAGGGTGCTAGGTACTGGTACAAGGTACCTCTAATTGTACCTAGTATGTATCCACTAGGTAGCTACATATGTACGTATCCTACCTTGCATGTATTCACCTACTCACATGTAGGTTCGTCGTTGCACACGGAGGAAGAGTTCTAAAATCAAGGTTAAACGAAGCCGGAAATGTTTTGAGTTACTGGTACGCTTTGGCGCCAGCTAATAGCTGATTAACCGGCCTCATGGGAAAGACGAGTTCGTTGTGCTTCCAAGGCGGACTGGGCAGAGGTAGGTATCTGGAGACACGTTTACATGTCGCGGTTCCCATGTGTAGATCCAAATCCCAAATCCAGTTCGAAATGAGCCTGATTGGTCGACAGTATTGTGGATGACCCAATCGGGTAAAACAGTACAGTACCTAGGTAGTACCTACTGTAGCCATCCCATCTGACGCGCCAATCGACATTGCTATCTTCGATTCCTCGGTGGGTTACCTAGGTACCTTACCTAGCACCCCCTACCGCTGCGCTGCCCCTGACTACCGGGACGGCGAACCAAAACACCACCAAGGTGAAATTTGTCACTTGGCACACACAGCTGCTTCTTCACCTCCTTGTACCAAACACAACCGGACCGTGTCCGAGCCTCAACCGACGGCCACTATTAAATGGTCTCGCTGTCCTCTCCTGTTTGACCCTGTGAACATCTCCGCCATGTCATCCAGGTATTCCCTCCGAGCAACTCCTCGGTATGTATAACTAACTGCTTCTTACCTTTGTGTGCTTGGGATTATCTGGCGTTGTTCTTCCGATTGTTGTTGGTGGTGCTTGATGATGTTGGAGTCGCTCGTACAGAGGACAGAAGGATGTGATTGGAAAGTCGCGCGATTTCTCGCTGATTGAAGGGATTCGATTGTCACACCATGACTATAGACTGTTTGCTATGCCTCGCAAGATGAAGCACCCTTAGCCAGCTAACTGAGAGTAATCGTGTCTTATAGGAAAAAGGAACTTTTCGAGGGTATGGTAGAAACGCCTGCTCGTCGATCGACGCGTCGCAAGTCCCAGTTCCCTGCTATCGACGCATCCGACGACGGCGAGTCAAGCTCCGCAGCCGAAACTACTACCATGTCTAGGACAAGGACTACCAGCCGGCGCAAGCCTGTCCCCAAGTTCGAGGACATAGACGATGTGAAGCACGAAAGCTTCAGCCCTGTCAAGCTTGAGGAAGTGACTGCTGCGACCAACGGTAATGGCAACGGACACGCTACACCGAAACCGGCTGCGCCGACGATAGAAGACAAAGTGGTCGACGGCTGGAAGCCAGGTATGGATCACAAGGTCGACTACTCTGGCGTTTTCGAATTTGGAGGGAGCTTTGGCGCTCTGGCCTTAATGATCGGGTTCCCGGCACTGATGTGGTATATGTGGATTGGCGCCACCTACTATGACGGAAAACTGCCATTACCAGAGGAGGGACAGTCCCTGACGGATTTCGCTAAGCACCTGGGACATCTCGTATATACGGGAGCGTTTCCAACCTTGCAGGCCTGGAAGATCTACTGGGGTTATATGATATTTGAGGGAGCCTGTTATGTCGTGTTGCCTGGTGTCGAGGGTTACGGTAAGCCACTGCCTTTTGAGGGCGGTAAACAACTTCGATACTTCTGCAATGCCTACGCGAGCTTCTACTTCACCATTCTGGTTATGTCTGTGTTGCACTTTAGTGGCTACTTTCCGATATACACTTTTATCGATGAATTTGGCCCTCTCATGACAGTCGCTATTCTCTCAGGCTACCTCGTCAGCTTTATTGCCTATTTCTCCGCTCTTGCCCGCGGGCGGCAACACCGCATGACTGGCTACCCGATCTACGACTTCTTCATGGGCGCTGAACTCAACCCGCGCCTGTTTGGAATCATCGACATGAAGATGTTTTACGAAGTCCGCATTCCTTGGTACATTCTGTTCGGTATCACCGCTGCGACTGCAGCACGACAGTACGAGCGGTACGGCTACGTAACTGGCGAGGTTGGATTTTTGCTCATGGCTCACTACCTTTATGCCAATGCCTGCTCTAAGGGCGAGCAGCTAATCATCACGACCTGGGATATGTACTACGAGAAGTGGGGTTTCATGCTGATCTTTTGGAACATGGCCGGCGTACCGCTTTCGTACTGCCACTGTACTCTCTATCTCGCTAATCACAATCCTTCCGAATACGCATGGAATAAGTGGGCCTTGGGTGCTCTTTATATCGTATACATTGCAGTTTACGTTATTTGGGATCAGTGCAACGGGCAGAAGAACGCATTCCGGGCTAAGGAGCGGGGCACCCTACTGAAGCGGAAGACATTCCCAGCCCTCCCATGGACTTACCTCGAGAACCCTGAGACGATCGAAACTAATACCGGGGATAAACTCCTCGTTGACGGCTGGTACGGCTATGCGCGTAAAATTCACTATGTTTGTGATGTCTTTTTTGCAGTCTCCTGGGGTTTGATCACAGGTATTAACAGCCCCTTTCCATGGTTCTATCCCGCTTTCTTTGTCTGCATGATTGCCCACCGAACTATGCGCGATGTCGAGCGTTGCCGCAATAAATACGGCGAAGCATGGAAAGAGTACGAGAGACGGGTCCCGTACCTATTTATTCCTGTATGTTTGTTTCTTCTCTCCCCTCTTTCCTGGATATGACCAAGAGCGCGCTAACGTAAACACAGTATGTCATCTAAGCTCACGTTTTAATGAAAGATTATGGCTGGGTGAAAGTAACCTATGCTATGCTACTCGGGCTCGAATGCAGTTCAGCTCGACAGGCGGACCGCTTCGCTCGTCTTTGTACATGTACATGGGAGCTTAAGTCGACTGGTATAGAAGACAAGTTTGGCACGCTTTGTTGGTCATGTGATGCGGTCTGACTTTAATGTATATAGTTGAAGAGATTTGAAGATCATGAATTACTTTTATGGGTACGAGTGGAAAACTAGAGGAGACGGCCTTGGTTTTCTTAGTTATCTTTTAACAACCACTATCCTGCATTATTATAATAATAAAACGTAATGAAGTATTGTTTTCAGACTCATTATTTCTACGCACGTTTGATTTGTCTATTGAGCGAAGCGACCTTCTACGAGTTTGCTCGTTATTGTATGTATTCATGTTCTGTAAATGCAATCATATACGCCCCAAGCTATGCACACAAATCATTTATATATGCTCACAAGTTTTCCCAGGCCGAGTTTCATGCCCTCCTGTCAGCTCCTGAGAACATCATAAATTAGAATAAACACTCTCTCACTCTTCCTGTGCCGCCCAGCTCATACTCAATCCAGCGCGCAACGCCACGGCGCCCAGTGACAAGCATGGGACCCGGATTCATAACATGACATCCTTCATACGTGATAGCAAATGGTGGCGCCGTCGTGTCGATGAGCACCAAGGCTGTTGGCAACGGGTAGAGATGTAGCGTACTGGCATAGTCCCAGTGCACCGGGCGAATCGCGTGGCGGAATGGACACAGATATCCCTGGTCAAGAACAGTCTTGACAAGTCGGCGAGCGGTTCGGACGTCGTGGGGGATGTCCGGGGGTTTAGGGTTGGACTTATTGTTTACAGCGGAGGGTTCGACGTCCATGTTATCTGTATTTTCTAGTGCTGAAGCCATCTCGATATCGTCATCATTAGAACTCTGAGCGCCACGCGATTCGGCTTGGTTAGGCAAAGTGTTAATTTCTTGGTTCTCAAGGTTTGAAGTCGAAGATGCTGAGTTTTTGAGACGGACTGCCGTTCGGCGCAGACGCGCTGACATGTCATCACGGAATAGTACAATCTCATGTGATGGCCCGAAAACGGACAAACGAGCCGGGTTGCTAGTCCAAATGGCTTCGCCACCTGTTCCATGATGGGCGCCGGCTTCTGTGTTCACGGTCGCGAATGCTCTCCGTATACGCGAGGTGAATATGTCTGGCACCGCTTTACGCGGTAGAGGGACAGCGGCCCCAGACGAAAACGAAGATGCCCAGCCATCGTTGTCTCCAGGTACGAATACGAAAGTTGAGCTTTGAAGTAAGGTCGGGAAATCTGTCAACACTGAGGCTAAGGAGTCAAAGTATTCTTTATATTCGACGCTTCCTCCGCTCGCCCCTCCACCAGCCATTACCGCGTGTTGTGTGAAGTTACCCGCCAGGACAAAAGTCATAGGTGATGAGCCCTCCGGCTCCACAGCGTACGTTGTTAGAATTTTGCGCAGGGCGTGTAGCGCCCTTGGCTGATCGAGGTTCAACTCACCAACGATGATAATCCGACTACGACTGGGTAGGTCTGGATCATCTTGTGCTTGTTGTAATAGGCGCCTTTCTACTTTGCGCATCTTGGGACCCACTGCTCGTTCACTGCCAACTCCCAAGAAGTCGATCCAGCCAAAGCCGCCCCCTATGGTATGGTCCTGGCCTCCATCAACCCCACTTATACCAAGAGTTGCTTTTCGCTTCTCGCAGGGAGGTTGCCCAACGAAGAACGCTTGGAAGCGTCCACCGATGACGCCACCAATGCCATTGCTAGCACCCAGACCTTTTCCTATGGATTCCTCCTCCTCTTCATATATGCCGTCAACTAGGATGATCATTCCTGGTGTAAACCACGCCGAATCCTCCGGGATGGCTACGGCGTGGGATAGCTCTAGTGAAATCGTTCCGGTTAAATCATTTATAGCTAGACTACCTGTTGGGAGGAAGGATAACATGCCGAGAAGCATATGGTGTGTACCATGTCGACCGAGCAGGTTGGCGATGGGCGTAATTTTGTGGGTTTGCTGACTAGTTAACCCCGAAGATGAGGACCGCTTTAGCGACGGGGCGCCTTTTGTGGTAGCAACGGCGGAACTCTGAAATGTCTCATTCCGTAGTAGTCGTTGATGTATGACATTGTATCTATTCCTAAATAACGTCGTTTTGTGCGATGACGACGGCATTAGGGATGGTTTAGAGGAGTCCCTATAGTCCTGCTTAGCTTGTATCCTAAGTAGCGGTTTAGATGATTTGAAAATACCTCTCGAAATGCTTTTTAGAAATGTTGTAGAGCATGCGTGGTTGATCAAAGGCGTTTACAACCTTCAGCCAGTTCCGTGGATGATTGAGCCCTTCATCGTCGAGTTCGTACTCTTGCATTCCGAGGGAAGACATGCCAAAGCTCGTCTGAGTGTCCTCGCGCGTGAGGTTCGACGCTGGCCTTAGCCCAAGCCTCGTATTGGAGAGATCAGATTCTTGGGCCACATCGAGGACAAAGCTATTCTGGCGACTGGGTTCCGGGGCTGTCCCTATTCTCCCACCACTCATATTACCTTCAAGGGTCTTGAGGATATCTTTGAGCTCCTGGCTGCTCCCATCGACGATAACGCCTCCATTGCGATTCTTCCAACTCCGCGCGACCTCTTCAAGAACTTTCTCAGCCAGCCCTTCCTCGCGCCATCCTGAACCGCAATGGCGTCCTATGAATGCGGCGAGCTCTTGCAGTGCAGTGGATGCGAGTGTCAAGCTATGCTTCTTTGTGAAGGTGCGAAATGCCAACGGTCTTAGTGTGGCGGGCGGCAAGAGGATGGGCAAGATAGTCGCCTTGGACGGTGGGACAATTGAGAATGGCTTGAGGGTATGTGCCGGCGTTCCGAAAGCGGGCGAAGACGATGGGATAGGATTCGAAGTTGAGGGCGGGGGCGGCTTTGGGGGAAACATGGGGACCACGCTGGGATCCTTATTGCTTTGCATTGTTGCCGGCGTGTCCGTAGTTTTAATATGATGATGATGTAAACGTTGACTTCATCACGTTCGCAAATTGCTCGCGTTGAGCTTGAAGGCCCAAACCCAGCCTCGAAAACAGAGGGCCAAAAAAAAAGAAAGAAAAAAAAGGCCAGGCTAGGTACTCAGTATGACGCGGGAGGATAATGGAGATATTCGCTCCAGACGCGTTCACGCGTTAATAGAATTCTTCTTCGAGTTAGTACCTATGGGCCTCCCTAATCCACATGCTACCAAAGCTCTACATAGTAGTCTGCTCGCCTACCTTAAGTAGGTACCTACCTAGGTACCTACTTCGTAGTGGGGACCTGCGCTGGTGAAGGGGCCGAGGGGGGGGTGGGGGACTGGCTCCCTGCTACCTAGTACCTACCTACCTATTGCAAAAGGTTACGTCAATTAAATTCTTCGCGCACTTATAGACAGTCGACAGCTTCGCTCTTTGGCGAGAGGCTCTGTGATTCTTATTACCATACTCCCCTGCTAAGGTATTCCAAGGCTAGCTTCCTTTTCGAGTATTACACCGAAAGCCTTTGCTACCTGACGGTTTCACTGACTCTGTACCTTTGTAAAGAATGATATTATCACGCGTGCCTGTTGCGCCAACATGCAGAGGACTATTGTCGCGCTGCCGACCTGTCTCGACTTTAAGCTCCAACTCCCACGTTGTTAGTACTGTCGCTCCCTTGCTTGATTCTCAGTCAAATACTGATCATCCTGGATCAATCCTAGAAAACATTTCCTCATACCGCGCCGCATGGTGGATATCTCCTCACCTATCTTGACACAAACCCCCCGACTCCTAGACTAGCTATTGGCGCTTCCACTCAGCTTCCCCCCACGCCACAGTCATTCACCGAGAATCATGAATTTATCTCCATTTTGAACCGCGTTCTCCGCGAGTACGCAGCTCAAGACCCTGGTCTGCAGTCCCAGGCCCAAGCTTTCGCCGGCCCCGGAGGCGCCGTCTTCGGTTCTCACGGCGCTTTCTCTCCCCAGCAGCGAGCAACAAGGAAAAACACAGCCGGCTTAGGTACTAGCCACAGCATCGAAACGGGATTTGGTGGCCACGTTCATCTGTCTGACCTTCGGAACCCACCCGACTTTGGAAGAATTGCTTTTCCTGAAGACATTTTAGGTAGCATTGAGGTTGATGGACACGGCAAGATCATTGGCACGTTTGAACCTAGTGGCACCTATCGCATCCTTACCAACGAGGGAATGTGAGTTACCGGGGCATGCAGAAGGCTGTACTTCTCTTTTTTGACTAACTCGCAATCTAGCCTTGGTCTCAGCGACTTCTTGCGAACAAAGCTCATAGAAGAACTCAAGGAAGAAGAGAAAAGACGCTGATGAACCAGTCTCTATTGAGCATTAAAGAAAATGCCTTTCGGCCACGCCTGGTACTGTAGGCTGGCATGGCACATAACATCCCCATGGAGTGTAATCGCAGGCGCAGATGGCACCTGTAAACACAATCCCAAAGTCTGCAGTATATGAAAGCCTATGTAAGCAGACATCTATTTAGTGTTATTCACAAAGGTTAGGTATAAAGATAGGCCTGGTCCCTCCACCGCGGGGGTCCTCATCAAGCAAGATCCCGAAGTTCTAGAGTGTGTGAGAGCAGCGTACAAAAATACGCCATTTCCCCGGACATGTAGAAAGTAAATAGGTACCTAATGGTTCAGTACCCTGGACATGCCTTACTCCCGGTATTCATTACCACAATTCGCGATGACTGCACTCCGTATTGCAGCAGGATATATCACAGGGAACTCAAGAGTTAAAAACACACAACCCTACCTTGTACAGTGCTACCTTTAGGTACCCACATACCTATATAGGTACATAACCTCCTACCGTTACTAGCATTATACCTACCATATTACACCTGCATAGTAGGTACCTGAGTACTGTATACGCATACCTAGGTAGATACATGTACCTCTAGTACAGTAGTGACCCAACCTATGATACTTTAGGTAAGTACCTACCTAATGTATGGAGCACCTTGTGGAGGTAGCTCTGGTGCTTACCTAAGCACCTAAAGCATCCCCCGCGGAGGGGTTATTCTTCTACCTGCCTTATGTACCTAGGTATGTATGTAGGTTATGTAGGGTAGGTACCTGCCTAACCTTCACCACCTGATCATCACCATCTTGTCGCCGTCAGCGTACCGGCTTCATCCCCAGTGCCGTGGTCTCCCGAGCAAGTACACGCAACATTTTTACGATGATATGTTGAAATTTGCGCAGCAAACAACTCAGTCGCCGGAGAGTTGAGCATCGCATGTAGTCGGGTCCCTACATACCTACATTAACTTGTTGGACGGTTGCGCTAACCTACCTACCTTTTGCCGAGCTAGCAAACTTGCGTCCTTAGCTTGCCTTCGTCGGTCCACGGTAGCATCGTGCCCGGTCGTTGTGCTGTCCCGCTGTGTTGTTTGCCTTGAGCCGGCGTCCGCTCGCTGTCCCCATTGCCACCCCTTACCTATCTATCCACCTCCGCCGGCACTGTCTTGGGCAATAGCCGAAATCTGAAAGCCAGCTATTCCCCGGTTCCCCATCTCCCACCTCGTCATCCCCCTTGAATCCGCTTCACCGCGATGGCTTCTAGAGGCTACGACGAGGAGGAGCTTTCCATGTCCCTCTCGCCGTCCCAGATTCGACGGAATCAAGGCCCCAGGATCCCCGCCATCAACATTACCCACCCCGCCGCCGATGCCTCCAACAGCCGTTCTCGAGCCGCCAACCAACCCTCCGATCGCGCTTCGCAGCAGGCACGCGAGAAGTCCAAGGCCGACCAGCGCATTGGTGCTTACAATGTTATCAAGACACTGGGCGAGGGCTCCTTCGGCAAGGTCAAGCTGGCTGTGCACAGGTCGACCAACCAGCAGGTCGCTCTCAAGATAATCGCACGCAAGAAGTTGATCAGTAGAGACATGGTCGGGCGAGTTGAGAGAGAGATTGAATATCTCCAACTCCTCCGCCATCCCCACATCATTAAGCTGTAAGTTAGCCAGCTCTAGACGTTGTGCCTTCCAGGTTTGTAGAGGTGAGCCGCTTTGCTGACGGTTGTGGTCCGCCCAGCTACTCTGTGATTAAGACTCAGAATGAGATCATAATGGTGTTGGAGTATGCCGGTGGAGAGTTGTTCGATTACATTGTAGCTCACGGCAGGTTAGATGAGCAAAAAGCGCGTCGATTTTTCCAACAGATGATCTGTGCTGTCGAGTATTGTCATAGACATAAGGTGGTTCATCGAGATTTGAAGCCAGAGAACCTGCTGCTTGATGACCAGCTCAATGTCAAAATTGCCGATTTTGGATTGAGTAACATCATGACCGATGGCAACTTTCTACGGACAAGTTGTGGTAGTCCCAACTACGCTGCGCCTGAAGTTATTAGCGGAAAGTTGTACGCAGGTCCCGAAGTTGATGTCTGGAGTTGTGGTGTCATCTTATATGTGCTATTGGTGGGGAGACTGCCTTTCGACGATGACCATATCCCAAGTCTGTTCGCCAAGATTCAACGGGGCGTGTTCACTGTTCCGCAATGGATCAATTCAGAGGTTGCGGACCTAATCCGTAAAATGCTTCAAACTAACCCGGTCCAGCGAGCGACCATTGAGGATATCAGACAAGACCCGTGGTTCTCAAAAGATCTTCCCCCGTATCTCGCTCCACAGGTCGAGGAATTCCTCAATACTGGCGTCGACCCCAATAAAGCTATCCGGCCTAGTGATATAGCGCCAAACGCGCCCGCCCAAATCCAAGAGAAGCTTCATGATGAAGTAACGGACAAGATCAGTAAAACGATGGGTTACGGCAAGCGGGACGTTCAAGAAGCCTTAGAAGCTAACGAACCGTCTGCAATCAAGGACGCTTACATGATTGTTCGAGAGAATAAACTAATGCAAGTAAATCGTAAGTCTCGACTCCCCACGCGAATCTTTGGATACACAAACACGTTTGCTCATATGCTGATGACCCTCTTTTCTGTATCACCTTATTGTGCTCTATCCTTATTTGACCCCGGTTCTATCCTTGACCTTCACTGATTGACCATTCTTTTTGATACTTTGATATCTAACATGACACTCAGCTGCTTACGGTACTGGTACCGACAATCCCTATTTTGCCACTTCTCCTCCAAATACTGGCCATGTCGAGCAAATGCGGAGTGTCTCGGAAGCTATGGGTGATGTTTCACTGGATAAAAAGGAGAAACAAGGCGATGCTGGTGAATATACGCAAGAGTCCCAGGCCAGCCCGCTCGCAGATTCCACTCGATCGACCTCCACAATCACCAGCGCTTCTCCTCGCGGTTATGTAAGCCATGTCGGTATTCTGCCCACAAGTCTTCCCGCACTACACAGAGAGTATCTCGAACGTCAAAATGCCGGAGTCGAGGAACCCCTCAATGCGCCGGTCCCCGAAGTTCCACTTCAGCCTAGGACACCTGCAGAGCAACAAGAAGCTGTCCGTCGTCTCAAACCGCACTCTAAAAACAACATGCGCCTCGATGAAAGTCACAGCCGCCCTCAGCAAATGACGCCTGTCTCTACGAAAAAGTCCAAACCGGTTCGTTGGCAATTTGGCATTCGCTCTCGCAATGCTCCTTTTGAAGCGCTGCTATGCATATACAAAGCTTTGGCTAAGCTGGGGGCAGCTTGGGTCCTTGACGAGGATTACGACAAAGTCCACGGTGAAGAATCAGAGACGCAGTAAGCTCAGTAGATCCCAAATTGGTGCATCGTCTTGCTAACCACTGTAGTAGTGCATCTAGCGAAAGATTACCTGGGAAGGAAAACCCCTATAATGGCGTTCCATTAGAACAAATTGATATGCATAAATTTAACCCTACTTTGTATTACAAATTACCCGCTGATCCATGGCACATTACATGCCGATGGAAGAAGGATGGTATGTCGAAGAATGCAATACGATGCAACAATTCTGACAATCTTCGCAGATATCCGCAAGGAGTCCGTCTCCTCCGGACTCACAACTTCCGAGGCTACTTCCGAACAGAATACATATATCTATTCCGGTATGGATAAACGCCAACATGACTTTGTCTGGATGCGCATGGAGATTCAGATTTACGAAATGGAGCCGACAGTGTATCTTGTGGATTTCAAGTGCTCTGGCTACGAAAGAGCAGACGGGACTATGCTGGAAGAGAAGGATGTCATGAGCCCGTTTCCATTTCTTGATATGGCAGCCAAGCTAATTATGCAGCTTGCTGAAGCCGACTAAACACGAACCGATGGTTATTTACTAATTATTATTGCCATCCCCTCATCGAGCAAACTCGACATCTGTAGACATTGAGTCTCATTGTATCTTGGAAAGTGGACCCCGCTTATACTTTGTCCTTGGACAACTTTACCAGTAAAGTCGATCCACAGTTGCTCCCATTGAACTGTGCTTCCAGCCTGCTATTCTCGCCGCCTCTATCGGCAATGTGTGTCAGCACTCGAACGGCAAGGCGGAGACTCACTATGGGGTTTTGATGAAACCGCTATGGATATTCCTCCTACGTGAATACTACACGTACGCGGCAGTTTGCATTACTAACATGCTCGCTTGTCGGTGTACGGTAGTAAATACGACAAGTAGTCCGGTCTTTGGGAGCAAAGATGGATTCATCGTCACAGACGAATTGTGTGTGGGAAGTTGGTGCCTTCTAGGCAATCCTGAGGAAGCGGCATGTGATGTTTTATACCCAAATGATCAGAGACAAAACATTGACGGCTGAATATGAATTGCTCGGTAATTAATACCATGAAGTCGAAGCACTATGAATATCACGGGTCACGGTGGTTACAGTCTGGGTCGATCGCATTTATATTACCAGAACTGGATGAGATCATTTCTGTCACATTTAAAGATGCAGCGTCGACGATAAAGTTTAAACTTGTTCGCGTATGTAAATGGACCTCAGTGCAGATGGATCAATGTTCTTTTCATTCTCTATTGTTCTAAGCGACTGAGTGGAAGCACTTGAGCGTCTACGTCTCTGCATTTCTCTACATCTACTGCCTTTCAGATAGGACGTGGTACGGAGGTAGCTTGCCTCTTTCTCTGTCTCCAATAGGTGTAGAATTAGAAGTAGGGTGTTTTATCACGCAGATCATAGACATTTTGCGGTGGAGTGGGACTGAACGCGCCGGTGACTTAATAGTATTGAATATGAAGGCTCCGGCTGAAGAAAGGAGGATGGCGAAGAGAGGCAGAGTCAGACTGCAATACCAGGATGCTGGCCCGAGCTATTCCGTCCGCTAGTTAGTCATGGTGTGCGTAGCTCAGCGCCGATTTTACGAGTCCGGTACACGCAGCGCTGTTCTAGATATATGTATGAGATTGCAACAACATACCTAGTGTTCTTGCTCCTTTTTAGCCCACGAGAAGCACCCAATGACCGCTCCGGAGAGAAGCGTGGCCTGGCAGATATCATCAGATCAATGGGAAATGACCAGGGTATATACATAGATGAGAGAGATAAAAAGTGTCCCTTACGGCAACTTGAACAAAATGTAACTCAATCGGTATTCGATCTTGCCAAGTACAAAATATCCGATATGTATTGGCGCTATCTCTGCTATACTCGCAGAACTTCACAATAGCTTTGATAGGTATAAGAGTATTCTTGACGAACGAATCGATAGTAGGGTAGCATCAGAAGGTTCATCAAGATGTGCCCCAGCTTAACTCTGACCAGTACGAAAACCGACTGATAAAACATGTTAATATAGACTATCTGAGAATGCTCATGTTAGTATTTCATAGCATAGATGAGCTCATACTGGCTGACTAACGGTTTCCGCAATGCTCGTTGACAAATCCAACTCATACTCAAGAAGAACATGTCATTTAAGTACTATTGTAGCCTAGCAAATAAAAAGCGCCAGCAGGCCACTTCTTTGTAGAAGCTGTAGATATGACGATGCCTGTCAGGGGCTATGGTCATAACCCACCCTAGGGGTGGCTATATTGGACTGGTCTATATTCTAGAGTTGCCCCCTGGATATTCTGGAAGGTCAGGGATCAATTGACTGTTCGATTAAGCCCTATAATACTACCTTTCTGCCTACCTACTTGGCTATGACTAGCCTTCTATTCACTCCCGAACACCCATATCTAACAGAGCTGCACTCTAATTGCTTTTTAAAATCACCAGCCATTCTAAATAACAAATTCGCTCTCATACGCCTCAGTAGTAGGTTCGCATGGTCGACTTCCAGGAAAGGCGCGAACACATCAGGTACACTGTATCTATGCACGGGTCTCTTAAATCTGCGCTTACATACTCCATTCAGTGAAGTTGCTTCGGTCCCCAAACCCCGTGTAGCCTCAGCTGGTACCTTCCTGACAACCATATGGTGTTGTTTAGTTAGAGTAACTATTATGGGCAGAAGGCCTCCATTACGAGAGGCGAGGCTCTACCACGAATGTTAGTTTAAGCAGATTATATTACCCAGCCTAGACTGTCACAGTACAGTACTATATAGTGAGTGCAGAGACGTCAAGCCCTCGACTTGATAATTCGTCGTTACCTTTTGGTAGCGTAGTGGCATAGGTACTGCACTCCTTATGTCGTGTCGTGACATAGACATACATGGAATGACAAATTTTAAGCTTGAGCCTTATCATCAGCCTCTCGTCTGGTTATTATTTTGTGTTACGAGGGCTAGACCATATGCGACTGGGTCTTCACCAAACCCGAAAACCGTGATCGCGTGCTTGAGCCTGTGCCGGGGCCATTGGTTCAGGAGATTGCGTTGAGTTTTGGTTCGTGAATGCCTAACTACCGCGCGGCTAGCTCTTTAGCTAACGTTCGATCTAGATGGAGGTGGTGGTAGAGGGTACGTATCTCTCCCTGGTTATCTACTTTCTGCTATAGCAAGTTGGGAGGACAGTTTTTTCTTTTTAGGTAACCACCATGTCTTAGGAGCATATAGAATTCCGGCTTTTCTACCTGAAAGAGTGATAACTGACTCCAGCGAACTGTAGTGGAGTCTTCTGGCACTTCAGCATTTAATGGAACGGATTGGAGATTTCGAATACATCGAGGATAGACCGACTAGGTCTAACTTTCATCCATGTGATACACCTGACAATGTGTCTCACTTGTCGAGGATGACTAATTTAGACGATCCGATAGGATACATTCCTTTTTTGCCCGGTCGCTATTTTGACTACATGAGTGGAACATCAACTGGCGCGTGAGTGGTGAATTGCCCGAACCATGTGGTATTTGAAACTGAAACATCGCTCAGGTTGATTGCAATCCGCCTTAGCAGGTTTCGTATGACTGTAAAAGGTTGCCTTGAAGAGTATGAGATAACGGTGGGCGTAGTTTTCGGATATCCGAGGATGTTCCACAAGATGAAAACTTTAACCCCGTGGAATAAATACTCCAGGAAAGCTTTGGGAAACGGTTTCAAAGATGGTATCTAGAGAAGATGTTAGGTTATTGAGGATGGCACAGAGCCTTTGTTTCAAATAGAAATTGACCCTTGTTGTGGGTGAGTTTGCGCAGGCGTCCTTAACCCTATTCGAAATCTAATTGCTATTGTATAAGAGTTGTACTGGGGACTCGTCTACGTGGCGGCTAGGATGTCACCAAACGGTTCTTTTTCAGATCCTACACTCTATACTCTGATGAACGATGACGAACTGCCCAACACAGAGAGACCCTTCATATGAAGTGACCCAATGAAGGAATGGGAATTGAGCTGCTGAAAGTTGCGCTTGCAGGGACCGAGGCGCCTTTCTACTTCGGCTATTATCACACAATTCTCTCCACATCCCATGTTAGTCTCCGGTGTACTTCAACTCCATTGAGGCAGGTTTCGAACCTATTACTCCTGTATGCCCCCAGGACATGTGTTGAATTCCTACTGCTGCTGGTTATTACTGGCTCCCGCCTGCTCAACAGGCACAGGGCCGGGGGGCTCTAACCATGAATGGGACCAACGTTTCTAGGACCGCAACCGGCTGGATGAGAAGAAGGATTTATTTTCCCCAAGGCAAATCGCTGTACCAATTCGAAGATTCTAGATTCAGCACAACTAACAATCCGTGCTTCGAATTATACTGGGAAATTCAATACCATCGGCGAATATACACCTGTCCTTATAAGCATTGGAATGGCGCCCCCGAAAGACGAGTTTGTGGGCGAAGACGCGGGAGTAACCATCAGGAGGGGTCTTAATCATCTCGGGAGCCCCGAGGAGATTCACGAGCTACTGGAGCCGGACAAGTACAGGGGAAACTATTCCTACTACCGACTCAACGATGGGGAGGGTGTCAAGATTAAAATGGACGAGTGGAAGCCGAGAAAACTTGGAAGCGACACGATGGGGAGAATGAGAGAAGACTTCGGTAGATGGTTGTAGAAAGAAGGAATAGAAGATAGATTCAAGCAACACCTGGTTCGCCTTCGACGCGTCCGAATGGACACACCTCAGTGAGAATGATTTGCGCTGTGGCAATACTTTGTGTGCCAGGTGAAGAACTGCCCGAAGGATCGAATATGGAGATATCGACAACGAGCAGCACCATCGTAGGTAGGATATGGAGACTCTGGTGTATTGTGATATGCCTGAAGAGTCAGTTAACATATAGACTACCGCCTAACTCAGTTCCGAGCATCTGTGGAAGGGCTAGCTTGATTGTAATACGCGCCGGTAGAGCTGCGTCCATGCTCGCGTGCTCGTAGTACCGGGGACGGGGACATAATATGAGGGGTAGTCTCGCTGTTTATATTTATATTTATAAAGATTTGCAAGCTCCTACCTACCGAAGCAAAAGGTAGTGAGTGAAGTGGCCTAAGCCCTGTTCCCATTTGCTTCCTCATAGCTGCGCAACCTGGCAGAACGACTTAATGACCGACTGTTGTGCTTCTAACCGCATACTTGAACGAGTTTGGATGGATTGGTTTAGACTCCTAGGATGGAAACTTCCTTCTCATTTCCTTCAGATCTGCTGGGACTCTTACCCAGAGCATGTTCTCAAGCACGTTAGCAAGACCGAATCTTAGTGGTCATTGATATTGGCCATCCCAAGTTGGTGCCCATTCCTGCCTTTGAAGGAGCTACATGTATCAACAACATTTCCATGTAGATTCACATTGGCAGTTCATTCCTGCCACGAATAATCAACGATACAAGTCATAACTTATTCAGATTTCGCGAAGAAATCTAGCTAACTCAGGGGGTTTCGCGCTAGTTGCCCTTCCTCAAACACAGGCCACTGCCTTATTCCTCAGTCGGCGTGTCACAGATAGCCTCATGTCACTTACCGTCTTCACTTTCAAGTGAAAATGTCTGTCTTTTGAACATGATCTAACTTGAAACAAATATTGATCAGCGTCTTAGAGCTAGGTCCGTGAATATGACTTCATTCATGAAACATTTAGTTAGTATCAAGATAACACATTGCACGCGTACCTAATGCTCTGGTATTTTAACACGTGGTAACGACTCTCGTAATCAGCGGTCCGACTTATCAAGAGGTCTCCGCCAATAAGTCCCCGTCGTTGTTGTTTTTATTGACATGACGAGGGGAGGGTTGCTTTGCACGTACGCGACTCTCGAATAAAACCACGTTGCTATGCAACAATTCGAAGGCAGGTACTGCGGTAGACCACAAAGAAAGTAAACAACAAGTTGCTGAATGTATACACGCACACGCAAACCGGTCTAAAAGTACCAAGTGACATGTGAACAAGAAAGGCAGCAATTGTCCCATCATTTCACTAGATCTTATACCGCACGACTCCTAAGGATAGCAGTGCTTATTAAGTCTCCCGAACAATACTACTCTCTTCGAGACTTACCACTCTACACCTTCAGCAAGAGGACCATACCGACCGACTTGTTTGAGCACGGGTACATACAATACCTATCCCTCGTCTTCTACTTGACCAACAAGTGATTAGCACTACCAGACCTTCGTCACACAGCCGTCGTAGTAGGTGCTTCTACCTGCGACTTCCTTCCTTTCCTCTTTCCCTTTACAACACTCACAACCACGGCACTTCAAGTTGTCCCCAGAACAACATACACCTCTCTTTTCTTCAAGTTGTTCCCACTCTAGACACAGCATCGCGACCCTACCGTCTCGCACCTCGGAGTTACATCGCCTCGGTATGTCGAATCCCCTCTTTTGTTATCTGCTGTCGGTGTTCTTTTCATGCGTACCTGTGTCAGACGAGTTGATACTACGCCGACTACTTGGTTCCATATCCTCCTGCGTCTCTGCTGCCTTCGTCAGGAATTGTGCCATAAGCCCAACAGCAAATAGTACCTTCCTTGACTACCTTCTTCACAGACACGCCTGACAAATCCATAAACCCAGGCCATCATAAGACAAACGCCGCCACAGAGATTCTCTCAACCAAAACATAACGAAGCCGCAAGCAATAATTGAGACAATGCCTAAGTGGGACGGCAAAGCAGAGCGCGACCTACTCCTCGCCATGCGTATTGCACAAGGAGAGAATAATCTTTCGAAAGGGGATTGGGATAAGGCCGCTGAGATCATGAAAACCATGGGACATGCTGACGCTACGGTGAGTGACTCTCATCTTTACTTTCTTCTCGCGCACCTCGCCAACTCACATACGCAACGCCACTTGCTAACTCGGAATATGATAGGGCACTGGTATTAGGTAAATCTATCGCACAGCCTCAGTCACATATGTCGACTATACTAACAGCAGTAACTCAAACAGCCAGCGATGGTCCAAGGTCATCTTGAAGAACTTTCGGGAGCAACAAGCTCAGGGAGCCGTCAAAGGTGGCAACGGTGCTACGTCAGCTGCGGATTCAGCTCCGGCTCCGGCCGCAATCCCGGGCCGTCGAGGACGCGGCAAGGATGATGTTAACAAGCGAAAGAAGCGGGAGCAGGCGCAGGATTACAAGGGCGATGCGGAGCAAGCTCATGTGACCAAAAAACAGAAGCATTAGACAGGTCCAGACCGAAGATTAATGCGCAGATCTGCGTCGCTGTTGTAGATGATAGGCACTATGAACATCTAACACTGCTAAGTCCTCATGGTACAGATCGCTATCGTGACAATTTCGTCCGTATGACGCTGTTGCCGCAGGCCAAGTCTTGGGAACCCGAGTTTGTCCAATCTAGGGCTGTGTCATTGCTGTAGTCCTGAGGCCTCCAGGCTGACTGCGTCGTGTCTTCTTGAACAGCTAGCTTGGCAGAACGGCAGATCACGAACGATGCTTACAAGGTGGGTGGATGAAGCTTGAGAAATCGAACGACGGTGCAAGAGACTCTATTGCATATGCCAAGCGTACGAGCCATTTATACAAGTTCGAACCCCGAGATAACTGTTGATAGAGTAGAGAGATCTCCGTTGGGCCCGGCTGATCTGAGTCCTGGAATGGCCGAGGTCACGAGAATGCGCTACTTCCACACGCTTTGCATAATCGAAATCTTATTCGTAGCTAAGAGGTTCACCGTTACATGTCGGTCAGAAGGCAGACGACCATGTGAAATCTTGGCTCTTGTCAAGCTGATCATATCTCTGTTCGTGGTGCACACAGCACTTGTACCGCCGCCGGAGCAGCCCATGATACATTCGGGAGGTCCGGTACGGTGAGGGTTAGAAGGCGTGACCAGGATAGAGATATGTAACAGGTGAAGTCGGGTAGAAGGGACTGGCATTCGCTGCATGTTGCTTAGCTTAAAGGGGCTTAGATGTTATAATAAGTCCAATCTGCGAACGGCTCTCTATGATTGGGGTACACAGCATGGGCAGAGGGCGAGGGATACCAATTTTGTAGCGGCAGTTGATTGATTTGCCTAGGGGACTCGTATTCGAGGCGACTTTGGACCTATGAAAGTTCGTACCTTACTGATACTCGGACGGGTCAGCGATCGTCCCCCCCCTGCAGCCTTGCTGCACGAACTACCTACCCGTCATTCCCTTCCCATGGACATGCAGGGTTGATAATCGCGCTTCTCGACCCCCGATTGCCATTTCATTCGGCTGCTTGGGCGTTTGCTGTAAGCGATGCCGTAACCTGGCAACGAACGATGGACTCTCTCCGATTGGTTGTTGAGAAATATGATGCCATGCCTAGGGTTGACTTCTCGTGCTGAATACCAGCCCAACTGATGTTGTAGCCGTGCAGACATCCCTGGGCTCGAAATGGAACCTGAAAAGCCAAGACGGGAGAGATGCTGCGATTATGCACGTCTCGCCGATGGTGGTCTATGCCTTTCTTAGGTTCCATGTCTGCTCTACTTAGACCAATGACAGGTCTGATCATATGCCGGATATCAAGATCGAACACCTGTTTTAATCTCTATATCCTATGATGCACGATACGTCTATTTGGTTGTATCGACTGATAGCTCAGGACTGCGCCACTTTCTAGCGAACGATCGCTTACTTGGTAGCACTCGATTTTGGCCACACAGTATGGTCTCATGTGAAGCTGCTAGACAGTTCCAATAATGCCTCAAAGGCCTCAAGGCTGGGTGGTGCATCGTAGGAAAAGATGACGAATAGTATAAGCTTCGGAGCAAGGTTCCGTATACGACGGCCAACGCTCCATGAACTAGACAATACCGATGAGCGCTTGCTTGAAAATACGTGCATTTGGTACTGTATTTTGGTAATGAAAATTTGCAGATCTGTGCATAGCTCAGGTTAAACATTGATTTCCTCATCAGTCAGGGGCACATCGTGCATTCGAGGGATTATTGATGTCGCCGGTACTTTGTCTTCCGCTTGGCACGAGAGAGTCGAGCCAAGTCGCGGATTGCCCGACCTGGTTAATTGTCAAGTGTGCTCACAGGAAACTGTTCTTTTCTTGCGTACTGATACATCAAACGGCTTTTGTATGTAGTTTTGTTTCAACAGTTAATTGGTCTTCTCTTGACTGAAATCCTTCTGGAGAGCGCACAGTTATCCATCCAACACTTTGCTGATGTGACGACTGGGGGGTCCATGCTTCAGCCACTCTCGAGCCAAAAAAATGGCGATGAGGAAATGAAGCAAAGCCATCTCTCCACAAAATCGTATTGTTTCGTATAGTATTGTGGCGGCCTTCTTCTGGCGCTTGCTAGTGATTGGTGCTTGTACTTCAACGCTGCTCATCCGGCCACACACTTCACGAAACAATGAGACCTCGTCAGTGATAACACCTGAAAGTCCTCTTTGAACACTCCACTCCATCCAAATCTCTTCATTTACGGTCCAGACGTAAACAGGAATATCTAATTTTCTCATGTCTCGTATGAAACGCCTACCACATGGCGACGCTAGGGTGTGCCGTAACATACTGAAAGATATATTAGGGATATCTTTTAGACAGCGCGCGTATGTGGTGGAAAATCCAACATGGGTAATGGGATAGCCAGGCAGATACGTCATGCAAAGCTTGATATAAATTGCCTAACGAGTACTCAGCTCTATATTATTTTCATAAGAGATCCCTTGAAGGGAAGTTGATCAGCTTACGTTCCAGCAGCATGGTGTAACTCTAGTATTCCAAGGCCGTTGGCTAGGCACTGAGGCAAGTGCCTCCGCTGTTCTTTTCATAATTTCTTCGGCGTCGTCATGTGTCTGAGAAGGCAGTCAAGTTAGCAACCACCATGCTTCGAGGGTTGATGATAACATCTTGCATAACTGTGAGGAACTTGCCTTGATATCAAGCATCAGCCAAATTCGCTCCAGTCCGGGCTGGTTCAGGTATTCCAACAGGTCAATGAGCCGCGGCATTGGCTGGCAAGGCTCACGAAGTGTTCGTAGTTTACTAATCTCGGCCCAGTCGAGATCACGAACTCTAGACTTGTTGCCGTAGCAGCGCTGGAGTGTTTCATCATGACATAGTACAACTACGCCGTCACGAGTGAGATGAAGATCTGTCTCTATTGCTTCAGCACCTGCCTGGGTAGCGGCTTTGAAAGCCGCCATACTATTTTCCGGAGCAGCGGCCTTAAACCCTCGATGGCCGATTGTTTGGGGAACAGACTTCATGCGTGTTAACTGTGAGCCAATGAAAGCATGTTTCATCGTAGTAGCGTTTGCCACTAATGTGTATCAGCCTGTAGTCTAGCGAAATGTTCTGACTTTCAGGTCAAGTGTCAATGATCACAGAGGAGAGACAATGAAAGATGGGACTTACTAGTTTCGTGATCAGTTCTTAGAAAAGGTCTCTGCTCATGTGCTGTGCTTTTAGAGCGATCCTTCATTACTACTGACATTTTACTGTTCTAGTCCCATGAGATAGGGGTAGTAGACGGCTAGCGAACTGGTTTCTCGCGAACGTTTTGTGATCTCAAACACAATTCTTCATTAAGACAATAGGGTTTGCTGTCCTGTCCTGACAAGCAGCAAGGCCACAGATGAATGATATTATCTATTTCACGGTCTCGTATGGTAATGGCGGTGTGGAAGCTGAGACTCTCTTCAGCTTCTTCTTGCCACTTATGTCAAAGCGCAGAAGCCGACTAGGTAGTGCGATGATTCCGACAAGATGCAATCTGGTCGAGGCGGCAGGCCTGGCCTCACACAAGGCTACGGCAGATAGGAGAGTATGATACCGGATAAGAAGCTCTGCTGGGTCGCTCTCGGTGACCATATATCATAGCATGCCTGATTGGATAGGACTCGTGCTGCCTTATGGGTCCTCGGGAACTATTGGGTTAGATTCTGTCTGACCAATGGACACCAATGCACCACCGCACTATAAGTATGTATGCAGTGGTATTAACTGTAGGTCACAGCTTGCATGACCAAGCTACAGGCGGTCTGGTCTCGCTTGGTGGATGCCAGATTTGTCGTTTCGTAGCGAGGGTTGAGGTGTCAGAGGCAGACAGCATCTAGGCATCGCCGACTGGGGGTATTACAAGAGGTTAAGAGATCCAGGAACATAGAACATGACAGCAGAGAATCAAGTGATTGAACATTCGATGTAGTGGAAACGAGCAAAGAGGCTACTCGGACAGGTTCAGGTACACAAGACTCTACAAGCGGCCTAGGCAGATCCTTTGAGAGCGGAGGGCGTCGGAGGGCATACGGGTGAAAGCAGATATAAGGGGAACAATGAGGCAAACCATCTAGAAAAGAAATCAAGTGTCTCGTCCTAGTTGAACCACATCTCTCGCAAGGTGTGCTATGCTATAGATTGTAACGGCATGGTCTAGACTGATGGCGAAGAAGTCTGGCCGGCTTTTGGGGATACCTATCGGACTTAGGATGTCAAAACTGCCGGGCCACTGCAGCGGGGATAGCGTGCTCGGATAAGTAAATAAAATGTCAGTGAACTCTCTATATCCAAAAAAGAGCTTGAATATGTATGGTACCTATATAACGGTGTACCGAAAGAAGAGGTAGGTGGGTACATGGGTAGATACGTAGATTCTCCTCTACCATATTTCTATTATTCCTTATTTGCATACCTATGGGCTTTGAACCCTTACTCTTGTTTATTTATAATTACGAGCGCCTCCGGAAGGTACCGGCATATGATGCTGTTGGGGCAAGGCAGGTGGTGGTGGTATCAAGTATATTCTTACTACTTACGTAGGAAGCAGTGGAGGGAGGCGGCATCAAGCTTTTAGGAGTACGAAGTAGGTAGATTGATCTGCAACGATGCATACTGCTTGGGATAATTAATTGCATTTGGTGCAGGCAATCAACCAACGCGGTCACGGTCGTCCTCTAGTCGTCTAGAGTCGTCCTAGCTGGGAAAGGGACAAGAACCTTTACCTTGTAGATTTGGGGCTGCTGGCAAGTATGTAGTCATCTCAAGTAATACAAATGCAGATGCTGCCTAGTACGGTAAGCTGGCCGATGGCGGAGAGGCGCAGTGCCTTCACCTGCAGGCTCTTGAGGCGAGCAGCTCGGGGACGAGATCAGGTGTTCGTAAGCGGGCATGTTCTTACTGTATTGGGATTCCAAGGGTCGCGCCAGCGACGGTGTGCCGCACGAATCACGAAGCAGACCGCTTCGTATGACGATGATGGGCTGTACTGGCAAGAGAAGAAGGCTAAGTTTCGCCTGCGGACTGATGGATACCCTTACACTACAACGCGAGCTATGTAGAAATAGGTATAGTAGAGGCGCAAATCCTGTTCGTCGCCAGATATCCGCTAATCTACAGTTAGATTGGCTTTCTTTAGTTTGCATTATGTATGCTTGTTAGCGATCGAATGCTTGATGGGCAAGATGGGCAAGCCTCTGCCAGGACTGACCAACCATTGCAGGCCCAGTCTTCATACATGTCAGTATGCCTGGGTCTGATGGGCTGCGAGTCATACATGTATGTACACCACCTTCTGTATGCTACCATGGCTCTAATACTACCCAAGCCGCACTGTTACCTGGATTTGCCCCTACTGACTTGCTAAGGGAACGTATGAGCAGATATGAGCAACTCTTGCTTGCCTGTGCAGTTCCCGACTAGGTTCCGTGAGCTTCTGAATTCCTATGTGCTACGTAGCATGGCTCTTCTATGACTCTCGTTCTTCCCCCCATCAATCAAAGTCCATCAAATCACCAAGTTACCTGTGTGCTGTAGAACCAATACTATGTACATATCCGACGCTGTTGAGCAAAGAAAAATAAAAAAGAATGTTATGAAAAGACCATTCGAATTTTGTTGAGGCAATTGCCAAACAAGACTAAGGGATCAACCCTAAGCATATTACAAATAAATCGCCAATGGAACCGCCAAGGCACGAGACCCAATTCACGTGCTGTCATGAACCCGCCCATATGTACAAGATTGAATATACCATAGATCCTAAACCTGCCGCCGCCAAGCTAAATCGTCAATCATAGAACGCGGGTCTAATAGTGGCAAATCAGGGGTGTTCGCTTAACAACAGACAGTAAAGAAACAAAAGAGCGGGGGCGGGGAAGTCTACCGTCACACCCCAAGACCCATATCGAGACCATCCAATACAGATGGCCCGTCGTGGCTGTTTCTATGAGGTATTAACCCGCTTTTGTAGTCGTCACTATTCATGCTAAGATATAGGTCGGTCGAGAGGTCTTCTCCTGAGCTGAGGCTTTCATCGCTCAAACTGAGCACGCTCTGAGGCCCGCCTGCGTTGGTGCTCAAATCTAGATCTCGAATGTTGAAACCAGACAAATCCCAAGGGTCCGGCGTCCACTCCGTGTAATTTGTAGCTGCACTGGTGGGCGTCTCTAGGGATAGAGCGGGACCCCCATAAATAGCATCGTAGACGTTGATCTGACCACCGTCCATTGCACCTAGCAGCGCTTCCCACTCACTTAGCGATATACCACCCCCTGAAACACCTTTACTCGATGGAGTAGGCGGGTATAATGGGGCTTGTGGTTGATGAGGAGGTGGGATGGGGTGCGAGGGTGGCATTTGGTTTTGATTCGGAGATAGTGGTTGAGGGTTTGATGCCGTGCTGTTGCCAAGTGAAAGATAGTCCATGTTGGGCTTGGTTCGCTGTGTCGGTGACATTCGCATCATGCTTTGTTGGATCTGGGAGATAGAGAAGTGGTGATCGCGTTGTGATGCTGATTGATCCGTGTTGCTATGGTCAAATGAAGCCCGTGACGGTGTGCGGTAAAGCTCTGGTCGCGTAGCTGATGCGCTTGGCATCGTCATACGACGTAACTTTTCTTGTTGCGATAACAGGTCCGTCTCACTCATAGCGGCTCCGGTATGCCGGCCGTATGGCGAACCCTTGGCAAACGCAGTTGCTGGCGGCGAGGTTCTGCCTGCCGCTGTTATTGCTATGCTTGGACTCTTTTGTGTCGATGCCGTTGGTGATGGTTCACCGACCATGATCAACATCCTTGCTACTCTCTTCAGGTCATTAATTCCAGCAGCTCTAGCTTTTTGCAACGTGCTCAAAACTACGTTAGTCAGCCGCTCTACATCCTTCATCAGCTTACTATCATGCTTAAGCTCCAGGCCCTGATAAAGCAAAGTCACTCCGCAAAGAACAAGAGTATCGGTCTTGTTTAGGCAGAAAGAAAAAGACATGCTTCTCTCTTCAAGCAATTGAATGATCTGGATGATATGCTTGCTCGAGTCAGCAGTAGCTAGAAGAGCTGGTGCAGCCTTCGCCCCCAAGCTCGAGCCCACTGCCGGGCGATATATAAGCGTACGGACATAGTAATATGCCAAAGCCTGCAAGCGTTAGTTAAAGAGATCAATGCTAGCAAAATAGAGTCATACCAAAATAGGAGACCTGCTTCCAGTGACGTCTGTTGAAGGCTTATCCTGAACGAAGTTGAGCTTGAGATGGGTCGGAAGGGCCTCATCCCATGCCTGGAGCTCTGCATCAAGTAATGACATTTGTTGAAGTGAAAGCTCGTGTGAAGTGGAAGCAGGATAATTCTTTTCCAGAACGTGAGCCAAGATTCGCGAGAGCCTAAAAAGAGCGAGCGCACTGGAGATCCTGGTATGCTCTCCAGGGAGAGTAGGTTGGAACCCTTTCTCTGTAACATATTCATCGTCTGTATCTGACGGATATTCTGCATGAATATCCTCATCCTTCAATAATTTGGGTAGGCCGAGAATAGCGGCAGAAAAGCTATTTGCAGGTTAGTTGAATGATGTAGCAAAGATGATAAACCAATCATACCAGTCGAGAGAATAAAGTGTCCAGAAGACCTTTTTCCGTGTCTCAATTGTGAGAGCCCCGAATGAGAAGCGCTTTTGGCTCTGGTGCAGGCCTAACCGGTGAGATAGCCCAACAGCGATGGCCTTGTAATGTTGAAGACGCTTGTAGTCGGCTCGGATTGTGCAATATACGAGAGCCAACACTAGACACTGAAGTGTGTGCATCGTGTTGTCCATCATGACAGCGTCAAGCGCCTTTTGCCACTGCAACTCGCAAGCGGCAATCTGTTCCAGGTCCGGCATTTCGCTCGACAAGGCGGCGATGCTGAATACCAAGTAGAGTTGCGCGAGCTTATGGTTGTTCTTGATCTTGTCAGAGTCGCTAGCAAAATCATCGTAGAGATGCAAGAATGTGGGTTTATGGAGCACCGGGAAAAGCGGCGCCCATTCCTGAAAGTAGACATTCACACATCTATCCGAGAAGAGTCGAGGCGGCACTCTTAACGACTGTGGGGGAGGTTTTGTTACCAAAGGATAACATCCTTGGATGTGAAGGAATGCTTCTGGGTTGAAATCCCCACACGGATTCCCGTTTTCTTGAATTTTTCGCTTGAATGTTTCTGGCAGCGATGTTAGGGACAACATACTCACGACTTGAAGCTGCGGACATACCGATGAAAGCCCGTCCACTCGAGGACCCCATGAAATACGAATCTGAATTTTCAACACCAAGCAGTAGCGGTGTTGCCTGTACACGAAAGACATCTTGTTTCGCTGGCAGACTACCGTCTCTTTCCGGCTTGGCCGGCGGCTTCGGACTTGCACTCGACCTTGCGGAAGGGGTGCGGTGACCATGCATTTTGGAGAGCATATCAATCTTTTCATCCTTCTCATCTAACAAGTCCTTCAGCTCTCGGACTTCGGTTTCCAACTGCCGTACTCTTTCCTCTAGGGACTCAGTATAGCCGCGAGGGAAGGCGCGTCGACTCAGCTTGTCGCTAGTCTTACACTCAAAGCCTACATTCGAGCATTGTGAGCACGTCGGGCGGATCCCATCACAACGTATTTTCTTGGAGCGGCAGCGGTCGCATGCCTGGGCGATTCGACTCTGTGAGCTGGTGCCCACCTTGATCACTTTCATTGGCAGGATTCCCGGCATCTCGGCGGGCAATTAATTATATGCAGTGCAACGTTTGAGTCTGGGAATGCTCGCGTGAATATCGAACTTGAGGCAAAAAACTCCCTAGACGGGCCGGGCCCCATGGAAGACAGAATTGGACGGATTGTTGAGGAAGAGATATGTGTTGTCTTTCTCAACCAGGTAGAATCCTTCGGATCCAACGAACGATCCCGAGCCACGTCAGATCACGCGATATTTCCAATCAGAGGTAGGCAGTCTTCCCTTCGTAAGCAGAGGCGGCTGCGCAGACTTGGACGGGACGTCTTGTCGAGAAAGAGGTCGGAGGGGTCAAGTGGCAAGGAGGCAGCGGTAGTTGGGATCAGAGGAAGAGAGCGAGAAAGGAAGGGGGAAGGAGAGAGAGAACGCTAGATGAAGAAGAAACGGAGCGTGGAGCACCCGCTTCTCCAGATAATGCCAAATTTGCGGGGCCTCGAAAAGATGCAAGTGGCAGCAAGCACAACAACCCAGCACAACTAGTATGACCACTACTGGGACTAGCACACACCTAGGCACACCTAAGCACTGCCTAAGTAAGCGCACCTAGTGTCGACCCACGAAGTAGCGCGCTGGGGGATGAGCCTGGAATCCGGGGTGTGGGCAGGATGACCAGGGTCGGGACGGGGTGACGAGGTGAAAAGGCTCTTGTTTCTGCTAAGTGTTAAGTGTGCTGCTACCAGGAGCCGGGGACGAATCTCAGGCCAGACTCAGGTGCTCGAACGAGTGCTACTGGTGAGGAGTTGGTCACACATAGCACCCAGCGGAAAGGGCACACACAAAGGTTGGCGAGCGAGGCGGCGTAGACGATGTACCTATATACCGGTACGGTACATGTATATACGGAGAGAAAACAGAACAGCGCTGTTGCGTCGTTGCCAAGATCTGCCACATGCATTCCATTTCCTCGAGCATGCATGGATGGATGGCATCGTGAACCACCACCACCACCACCACCACCACCTCTTCCTCCTCCTGTTCCTCACGCCCACGACCCCGTCTACCTACGTTCCTCGCAACCAAACATCGCAACATGTCTACGACAAGAGGCCTGTGATAAAACACAGATAAGGTAGCCAGCCATACCAAGCCAACTGCGCCCCTCTCGCCGGGCTGGCACACGCACGCCGTGCTCAGCATTGTTCCATGGTTGAAAGCGCATGACTGCCAAGCCGCATTCGCATCCGCGCGCCTGTGTGCCGGGGGTTTTGTGCTGGTGCAGGGCGTCTGTTGCTGATCGCAGACCACCACGCTTACGCACCGCCGTCTGTAGTAGGTAGGTATACCTACTCAGAATCCTGGCCCTGAAGTTTCCGAGAGTGCTCATTACTTACGAAGTAGTCTACTATCCTGGACTAAACTAACAATGGACGGGGCATCAGAGGAGCGCTTCACCATTAGCACTACCTACTCCATGTCCTCCTACATGTCCTACATGTACACTTATCACACACTACCTTGATGCAAACCTAACAACCTACCACTAAAGTAGCATGTAAGATGCCTTAGTGTCCAAAGTTGGCTCGACTTCTCCTCACTTGAACATGGGGCCCGTCTGGGGATCGTCTGGGGACTGGCGCCCTAGAAGTGTACAGCATCTTCCATGTGGCCGTAAGATCACCTTTTCGCTTGCCCCAGATGACACATTTTAGCCTTGTAAAAGTGACACTAGATAACGACCCCGGCGTCCTCTGAAAACTATCTATCTGACAGTTCCGTTTTCTTTTCGTTTGGTGCGTGACTGGTCCCAATGACAGGCCCAAAGAGATACTACCTAATGCAGGGCAGATGCAGGCGATCCCTCTCCCGTATTAGCGAGCCTGATACGCTTAGACTACTCGACGCATGCTGACCGAGTCAGAAATGAAGACCAGGTATCCCATCCCTTTTACCCTCATTCCCTTTGGTGCAGATCTCGGCAGCCTCTGAGACTCTGGGGTAACGCCATCGGTCGATGGCGGCCAGAACTTGACTCGTAATGCCCCGCGATCTGATTGATTGTTTAGGCCCCTCCAACCCCGGAACGAGTCCTGGGCGCTGTCAACAAATGAATCACAGGATGAGACATGGCGGGTGTGGAGCGGCTGGGTTGGGTTTGGCGCGTTCGTCCTTACATTCAGCATCATTCGGCTGCTGCTGAGGTATAGTCGGTCATACTCTGTAGTCAGTTCATGCAATGTATAGACTGGTCACAGCATACGCAGAACCATCTCCAGTGGTTCAAAGTCATTCATCGCCACGTTCGGGCGAATGGTGTTCACGTTTTTAGCCTTTCACTACGCCGATTTCGCTGGGACTACGAGATAGCAGATAGTAGCGGATTATGTACATGCAGTCCAAGTCTTTCGTTCCTCCATACCCCTGCAGCGTATTGTTCTGTCTACCTCCTGTTTATCGACTTTTGTGTGCGGGGATCGATATGATCTGTTGCAAGTATGATATGTAATATCGCCGGGATGCCTAATCTGGTCGACAGAATATGATAGACTCCGGAGTTCGAAAAGACGAATATACCAGAATTCCAATTACCAAGGTATCTTAGAACATGTAAAACCACGAGGGATGACAATGTGGCGATGGTGTTCTGGCTGAAATATCCACCGGGTAAATAGACGAGGCGACAGAGCAATGCCGAGCCTCACTGATGAGAGACGTCACTCAATGGGGGTAGTATTTAAGAGGTCTTACAGCCGAAAGGCTCGAGGGCATACTGGGCACTTACATGTCTCAGTTCAGATCTATTCAGGAGGCATAGGTATTATGGACTACGTGTAGTATTGTACCTCAACCCTACTATCGTACTCGCCAGGTAAAAGCTCTTACCGGCAACAGCATCACGAACCTCAAGGGTAGGTTCATGTCCAAGTACATACATCAAAATCCTTTTAGATCTACAAAGAGTGAGTAAATGATGCTGGGCCAGTAAAATATGTGGTCATTGGCGAGTGTGATTCTGGTTATTAGAACGCCGTCTATTGCATCAATACAATGCAGCTTGCGATCTTGTATCTTGTTGCTCAGTTGATCTAGGCACCGTATAAGGTTGCGTATAACGGTATAGCTTTTAAACCGAGGTAAAATGTTCATGACACATATATACGGCCGGGAGGATGTGACGCTGTAAGGGTAGCCTTTTCACTACGCAACTATGTGAAGTCCTCCTCATCTATGTTATCCCCTTGGGTGTCATTCATTGCAGAAAGATAGCTCGTCACGGATTTGTCTTCAAGCAGCCGATTGTTCTGCGAGAAAGTCAGTTAAAGTTGCTTGCTATCGTCGTATCAGAGGGTACTATGTTCAACACGAGTGACCGAGATATAATAGACCGTTGGAGGATTTTACAATCAGCGGGATAGCGGAACACGAAGTCTAAACATTCTTACCTCCTGTTCGAGCACTTCGAGAGCCCTTTCCAATAAATCTTTTTCAATTGCTCTTAATTTCAATGCCGCTAAGACGACATGTGATCTCTCGTGCCCAGTCGGAGCACTGTTCTTCCTTAGAATTTCCACTTGTTGCTGGATCATTTGGAGAGCCACGGTAGCCGCACGAAGACGGAAAACCTGGCACAACTCATGCCCCTTTATGAGGGTTTCTATAGTACCAGCTTCCCGTGTTATATCTGTATCCTGCCAGAACATTCTGAGGTCTTGTGAGCCATCATTTTCCTGCAAAACTCTGAAGTGTAGGCCATCTTCGTCATTCAGGCACATCAGATAAATGAACGGTGCACTATAGTTCGCTGATGTCAGTAATCAGTTTTTCTGGCGAAACGAAAGCTGGTTCAAGGAAGTTTGCGTGTTTCCCAGACAGGCTCATCAGCTTAAAGGCAGTTGAACTGGAAGGATAGTGGCTGCATACTCCCATTTCGGAACACCATTCTCGTTGTCGGTGATCTTTAGAGTTGGCGCAGATCCGAAGGCATAAAGTTTTGCCTTTGCAAGCGGGTCGTCTGCCATAGGCTCTACTGGCAGAAGAATACTCTTAGCGGTTGATACAGGATCAATGAATCCATAGCTAAACAACATCTCGGCGGCGGATTTGTCGTGACCGTAGTCAATGGTGATTTCGTTCGACTTGAGGACATTGGCATCCTTACGTAGAAGAAGCAATACCTCATCTTCTGAGCTTTCTTCGAAATACGCGGTTGCTGGACTTGAATGATTCACTAGGTCGAGACAGGGAACCATTGCCTCCCCTGACCTAGGCAAGGCTATTACACATGCTGGAGTCAGTGATTGCCTGGTATGGAAGTGGTTTAGCCCATTTTACGGGAACACGCAGGAGCAACGAGGCCCAAATCTGCCTGGGAGGGAGATAAATGCCCCCAAAGAACTAACCGAGCGATCGAGATCGATAGAGAGCGTCCAACAAAATCCAATCCCTTAGAGTAATTTCATCAGCTTCGACCAGTGCAGTCCATTGCGGAAGGTCCGAAATCGTGTCTCGAATGTGACTGAACTCCTTCGCCAAAGTAGCGAGTTTCGCTGATACAGCAGACTAATATACAATTAGAGAGGAGCTGTGGTGGTGATGGAGTGAGCCTACTTCGAGCGATGTGCCTCTCAAAAGAGACAACTCATGCTCAGACCACATTGTAGGGACAGGCACTTTTGTAGGAAGGAGCTTAACATATTGCGTCCAAGCTGTGACAGCCCCTTGACCACCCTTATAGTCTGGGGACGAGAGAACAAGTTGCGTTAACAAGAAGAGTAGTATATCGCTCCTTAGTGACTGGAAGATAAAAGACATTTTGTTAACTAGTGGCCGAAAAATGAAGACTCGGGGTTTCTACCTGATGACCAGCTACGTCAAGGAGTTGGCGGAAGTCTTTGCTTTCTCTGGCATACTCTTCAATGCCCGCGGCTGACAGGATAAGCTCTCTCGGAATAGTAAGAAGGGCTGCGAGCTCGTCGTTTTCGTTGTTGAGGTGAATCTCAGTTATCAAGCCTAGGCCGCGATCTTCAATCTGAAATGTCCAGACTTATTAGTCCGGTTCTTTATCATATACTTTCAGAGCTGCAAAAGTTACGGCGCCCACGTTTACTGGGCCAAATATTGACGTACTGTAGTGACAGTTAGCTCTGACAGGCAATAGATCTTTTCTAGCAACACCGAGTCTCCAGATGGAATAACCTGCTGTGATACGTACCATCCGCGACGCTCACATTAGTAAAGGAGATGCTATTGAGCATACACCATGCTGGTAAATTTTGCAATGGAAATTCCCCTCTTCGCATTGTGGTGAAGATTCGACAAGCGAAGATAATCTGTCAATTTGAGACGACTTTCTGATAAAGCGCGCATGCGAATATACGCATGGATATGAGCCGGCGTATAGGCACGGAACGAGAAAACCACGGACAACCCAACAGGAGGATTGCTATCTCTTCTGTCAATGTCATGGAATGATCCAGCTAACCAATGTACCCATCTAGAAAACCTACCCTAGTAGTGTGTAGCTAGTCCACCCAAGGTCAACAGTTATATATAGATAGGGAACCTGGTGCTGGCCTTCTGGCTTAGTGCAAGACAACAGCGTTGGACATTTTCAGCAGAAGACACACATCTCTAAAGGATTGAGTCAAGTATTGCATCTATAACGGTCAGATGCTATAAGGTGCAGGATATAGATAGCACGAAGGCGCGAGAGAGAGGCTGAAAGCACGCCCTAGCTAGCCTATGACAAAGTGCCCCGCGCCGGAATTTATATCTACGACCCCCACCTCAATTCACCTCACCCACCCACCCAACCTGGTATCTTCTTTTGCGACAACGCAGCCTGCCACCCGTCTCCTAGCACCAGCACGGCTTGTCAGATACTCTGCGTCGAGCGCTCGGTCGCACCATGCCGCGAGATCCATTGATCGGCCTAGTCGGCAAACCTTCGGCTGGCAAGAGCACGACCCTGAACAGTCTGACCGATGCCACGTCCAAAGTTGGTGGGTTTGAACCCCCTGCCAGCCCGTCGAGCCGAGCAACGACGCTGATCTGATACCCGCCCAACAGGAAACTATCCGTACGCATGCCTGCCTACCCTATGGTTGCTTACTCCTCTGCGCCCTTCAGGTGAACTCGTTACTTACATTTGACTCGGTATATCCTAAAGATTCACGACCATCGATCCGCAGCGTGCCATTGGCTACCTCCAGATACAATGCGCCTGCGAGAGGTTCAAGGTGCAGGATAAATGCCGCCCCAACTACGGGTCGTGCGTGGACGGTCGGCGCTCGGTGCCCATCGAGCTTCTCGATGTCGCGGGGTTAGTCCCCGGCGCCCACCAGGGTAAGGGGTTGGGCAACAAATTCCTCGACGACCTGCGCCATGCGGATGCGCTGATCCACGTGGTGGATGCGAGTGGGAGGACAAACGCCGAGGGCGAGAATACGCGGGGTTACGACCCGTCGCAGGATATAGCCTGGCTACGTAGCGAGATCGTACAATGGATCAAAGGCAACCTCTGGGAGCGGTGGGGCTCGATTAAGCGGCGCCACGTTGCTGTCAAGGCCACGGCCGTCGAGACGCTACAGCAGCAGTTCTCCGGTTACGGGAGTACGTCATCCGTTGTCGCGCGCACGCTGGACAAGCTCGCGCTGAAAGAACCGCTCGAGGCCTGGTCCGAAGAAACGGTAGATCGTGTCGTGGCCGCCTTCACCGACGAGAAGTTCCCCACCGTTATCGCCCTGAATAAGATCGACGATTCGGATGCGTACACAAATCTCATGAAGATCACCAAGCAACAGGACCCCAACCTCGTGGTGCCTTGCTCGGCTAAAGCAGAGTTGTTCCTACGTAAAATGGCAAAGCAGGGCTACATAAGATATACGGAAGGAACCGAATTTGTGGACACCCGGGAAGACTTGATTGCCGACGGCGACCCGAACGGCGGGGGCCTCAAGGAGTTAGATGAGAAAAACAAGGCTACAATCGAAGAATTCAGGGACATGATCCTATTCAGATACGGCTCTACTGGGGTTGTGCAAGTTCTGTCCAAAGCGGCCGAGATACTGGGTCTGGTACCCGTCTTCCCCGTGAGGAATACGACAACCTTCAGCTCAGGCTCAGATACCAAGGTCGCCTTCAGAGACTGTGTCTTAGTCAAGAAGAACTCCACAGTGGGCGAAGTTGCTAGGAAAGTCATGGGAGATGCCCCAATAGCCTATGTGGAAGGTGTGGGAAGTGTACGTGTATCTGAGGATGCTGTCGTTAGCCCCGGCAAAAACGATGTGAGTTGGATTAAATCATGGTGCCAAACCGGCTCACTAATCGTTTCTCTTAACCTAGGTATTATCATTCAAGGTAGGACGAGCGTAATGAATTCTATAGAGATCTGCCACATGATAGATACATTGCTTCGCTATATCCTTACGCTTCTCATCAGCTCGTACTAAAGAATATGCATATATATTTGTATGTTCATAAGTCTTACCTAAGTGGTCTTTTTGGACAGCCAACCTGCTTTGCTTCCTTGAATGCTACTGCTGATAGTAGTGTTATGGGTTATCCAGAAACCTTGCCAATTTTGTATATTAGATATCGAACCCCATATATTCGCTTGCGCTGCTGGCACACCACAAAGTAAGTCAACGTAATCGAGTCCTGCTGACTCTCGCGTGCTAGCTCCTTTACAGATATAGTATTCTTTTCGCTGAACTTCAGCACTGATGTCGGGAAGCGCGAGCACTGTGATTTCATTCAATCAGAGTACAGACAAATCAGCTTCCATCGCAATCACGTTTTCCCTGTTGGAATGATTATAGAGGCTAGTGCAGATGTGTATCATATTGGGTATCGGATTCATTCATCATTATAGGTATCTAGAGCTCGTAGCTACGAGGCCAACACCAATCAAGACGCCTAGATCCATCGCTGTACCAAGCCACCACTACTGAGCAAAAGAAAATTATATATAGCGATGTCAATCAATGCACCAATCTCTCCCCATTGCCGGACGTAACGAAACCAGGCATGATGCTGAGCCATGTAAGGCAGAACAGACAGTGACAAAACAATGCAAGTGATTCGAAACAGATATTCAACGACCGTGAGAAACCCCACCGCATGCCGAGCCCAATATTAGGTTGTGTCGTACAGCACTGACGTGTCTGGCAAGCTTGACCCATCGTGATCTTATGGTGCGTTGCCAAGCCTGGGCTCCATGTTCTTCTTGCAACGTAGAAAGTCGACGAAGGGGGGTTCCGCGAGTCTTATAGAAAATGCATTGTTCGGGTATAGTGCGTTTGGTAGGAATCAATCACAATCAATCGAAGGAAGCGCCGCCTTGCTTATTGCACCGGTTCTCGCAACCGTGATTAATACTTTAGAATAATGTACCTGAATACGGATCAAGATTAGCCTTGGCCTCTGTGGGGGCACTAAAATTGGTTGCTCGCTGCTGGGTGATGTCGGATAAGTCGGCGAGCTAATGTGTAAAGTACGTACAGCGCATGAATGATGCCAGGGATGTAACCCAGAATTGTCAAGAGGATGTTGATCAGGAAGTCGGCACCGCAGCCACGCTCAAGGAAGACACCGAGAGGCGGGAGAATGATGGCAAGAATAATCTTGCAGATATCGCTAGCAGCCCAAAATTAGCCATTAGCAACAACGACAAGCACCACATGTGAGCTTCAAAAGACGCAGCGCGCGTCAGTCAGTGAGCCGAAGACATACCTAGCAGTGAAAGGCATTTTGGTCGATTGGGATGATCGATGTGGTGAGTGAAAGAGGAATTGGTGCGCAGTTGCAGGATAGCGAGCTGAGAGACTGGAAAGGAACTGGTTTCGGTCAATTGGTAGTAAGATTAAACAAAGAGATTGTGTGACAGAGGTTGAAGGGGTAAGAGAGAAGGGACAAGGTGGATGGTTGGGCCGTCGGGTGTTTAAATAAGTAACAAAGCAAGATTGTCCACCAGCCAGGAATGCCCAAGTCACTGATGGACAATTCCTTGGATGGTTCCCTTGGTTCGCTGGGTTGCCACTTGTTACTTGTTTCTGGCTGGGTAGCGTACATGTACCACGAACTCGAAGACGGGACAGACACGATCTGTTTGCCGTCTGGGCCTGCAGGGCCAGACAAATGATGACGATGCAGTTAGCCACGGACACTACGGTACTGCTACACTCCCTCACTCACTACCTGCTGTTCCCAAGCTTGCCCTGTCACAAGCCAGGCACTGCGTCATCAGCCTACCGTGGACCTGCCCTCAGAGTGGGACTGGCTAAGTCGGCGGTTTTGCGCTATGTACCTCTACCTATCTGCCTACCAACCCTAGAACGATCCTCACTTATGTACGTACCTAGCATGTAACTCACCTAGGTACCTAATAGGCACCACGTAACGTAAGGGACAAGAGAGAGGAGTTGGGTTGTATGTACTATGTATTCTGCCCCGTGATACTCTCCCTGCCCAGCACAGGATAGGTAACTTGGATGTGAGAGCAAGCTGATGTTATTCTCTGCCGTTTCCTACGCCCCTACCTTCTGAGAGAAGTTCCCGTTCAGGTCAAGTTACATAGGTGGCTGGGTACATACAGTCGCTATGGACGGATAGAGACGGGCTCCTACCTACTACCTACCTCGCTACCTTCAAGGTTGTATGGAGTACTCCATGGCTGGTATGGCAAATTTGGGTGCCCGGCAAACCGGCAGCCTCTAAGACATCATCAAAGAGGTTAGAATGACATCATTTACTATCCATGAAATATGAGCTAATCCAATCGCGACGTGCATTAGCGTCTAGACCACAAAACGCGAGACATCAGCCACATTGCGTCTGCATCTCTCGGCATCTGGAGAATCGGGCTGTGGCTGTGTCTCTCCAGCCATCCATGGATCTTGAACATGGTCTATTTTTAATATGCGCATACATAGGTATATGTAGGCAGTCGAGGGTAGTCGGATAGTGTACAGATATCTACCTGGACTCTGCTGGACAATACTGACCCTTGCACACCTGAATGGCCCATAAAACAGGCGATGCTTCATTGCGCGTTCGTTCTCAGCCATACATTAAAATTGCAAGCCGATACTTGCGGCTCTTAACCCAGATCACCAGATCAAGTACCCTTACCCTACCACAACCCACCCCTGTCTACCACACGATAGCCAAGACTTGCTAGGTTCCCATCTCGCACCCTGGGATTTCAACCGCGAAGTTGTATACGTCAATGTTGATGGATATTTATGCACTACTGTTTTATTAGATTGAGGCTTGCGAGGGCGGTTGTCGTACGCTGTAGAACTTACCAACCGAGAACGACAATCTTAAGCATGATATAGCCTCTGAAACAAAGCTTGACAGACGAGAAATTCGTGTTGAAGGTGTCGTAAAAGCCTAAGTATTAGTTCATTTTAGCAACTACCTGCTCCCTTGCTTGGTGCCCCATACGAGCGCTTGAAAGAACGTCAGTCAGTGGTGCCAAGCCGGTTCTCGGATAGTTGGAATTACCTACCCAAGCTCAAGCGAAAACAGCTGCTAGTAGAAACCAACATTCCATCCTCAACTCTTGCCCTCGAAAATTGAGGCATTGGATAGTAAGTACTGACCACGGCTAAATTTCTTGAAAATGTATCGGCGTGAACAAAACTTTATTTACAACATGAACCTCCATAGCTTGGGAGAGATGTAGTTTCGGAGTAGTGGAAATAAACCGAATATAATATAACATTATTAGTCAGCACTATCTCAATAGCTCTCGAACTTCTAAGACAATATACCTAGACTTAGTTTTAAAAAAAAAAACACCAGCAAATGAAGACGAAATATACTCGTCGATAGCGTACGGCTTTCACATAGACAATGGCTCCTCCAACACCACTCCCGACATATGTCTATAAGATCGTGCCGACAGCCCCTCCGTCGCCGATCCCCGCGCAGTATCCGCTCTCGGAGCTAGATCAGAAGGACGGGTTCGTGCACTTGAGCATAGCGACACAAGTGAGTAGTTAGCACTTCCATATTATCGTCTTTTTCCCGTAGTCCGCGGTATCACGATTGTGGCTTTTTTATTCCTCTAAAATCCCAATCTGTCGTGATCTGTGCGTCTGTCTACCTCCATATCTTCGTCAACTCCTCGCCCACCTCCCTGCCGCCCTATTGATCATCCCAAGTTCGACATGACTAACAACATCTTTTACCTAGATTCCGACGACGGCCGGTCTCTTTTTCAAGGACTCTACGGTCCTCTGGATACTCAAGATCCGTTTCAAGCCCGAGTTCTACGGTGCTACGACTTGGGAGGTGCAGGGCTGTCCGCACCTGTACGGCAACTTTGGAGCCGATGACATTGAGGACGTCAAGGAATTCTCGCGGTCCGAGGGAGAGAGCTGGAAGGATGCAATGGAAAGACAGAGTGGGTTCCTAGTTTGAGAACTGCTTTCCTCAAAGATTGTCGGGCTGTGCGTGTGAGGTACATAGAAGCATAGACAGTTACCCTTGGGCGGTATGAGAGAGAGGACAGGGTGGAATCGGTTGATATACTGGAATCTCTCGATGCATGGTAGGTAGTTTCAGGGACGTGATTCAACATATCAACGTTTATTGGCGGTTCATAAATAGGTATTGCTGTCTCGATGTCATTAGACCCGGAACGAGAGGTACGGGTTATACCTCGTTCACATAAAACATATCATTTGAGACGTCTGCGGTATTAACTGGGTAGTAGCTACTCTTCGGAAAGGCATTAAAAAGTACAGGGTTTTGCTTCTGAATTTCGTCAATATTATATATACATACTAGGTTCTCCTGTATGCTTGGTAGTCCGACCAAGCTTGTCGGAGCATTAGGCCTCTTTAGACGCCGCAGTATTGCATCGGCAACCAGTATCGGAGCATCCTCAAGAGCTTTTCCAGAAACAGTTCGCACTTCCCACAAAACCTTCATTAAATCATTAGATTGTAAACGCCAACGCTGAAACAACAAAGACACTCTCTAGACTCAAAAGCTCCCGTGATAATTTTTGCTTGACTGCGCAAAAGAAGCAAGAGACCTCTAAACTATATTCAGCTGTGGCTTGTAATTGAAGCCAATCGAATTTTCGCGGTCTCATTAGCCCAACCAATCTCAGGTTTTGTTTATCAACTTGCGGAAGATGTTGCTTTTTCGCCGTTCATCATCATCGTGCGCCTCGTCATTAGCGTACTGAAAGCCCGGGGTTAAGCCCATGATACTTCTAGTCTCCTTCGCTCGGCTAGGGCTTTCGGCACCAGCGTTCGATGATTGTGTAAGGTTGGCATTAGAGTCGTATGATTTGGAGTCAGCCTGCTTAGTCGTGCTACTAGCTTCAGATATCCTTCTTTCTAGGGCAAGTTGAGCCAATTCTTCCTCAGTGATCTTTCCGTGGCTGATTGTCCGCCTGTGCTTGCGAAGTAGGGTCTTACGCGAGCGATGGAGTGACTTGGAAGGGTCAATATGCTCGGCAGACATAGCAAAGCCGGGCTCGATGACAGCTTCTGGGTGTCGCATTGACGTTGTACACGAGGCAAAAAAGTCCGGGAAACCGGTGTCATAGGGTTGGTGACGACTCGTCGGTCGACTGCCGCTGGTGCTGGAAGAAGTTGTCGACATGGTGCTGACGGTCAGATTTTCTGATGATAAGGTATAGGAATAGGTTCTTGGCAGACCAGTTATTGAGCGTTCCTTCGCCTTGGACAGAGAGAGAAAGCGCATAAGTAGGGGAGACGGCAGATAGCGGGAAAGGTGTTGATCTGGAAGGAATAAGAGACCAACAAAGCTCGCTGCTATATATACAATTACCGAAGCTACGGAAAGCTTCTCGACGAAGAGACAGGGATAGAGGGGAAACACGCAGTGTCTAAGTGAAATCAATGCAAAGAGGGTGCATGAAGGTTTGAGTTATATCCGACAGGTTACAATGAGCTTAATAAGACTCTGTTTGGTCAAGTTCCCTTGTTTTGGCCTACACCAGGCGTTTGTTAGAGACGTAAGCATGCAAAGGATCAGGGTCAGCAAGGAAACAAAGAAGTTTATTGTTGACTATCAGGTGCTGGAGGATGTGATGTGTAATGCAGGCACGGTGCTACTCGGCATCACCTAGCCGAGCCCAGTGGCCACCATTGCGCAGCTTCAACGGCTCCTTTCCGAGACCTACTGCTACTCGGAGCTCACTCGCACCATGGCAAAGGAAAGATGTGGAATGGGCATGATTTGGTGCAGGTGGTCAATTCCACCTGGCAAACGGCAACTTTGCATGGGTATTGGCGGCTTGGACGGCGCGTAATGTCATGGGCTTAGGCCGGCTGCGCATTCGACCCCCTTGGGAGGACAACGGGTTTCACATAGTGGCAATTGTTGGCACTCAACTCGAGATGCGCTCAGGCAGCGTGAATGGTGTGAATGTCTTAGTTACCCAACGTTCGTAAGGTATGTTGACTGTGCTCCGTGATGGCACCACGTGCCGAGAGCATCACAGTACTATGTAGGTAGGTACCTTGACGAACGGCCCGCCAGTCTAGGCTGTCCATTGCGCTGGGCTGGCTTGGCTCGGGGTTCGTGGGCCGGTAGAAGGGTGGGCAGAGCGCTATAGAAGGCGCTAGATGGGCGCTAGAGGGCAGAGAGACGTGCACTACAGGTAGGTACCTAGGTCCCTGGTAGAGTTTGGGGGGCGATAGGGCGGTGCGGTAGGGCGGAGGTTTCAGGGGTTTAGGGCTGGTGCCTACCTACTAGATAATCAACCGTAGACAGGTCCGTAGATAGAGGATGCCGGCAGTACCGAGTGCTTTGCAATAGTTGATTGGCGGTCGTGCCGTAAATCCGAGCGCGAATAAGTACCTAGTACGTAGGTGCCTTAGTCAGACGCAGGACTGACAGGTAGGAAGACAGGTATCGTAGATACCAGGCAAGATAGACAGTTCAGGGCCGGTATTTAAACCCTTTATCCCTACAATTCTCAGCCAGGTGGGAGAAGTCGAGTGAGGCTGGGGAGATGGTAGACGTGGGACAAGCCGACTTAATAGTGTATCCCGCGGTAGAAAGTCAGGCGTATCGGTGAAGACATCCACCGTATTGGTAACCAATATGCTGAACACACAAGTAGCTACTATGTATGAGATAGTTTGCCGTGATTCCGATATCTGGCACCAAGTGCAAATAGCGGCGGCCTGTCCGCTGCGCATCACCACAATAAGCTCCTCACCGAATTGGTATTCGTTATCGTTACTACAAGCAGCTAGCCACCATCCTTAACCAGAGAGATACTGGTTCCACCAAAGTAAAGAGCAGAGCTAGAGGTAGGTAAGGGAGAGTGAAGGAGGAAAAAAAGTACCGTATTTGCGGTGTAGGCACCTCGCATGCGCCACGCATAATAATCTACACTAGACACTAGACGGAGCATAAGAGTGTTTGTGATGGCGAGAAGCTCGGCAGTCGGTCTCGCCCCCGCCGTCAATGGGTTGTACATATTTTCATGCACACCCCGCAGCGACATAGATAATTAAGATAAAAAGGTTGAATGCTGTGCTGTACTTAGTCAAATGACCAGAGACGGCGTTGACGAGTATTAACTCGACTCCTGCCTAACGCTCTCGGAGAGCCAAGAAAATCGCGCGATGCCGAAGTGAGCCAACATAGGTAGCCAGACCTCGGAGCAACTAAAGAAGAAATAGCCCAGCCATTCATTGTACAAGAGCACTTGTGAACGACTTTCGACACATGATAGCCTCGGCTCTGAGGATGAGGCCGTTCAAATCAAGCACCAAAAAAGTATTTTAGAGGCTAAGAGCACTCGTAATTAGGGTGTGCGTCGCGTGAAGTCTCGCGCATCTGTATAGTTGTGCCATGCTGCCGTCTCCTATCAACACAACACTGTCCCGCAATAAATGTAGTTAGCTGTGCTTGCCCATCATTTCTTTCGCCAGGACTAGACATCATACTATTACGAAGTATGTATGTGTAGAAAAAATACTTATATACATCGCTCATCTCTCCGGGATCATCCCTGAATCGTGCGAACAGATCCTGCCAGCCATGATGAACTGATCCTGAGGCGTGGAGGGGTCTGAGAAGGGTGATGTTTCGGAAGACTTCGCAGCGGGGCCTGTCTGTGAGAGCTGTTATTGGTGACACGTGTTGAGCGCTCAGGCATGAGGGCCTCCTCGGGCCTCCCACGGTCTGGGACTGACTTACTTGGTAGACGTTTGATTTAGATGTATGATACCTTACATGAACTTAAAAGCTAGTCATTGACAGACAGATGAAGGTGCTAGGTAGATGCCATGTCAACCATCTTCATACCTAACCTACCTACTAGGTGCCAGGCGATCCGTAGAACTCGCAATCAGTAACGTTTCATTCCCATCAACGATTGCTTCATCTATATCTCTTCGTGTCTGTGATGATGGACATATCGGGGTAGAGCTGATTCCTTAAGTATTCCTTGCAGAGACTCATCCCGGGCCTTGGTGGGGAACTTTGCTACTTATTCATGGAAATAGAGTTTAAGTAGAGACATGGTAGTTCTTATACACGTGTGACGTCACCTAGTATTCACGAAATCTCGCCCCTCCCCGCCGTCGACGAATTCCCCCCAATGGAACGCGCCCAGGATGCCCAAGAGCTCTCGGTTCTTTGCTGCTTAGCTCGGTAGGTAGGTAGCTAGCTAGCTGCTTCTTTTACATAAATCACAATCCACCAATTCAACACCGTACCAAACCATCGTCTCACGAATTCAACCAACAGAGTCTAATCATGATTACTCTTCACCCAGCTATCCCCTTTCAAGACTCTTGAGAATAGCCCCCAAACGAACCTCGAAATGGATCCGTCGTTCGAAGAAGTCATGGAGAGCTTGCGCACAATGCAGGACCAAGCCAACGAAAAGCATCGCGCCGCCATGACTGAAGCCAACGTGCCTCTTGCCACCCTAGGAAGAGAGCATTCTCGGGCCATGGACGAGGCCGATGCACGCCTCCTCGGTCTGTCGCACTTCGATCAAGAAGTCGCTATGAATAGCGAGCGACTACGCACCCATGTCAGCGAACACGAGCGTGAGATGGCCGATGCCGACCGTCGATTGAGCAGCTTGAGCTCTAGCTCTGACAGTCAACGCCCCCGCGGCGGGAGTCAATAGGAAAAGAAAGACATATGAGGGGTGAGATCTACGCAAAAGAGTGAATGTTCCTATGGAGGCATGCGAATCTTTCATGACAACTTGTATGAACTGTATCAAAACCTCGCAGACTGTAGTTGGGCAGGGTAATTAACAAGGATATTTCAAGACGTAACATGTCAAGACGAGTTTCATTGTACTGAACATGTGCAAATACGTTTCGATACAACAATACATTTTTCTCCTCTATTATAAAGAAAAATGTATCCATTCCATTCTCCAAGTATTATACATAACTAGTAGAAATAGATCGGTATCAAAAAGGATTGATACAGAGTCAACCACCTCATGCTCCAACTAGCAATTCCAACTTATTTCGGCTTGGTTATGTTCGCTGTAAATACAAACGAACCAATTAAAGCCCAGGATTTTATCATTCATTGCCCAAAACCATAACCGAGCCTATCCGGCAAAACGCGTAACATTGCATCAATCATGAGTCCCTGGTCGACCATTGTTAAGCTCCATCCCTAAAAACGCCATGTATCAGAGAAAGGGGGGAAATATATGAGCACAATATATCGAGACTTCGGCGCGGCTGCCTCATGATTGTCTAGGAAACCGAAGTTCAGAAGGAGAAATAATGGGGACAAAAAGGGAGAAGGAACTCTAGGATTAGGGGACAAAAGAAATCATGTTCTATACTTACAATAGAGCCAAGGTGAGATCACCATGGATGCGGGCTTTCAGCGTGACCTCAACCTCAAGATTCAAATCCAGCCGTAGCTTTAGCGTATCGCTCTTGCCGCCGTCGTTCTGCTGCTGCACCTGTTGCTGCTGCTGATACTGCTGTTGCGGCATCATCTGTTGCTGTGACATGGGTGGTGGCATCATCTGCTGTTGCGGTTGCTGTCGCTGCCGAGTTGCCATTTGCTGATTGTTATCTGTCTCATCATCCGGCTGGAAGTCCTGTCGGCGACGATTCCGACGACGCTGGCGTGCAGGACGTGAGACCGACGTCTCCGAGGGTGCCGAAGACTTCTCCCGGGTTTGGGTCTGGGGGCGCTGGGTTTGCTCTTGCTGCTCTTGCGGCTCAGCCTCTTGCTGAGGTGCTGGGGACGAGTCCCTAGACTTGTCGTCGGCGCTGGAGGACATTGTGATGTTTTGAGTGCGGTGATATCTTCCACTTGTTGCTACTGAATTCTCGTCTGAAGACTTAAATCATTCAAAAATAGTTCGAGTTAATGAGCACGCTTAGGTTACAAAAGATGTATTAAACTAGGAAAGCTCTAGCTCCCGCGGGATGATGGGGTAGACACGAGTCTTATATATCGAGTCTGCGTAATGGGGTGCAAATATCGAGCTATTAGGACCCTACCCGCATCCCAAGTCCGTGCGGGATCCGTGCCTCGCCCCTCCGCGCAGGTCTTGGTTTGGTGTCATATCGTACTACTTCAACGTCACAGCCCAGGGTGGTGTGAGATGGGAGAAATCCGGATTTTGGTGGAAATCTGGGTCCCCAGAGTGGTTGCAGATCGAGATCACGGAAAAGTCTGGGGACTTACATCATGCGCCGCTATAAATTACGCTGTTAAGCCCCAACCCCTAGTCGTCTGCTTTTTCTTGGCGTTGGCGCCTGGGTCAGACATCGAACAAGATAGATCCCTGTAGATGAGTGACGCTTTGTCCTGTCATCTACCCAGAAATAGGCAGCTAACTCTAACGAGAGTGAAGTGCATTTGGCATAGGTACATACTTACGTACGTGTAGTTATACCTAGGATATCATACTGTAGACTGAATCACCGACAGCATGCGTACAGTAAACCTAGACTTAGATGTAACATGTAGGTAGTTGAATTCGCTATCCCTTGTCACATCTAGCCCAGAAGCTAGACTCGGGGGGATAGTGCTTGTTTCAACGGTTGATTCAGGTCCCCACGATGGTTAGCTTTGCGACTTGCGTCTACAACAAACGCCCCCCAAGATACCGTCCTACCTCATGCAGTAGGCTCAGTGTACTCATTTCTTACATCGTATAAGTTTCATTCGAAATGTCGCATACTGGCATCTAAACAGTTGCCACAAGCGATTAGTGGCGGCAAAGATTCCCAGCACGCCAGTTAGGAATGTGTGCTATGTATGTTGTCCGTAGAGGTGGACACAGAAAAGTTTTTTTTAAGAGGACAACTCAAGAATTAATGGCTTATTATTAGTTGAAACCCTGTCCCTTTTGCGTGTACTCTCCAACGCAACTTATATCTATGAGAGTCCTGATGGAACGAGATAAATCGATATAGTGACTAAGCTAGGCGCTCGAGTGACTGATGAGTCAACGCCATGGATATTATGAGAAGGCGCATGATTGAACTTGGAACTAAGCGAATTCAAGTGGAAGCCTCTTCTTGATCGTCCACTTACTTGCCAATGCTCAGCAATCAGCTAGATCGTGAGCCTTTATTTGGTGCTTGAAATCGCCCCTTAACCGAGCTACCTAGATGGCGGTATTGGATTGGAATATGTTACCCGCTCCTTTGCAACGGCAACAAAACCCAACGCATCTTAATTTGGCGTAACTTAAAGTAAACGCCTACGAAACACAAGTGACGTATATTCATTTCGAGCCTAGTTGGCTGTGCTACTTGAGGAGAGCGGTATATATCTATCATCTGAGAGACGTATTCTGTTTCATTATGAGGTGAGTAAACACATATAATTGTTCGTATACGTAACATATGCGGCTATGTCTTGATGAGATAGTCAATTGGATCAGAAGACACACCTATATCTTTCATTATGCATTTCCCGTGTACAAGAATGTGGCTAACTGATAGCCCGTACATACTACGCCTCATTGTAAAAGATATAAGAACTAATGTACCCCAAGGTGGACCGCAATAAGTCATAAGTAAAAGGCCATGAAATTGCTAGGAAGTAGGGCAAGTATCGACATGTCTTTGAAATCCCCTACTCCAGGAGCTTTGTTAGTCACAGTATTATACCATGTTATCATCTCCCAAGTTCGCTCAGCCACGACCTTCAAAGTTATCATACGTATGTCTCGAATGTGGATGTAGGGCCGTATGTAATCCATTGCTGCCTTCCAACTCGGATATGAATGAGATATGGGGGCTTTGAAAATTCTCCGAAGTGGATGGACTCGTAACAGTGGCTCGAGGGTCGCACGATGATCGGTTTGAATCCGGGGAAAGAAATACGCGTTTCTCGACAGGCGAGGTTTCTGAGCCAACAAGTCAATAAGCGAATTAATCATATGATATGTGTGACGTCTTCCAACATTCAGACCCGATAGTGTTATCAACTCTGGGGTCATGAGTATTTACCTTGGAAGAAACCATGGGACGGTATCACATTCTCCGACGTGCCATTAGCCAGTCCCGGTTCGTATTCAGATTCCTGCCGAGCGCGCTCCCTCCTTTTGACCCATAGATACGCTGCTATAACTAGCAACAGTATCACAACACCGGCAACCGAAATTCCAGCGATCATCCCAGCGCGGGCACCATCGCTTGAGCTTGAACTCTCAGTACCTTTCGGCAACACAGCTGTGCCCGTCGTACTCGAGCTAGAACTACTACTTATGGTACCAGTGGTGGTGGTCGTCGTCGTGTCTGGCAACATCAGCTGACTAGCATTTCTCGGGTCGTTACTCAAAGCCGCGGCGACAAGGTTGCCATCCAAACAGCCGTTGTTGCATGGATTATTCTTGCAACATCCGAGAAATGGCGGCCGGGCGTTATCGCACGTGTACCAGCTGCCATTGAGAGGGTCGGCGCAGTCTTGCTTCAAGAACATAACACCACTAGCAGCGCTGTAACTAGCGACGAAGAGCTCTGAGTCGGGGCATACCCCATCGAGTTCTGAAGTGCATGGGTCCACCTTACAACAGCCGATGAATTTCGTCGATGATTTCTGACATATGTGAAATTTGCCGTCTACTGGACAGGTCAGCCCAAACTTTGTGCGTGGATCTTCTGGGGCGGCCATCTAGATCGTCCTTCGCGATCGGTGATATGGGACAGGTAGGTAGTAGCGGTGCTTCGTTTAATACTCGATGTTTTTTGACTTTGGAAACAACTCAAAGGGGCGGAATCGAGACAATAGAGTGATAGGAATCCATCAAGTTATAAGCCAAGCTATTATGGCAGCAACAATGAGCGGCGCCTTCTCCATGTTGACCGGGTTTTATATATCCTTGTCGTCAGCTATCGGGATTTGCTAGGGAGATGTTTTAAAATAATTTGATCCAGCTAGCCGGTTGTCTCATATGCTTAGACAACTGTTGGTGGTGGCGCACAGGTTAGCTGCAGGAGAGACACTATCGGATCCCTGCGCCAGAGCCTCGCCAGAGCCTCGCCCTCATACTAATTGGTCAGCCCGTCCCATTTTAGAAGAACAGCTGCAGGTAAAGGGTGCGGTCTAGCATATGATGGTGCCCATCAACATCACTAGCACTACCAAGGTCAGCGTAAGGGTTTCCAATCTTGCTAGAAGCTTGCGGCTATTTTCTGCTTTCATCTCCTCCTAGTAGTAGCCTTACCAGCAAGCTAATCTGTAGCCGAGAAAAGTGCTCACTTTGTCTCACATCGAGTGTTGTACGGGAGGGGCAACACGAGGCAAGCAATCAGCCATAATGAGGCTATGTCGTGGTGACCCTGTTTATGACGGAACACTTCTAGTTATAGGATCCGGTATAGAGTAGAGAGGTACCAAGGTAGGATATTAGCCCCTTCCACAGTGAAAGCCTATATATAGTAAGTATAGACCGCCTTGTGTTCTTCCTGTAGCTGTAAGGCACACCGAAGTGAGATGATTATTTGGCAGCTAACAGTCATCCGAATCTAGTATTCTTATCGGAAATCTCCGGCGTCTTTTCTACATGCTACTGACAGCTACAATTCGACATACACACCACCAACCTCGGGGGGCTTCAGTGAGACATAGCGTGTTGCTAGCCAGCAGCACATGGCCTACTGACCAAAATCCAAATGCAATTGTTCAATATTGCCTACTAGAAATCAAACCACGGCATAGTAGTTTCTCCTATATACAAGCAAGAGAGCCTTCTATTGTTAGTCGACTTTGTTTTCATTCTCTTATGTACATTATGCGCGTTATGATATCAAATCCTCCATTTTGTGCTAAGGCTGGGCGGCACATCATCATCACCCGTTCCCCATGTCGTGCTTTCCTGTGGACCAAGTGTGAGTTCTAGGGTGCCGCCACTCATGAAGAAGTCGTGTGTCAAGTAATTCTTAGTATATATTTTCCCGTCTAGGGTGGCACTCTGAATGTAAATGTTCTTATACGAGAGGTCGAAATTGATATTTTTGATAGTTGCTGTATTACCTGTGATTCCATTGGTGATCGAAACCGTTGGGAAGAATGGAGGTGTAATGAAGTAAACGTCTTGACCTGGATTTGGGAAGATACCCAGCATCGCCAAGGCTGCGAATGAACCCATAGCCCCTGAGTCGTCATTACCAGGTATGCCCGCTGTTGAGGTGTTAAATTGACTCGGTATGTACTACCGCTCGCTCATGTCAGTGTTTTCTCGATCCGACGACTTGTTGTCGCCATAATAGATAGCTATGGCCCCTAGGATCGCCTAGAAAGGGGAAATATAACTCACATAGTGTACTCGCTCTGCCGATTTAGCTGGCCGGCCAGCATAGTGGTACTGGAAGATAGGAAGGAAGCCTTGTTCATCTCCAACATAGAGAAGCCCGCTCTCGTGAAGGAAGTCGAGCCTTCTGACAAACGCATCTGGACCTCCCAAGGTGGTGATAAGGGTGGCCATATCGTGAGGCACGAAAAACGTGTAGAGCCAAGCACTACCCTCATACGTTTCATGACCGTTTGGGTTAAGATAGCAGGAGTCAAAATTGTTTAGTGGCGAGCAGAAATTTGGGTCTTGAAAGCCAAAGGTAGCATTCAGATATTTTGGTTGGAGGAAACCAGTGAAGTTAGTGTCAACCCCGTTTACAGATGAGGTTTGATCTGGGTTATACAGGTTCACCCAATTGCCAGATCTTTCAGTATACTTCTCATAATCATCCTTCTTTCCTAATTTTTCTGCCATCTCGGCGATACAGAAATCGTCATAAGCGTACTCGACTGTCCGTGATATGCTTCGAGTAAAAAGGCCATTCCCATACGGGTCAAAATCGTCCGCGGGAATATAACCAAGATTCTTCCAGCTGTATAGTCCTCCTCGGCCTTCATAATCCCAAACTTGACTGAGAATTGTATTAGTAATATTCCAAGTCTTCCGGCGAGTATCTTAGTACTTACGGCTCAATTTCGGCATCCTTAATCAGTGCCTCGTATCCTGTATCCCAGTCGATTCCTTGTGTGATATTCTTCAAATATGAGTCAGCCAACACTATATCAGCATTCGAACCGCCTTGTGTCCAGCCCTTGCATAAAGACATCCGACAGTCCGGAAGCCAACCTTCGTGTCGGTAGATGTCGATAAGGGAACGAATCATAAGAGCTTGGGAGTATGGGTCTACTAAAGTGATAAAAGGATGGATCGATCTGAAGGAATCCCAAATGCAATAGTATGAATCGTAATATGGTTCATCGCTCTCCCAAAGAGGATTCTCGCCTGTGTAATCTTGAGGGCTAATCATTGCTCTGTAAACTCCGCTCCACTACAGTTCGCTGATGTCAGTAATTACTCTTTCAGGTAAACTAGGAGCAGGTTTCGGGGGGTATGGACGATTTCTTGAGACACGCTCGTGACTCTAACAGGCAATTATGGCTCCCACGAGAGTCTAAAGGGAAGAAAATGATTACAGGGGTCGCGTACAAATATAGTCTGCAGATCATCCATGGAAATTGTACCAGTCGAATTGTCGGGAGTATTAGTGTCGATTTCAAGCACACTGAATTTTTCTTTCCATGCTTTCTCGGCTACGGCAAGGGTGTCTTGGAAGCTAAAGTCTGGAATCTCGGCTTCCGCGTTCCTGCAGGCTTTCTCTGGACTGATAAATGAAAGTCCAACTCGTGCTATCAGTTCTTCACCCTCATTGACTTCCTCGAACCATGCATACTTCAGTCCTTAAGATTAGCACTTGTCATTTTGAACGCTTTTTAATCCGAAAAGGTGTTACTATCGAGAGTATTATAGCATTTGGAGAAGTTACGCCACCCTTACGTTCTGAGAGGCACTGTATTAGAAGGGAAGCGTGTGCAAAAATCACTTACCGTGCCGGCTGGAATTGGGGGAGAATTATTGTCTTCTTGAAGCGTTATATTTTTCGGTTCGCTGCCGCCCCGAGTGTTGATAAATACGCCCGTATCTTGGATTGACCCTCCTTTGAAATCCGCGCAGAAGTGAAGTGTATATGTTCCAATACCAAATGATGGATTGAAGGTACCCGTGCCCATCATTCGACCTGTATCAGGATCTACCGACGCAGTACCATTCTTACGAGTGTTGGGAAGATCAGTCAAGTCAATAAACAGGAGAGGACTGAGGGATTCATCGACTGCAGCGTCGCTAGTAGCGTTGTTGAAGAACGTAAATCTATACAAGGCTGTATGATTTGACGTGGTCATCTCAGCCTTGACGCCTGACTCCAGGCCAATAGTGAAGTAACCAGGGCGCGCGAACACACTATCATCAACGACACCAATAGATCTTTGGCTTTTCGGGAACACACAGTCATTGACGTCGTCAGACGCGCGCGTGCATACAAATATAGGAAAGTTAGCCAGAGAAGTCGCACCACCAGTCCCGGAGTCATGCATATGGGAGAATCCGGTCACCGGGCTTCCATTAGAGGCACTACGAAGGTTTAGGGTCAGCAAATCCTATCCTGGCCCAAGGCAGTATATAAACCAAGATGCTGAATATAGATAAGGAGCTTTCAAGCTGTGACTGTGTAGTGTTCATGTGGGTGGTTTGAATGGCTACACACGGAAGAAGTGAAGCTGAGAGTCACTTACTATCCACCCTGGTTATCCTCAGTCACATCGGCTACGGCCTTTGCCATGCCTGTGAACCAGTCAGTAGGGGTGTGCAATGGCTGTTGTAGTCTCCCCGCAGTTAGGCAAGGGCAGCAGAATGACATACCAAAGGGCAGAGTCGCTCCAGCGAAAACATGGCCTGATATACCAATTAGAAGCTTGCACGCAAGACGAGAGGTCCAACGTACCGCCGTTGCGAGTGCCGATGAGGGGATCGACAAAGTTATAGGCAGTGTCCCCAGTGCTAGATGCCCCGGACGACGGCTTCAGGGACGCGATTATGGTGTAGTAGAAGAACAATGACCGAAAGCCCATCTTGTCGGCCTCAACATCGACGAAAGCGACGGCCAATTCCCAAGAACGGGGAGGTTTGTATGACTAGGAGGAAAGACAGGAGTCAATGGTCGATCGTACGAGGCCCGGGTTCTCGGGAACCTAAATATCCACGGACACGGTGCCGTGTAAGTGTAAGTAAGTAAACACCTTTCGTGGTTCCATCTGTAAGTCGGGATAACAATGCGATGTCACCGAATCCACCGTCGAATACCACCTGCCTACCTCCCACGGCGATTCGCATTGGCTGGCTACCGAATGGGGAAATGTTGCGGTGATCATGTAGGTAGCGTCATGGTGCACAAGCCGCCGTCGGTGTAGATGACCACACCTTGGTATCGTTCCTGTACGATGATGCCGGTGTAGGAGTTCTAGAAGGAACTCTTTCTTGTATCTAACAGCACGTTCTGGGTAGACGGTGCAGTTCTCATCAACAACATTGCAACCACAGCTGGCCAGAGTCAGGGCCCTTGTGGTCGGAAGCATCGCATCTTTAGCTATGTAAACAGACATGGACTGTACGTTAGTACCGTACCTAATGCCCAGCACTGCGGGGTTAGTTTAGTTTGTGGGGGAGCAAGACCATTCTGTCGCCTCTGTTGCTTCTTACGATCCCTTCCCCACAGAGAGCTGGAGATGAATGAGACCTACCTAAGTAGGTTACGGCGTTGGCTACTAGACTAATGCTTACTTCTATGGAGTACTTATGTAAAATTCTACCTAGGTAGGTAGGTAGGCAGTAATAGGACTCGAGACGATAATATACAGAGTTGGGGCTGTTCCAGCTCATCACCATGGTGAGAGGAACAGAACCATCATATAATATTGTGAAGAATACGCGACTTATCTACGTTAACCTACTAGGTAGAGGTATGTACCAATCTAGCCGAGAATGGAATTCTTACCAAGGGTGTGTCGAAGCACCTACTAGATATGGAGGTATCCTGTGTCGAGGCTGTAATGTCTGTCTCTCTAGGAAGACCGAGGGGCTGCCTTGCATTACGCTGGTGAAAAGGTGAAAAGACACAAGCCCGAATAATTACATGTCAAGACTAGTTACGTGAAGCAGGGAATGAGCCGGTCTACGTGTAGAACGGTCGATTACATATCCAAGTATTTCCAGCTATAATCTCTTAAATGGAAAGAAATGCTCTCAGCCTTAGGTAGACACCTGGGCAGTCTTTAAAGGCTTCCAAGGTTAATTCAGGGTTATTATCTTACCTAAAGGTACCTATTTGTACCTACAGCAGACTACAGTACTTGTGGGGCACTCTACAGGCTGGTAGCTCGCTGCCCCATTCCGCCACGCTTTCTGATTGGTTCAATTGGCATTGTCCGTGGTAGCTGCAGCGCCTTAGCACAGAGCAAAGAAAAATTTCCAAATTTTGTAGGTTCGAGTCGCTTCACTAGATAGAGCCTTGGGGAATCCCCTACTGTCAACTAGATCTGTACCGACAGCCTTCACTCGATTCACGCCACAGTTGAAGACGCTCTGCGTCTAGTCATAGTCACTGCACCTTTCAATTGCCGATTTCTGAAAGATCTTCTGGCCACCCCTCACCTGAATTCAAAGTACAGAACCAACCCGAGGCGCGGCCGTGAAGCAGCAACGATGGGGGCCACGAAGCCAGAAAAGAAGGAGAAGAAGGAGAAGAAGGAGAAGAAGCGAAGCGAAGCAGATGGCGTCGGCAAGGTGAAGAAGGACAAGAAGGATAAGAAAGATAAGAAGGAGAAGCTTAAGAGCGCCGTCTCCGCCGCCCTCGACGACCAGGAGCAGGCCGCCGATACCCCAATCTCCGTCACCGTCGAGGAGACCACAACGACGACAAAGGCTACTATAGCCCCCGTTGTTGGCGCCTTGGTGCCTTTTGCGAGGCCGCTTGCTGACGAAAAGGCCACTAAGAAGGTCATGAAGAGTGTGCGGAAAGGTATGAATTCTACCAAAATCAGCCCCTCCCCCTTCCCCCTTTTATTTTCCTCTTCTTTCTTCCTATTTCGTGACTAATGCTTTCTTTCTTTCTCTGCAGCGGCGAAGCACAAGACTCTCAAGCGCGGCGTAAAAGAAGTCGTCAAGTCCCTAAGGAAATCACCCGCCGCTGGTCCGGGTAACACCTCCTTCCCTGGTGTCGTCGTGCTGGCTGGGGACATTAGCCCCATGGACGTTATCAGCCATATCCCCGTGCTCTGTGAGGATGTCAACGTCCCTTATATCTTCGTCACGTCACGCGCCGAGCTTGGCGCCGCCGGTAGTACTAAGCGACCCACGAGCGTTGTCATGGTCACCGAGAAGCGTGTGGGCGGCGTCAAGAAGGGTGAGAAAATTGAGGAGGAGGATGGCGAGGAGGACTTCGCCGAAGTTTACAAGGATCTCGTCAAGCTCGTTGAGAAGGAGTCGAAGGCTCAACTTAAGCTGCTGGTATAATGAAATCTGAAAGAAAGAAACAAATACCAACAAGCAAGACGAAAAGATGAGATGGAGCTAATGATATTGCATATTTGGAGCGCGGCCCCTGAGTATCGGGAAAGGTCTATGCAAACAGTCATATTCTTTTTCGGGTATACGATTTGCGCTGGGACCAAACATTGAGACTGAATCGCTTGCTTGTCGGTTGGGTCGCACCATGCAATGATCCGGTTGCTTCTCACTAGGTTCAAATTGAGGCGAATCATTGTGTTTCATTCCGCTTCGAAAGGGAACTTTACCAATGTATCTATACATACTATTTGGGCTTTGACCATGAATTGGTTGATACCGGCGTTCAAGGGGTTAAATTGAATGTTTCTAAATACGACATGAAAAATTGCCATGTCCATTGAAAGAAGTCTACAATCAGGACTCAGGCGCGCAAGATGTCGCACACGTAGATGATTTAACTATATTTAAGTACCCAATAAGTAGTAAAACCGTACACCCATGATTTTCTTAAGTATACATTTAGGATAATAGCACAGTCCATCACTAGGATCAGATTCTCATTACATCGTCATTATCGACCACCCACTCAGTATTTAGTCGAAGGGGTTGGTACGAGTGCCCCACCAGGTGAGGAATACAGATAGGCCGAGCGTCTCAACAACCTTGGCTAGGGCGCTTACGGCGACCGAATCGACGGCACGCTTCTCAGTGAAGAGTTGGTTGAGGAACTAGAGAAATATCATAGATCAGCTACTAGTCTGTATGGTCACCCACTTGATATCGAATAACTTACGGTAGGAGCAGAAGTAGCGAGGAAGATGAGGGAGCCGAGGTAGGCGGCGCCCTTGTAGCTTAGGGTGCCGGTAGCGTTGATGAGAGCGCCGACACCATAGGCCTGCAGCGCGGAACCGACCAGCGACGTGCCCCAGGCAACAGCGGCACCGGTGGCCTCCCTTGAGCGGAGGAACTCTTCCTTTGTGTTGGCGACCTTGGCGCGCTGATAGGTTTGGCCGAAGAGAGGAGTAAGGACTATTCGTAGTGTTTTAGTTAAGAGAGATCACGAATAACTTGACACTTGGGGTAGGGTTGACATACCAGCTAGCTCAACACCGTGGTTGAAGACAGTACCGAGGGCAATAGCCGAGGGCTTGACGGGGGGGAGGTCTGGGGAAACGGCGTTAGTGACTACAAATTCAAGAAAATGAAATCTCGAAAGGACAGCTAGCTGTGCTTCAAGAACGTAATTTGCCAACTTTATGAATCGTAGACGCGACAAGCAAGCGCAGCTGATCGAGCACTAGGGATGATAAAAACCTACAGTGTAGAGACATGGTTGTAGATTAGAATTGGTTGATGATATTGATGGTTTCGAAAGAGATGGTGTAATAGGAGGCTCAGATGTAATTGAATGGGTAGATGACACAATTCAGAGTTGTTGCTAGGGAGTGGTCGTTAATTTATAAGAGCCACGAGAAGCAAAGAAGAGCTGTCAAGGCCGATGACGACACAGCCCGACCTTGATTGAGACAGGAACAATGAGATAATCCGGGGGGACTATCCAGCTACGCGCAGCTTCAATGTTTGGTCCGAGATTCTCTCACTAGGCTAGTCTAGTCTCTTTTTACGTATACTCTGGCTCTTTCGATCATGTAACCATGATTATGATGCCCGCATTGTCGAGCTCTATTCGGCACGAAAGGGACGCTTCCACAGTCTCTATGACGTAAGAGACTCTGGCCTTGGCGGGGGCTCTGCCCACCGTTCTCGCGCCTAGAACCCCAAATCTGCCCCAAGAATCAAGGCACTTGTGGCTGGAATTTATTGTCAATCTTACCATTCATTGCCTCCACTGCCATGTCCACCATGGCTTCCATGTCGTAATGTCTTTTGGCCGAGGATAATAATCTCAAGATGACCCACGGCGGTATGGAGGTAGGCGAGTCTGGGCGAGGTAGGTAACCGCACACAGTGGAGCCGAGGCTGAAACGCTACAGAGTATATCAAGGTTACACATGATGAGGTATGAGTATACATTTCCTATTTGTCGTAAAGTGACCCTTCATGCCATCGGGTGCGGTCTAATCTCTTGTAAATCTTTGACCCAATAGATACCGGTATATGGGTACACGGGGTGGGAAAATACGCTTATAAATATGCGCTGTGTAGGCTCTCTCCCTTAGTGCTTGAGTCAATTTCGGCAACACCTCCTGCGTGCGCTTCTATTCACACATTCATGCAATAGAACCTTCAGACCGGTTGTGGAATTTCAAAACATTATATCTCTGAGCGTGAAAAAAATTTCAAAAAATCCAAAAATCGTGGTCTAGTAGGCGCAACTATAGCCTCAACCTCATCGCTCTTGGAACATACTCCATACCTGAAGTTTCCTTCGGGGCTCTCAAAATTTAGAGGGTTATAAGATCGATAGTGGTCTCGGTTTGTAATTTGCATTGGCGAAAATATCTCTTCCGACAGGTATGCTGCGTAAATCATACAATGTGACTGGATCCATCAGTAGTTGTAGGTTATTATTAGCATAGATATCTAGGTTGTCTTCTGCAGCTGCTCTATGTCACATGCTGGCCATCTTCACCCCCTCTTAATGCCAATAGCGCCCTAACATCAGATACGTACTGCAGCCCTTCTAGGAATGGGACTAGGTGTAATAAGTCGTTATCTGTCGGATCACTAATCCACCCCTGAATGGGTATGGCATTATCTATGGCCTATTAGCAAACTACAGCGAAATTACCGGGAACCAACACCATACCTTGATGAAACATGTAGCTTAGGGGACTGTTATCCAGGATCATAACTTTACTGAGGTCTGGCTCAATCGAGCTGAGATCCTTGATAAATGCCCCATGCCTAAACGTACAGTGTTGTCTATAGTAACGTCCCGAAAAGAACTTCCGTTCTGATTCAAGCCAGTCGATGACCGGATCCGCGTACTCCTGTACGGATGCCGTGAAGACAACCAAGTTGAACCACTTGCAAACCTACGCCACCAAAGTTAGTCGGGAACATAGGCCTACGTGACATGGCTTGGTCTTGATTTGCCTCACCTTTCTCAGAAACTCGTCACAATACGGCCTTTTATGAACATAATACAAAATTGGATGCTGAGGTCCTAGCATCTGCTGGCCGCTACTTCCCGTATATGCTGTATTAAGCCGCACTTCAACCATGTGGCCGGAGCCCATCCTACCCCCCTTGGACATGCTGTGGATCAGTGTTTCATCAAGGTCCAAAATCAGAGTTTTAAGTTGTTTGGAATCCTGTGGTTCGAAAGGAACGTACGACGGCTGTCGTCTCGGTATCAGAGGGCGTGGAGGAGCCGGCGTCTTGGGATACTTTGTTAAAGCACCTTGAGGAGAAGTAGGAGACTTGAGGTGAGCCGAGAGTTCTTCTGTCGCACTGCCACCTTGGGGAGGGTTGGTGGTGTTCGTCGACTGGGCTTTTCGGTGTTTCCTATGGCGTATGGCATCATCATTGTGAAGCTTGATCCGAATCGACCTCCTCGACGGCGCAATTTCTTCGGTTGGTTGTAGCGACTTTGATCTTGTATGAAGACGGTTACCCTCAGCCCTACTACTCACATCAGATTCCGACTCGGAAGAGATGCCTGAAGAAGATGACCCAGATGAAGCCGTACGCCGTGATGCACCAAGTCCACGTCGACTTCTCGCGCTCTGACCACCAGGCTGAAGCGCCGTCGCTTTCTCATTACGAACGACGTCCTCCTGGTAATCGGCAGCAAGTTTGCGCACGTTTCCACCATAAGAACCAAATAAATTCCTAAGCTGATGCAGTGGAGCGAAATTTCCATTGGCATCGTATAAACAAGCAATCAGATACACCCCGGGAGCTGCGATTGTAGACAGAACCCAACGTATTGAGTCGATAAACCCGCTTGCTATGCGCGCAGGGTAATGATACCAAGCACGGGCTCCAACCTCTTTCTCTCTCATATCTCTCTTCTCCAGCAAAGGCGAGGTCTCGTTAGCGCCTTCTGAAAAGGCATTCCTGGCATCTTTTTCAGATGCATGCTCGTCTAGAGGATCGTCTACCGTTACGTCTTTGTCTCTGGCTTCAGTGTCATCTGAAGAAACGACGCCTTCGCTAGAAGGTGCAACAGCCAAGCCAATGTGGCTAAGTGAATTGGTTCGCGAGGGGGCAGGGCTTGATGTAGGAGAGACTCGCGCAGATATGATGTTCAAGGAGTTCATCTTCTGGTCGATCGGTAATCCATCAAGACTCGTTCGGGATCCGCCAAGCGAGAGCAAAACGAGACTCGAGAATGAGAGAGGTGAGAATTGGGATGCAGTAGCGAGGCGAGCAGGCGAGCAGGCGGACGGAGAGGATGTGAGAGGAGTGACGTATCAAGCCAAACCAACTGTCCGCGGCCAAAGGCTTGGAGTGGGAGGGGTTGGGAACTGAGGATGATACGTGATGCTGCGACGTTAGCGGAGTCGAGAAAGACGAATTCCGGGTTCGCAGGTCGTTCGCTGTCTCGTGCGTCCGTTCGTTCGGTCGCTCGGTGCAAGCCAGTTCTTGCGGCGCGGTGCTTTTGGATTGAATGGGTCGAAACACAGAGAGCGGAAAAAAGCGAACGGAAAGTACTCTCAATAGATCACCAGTGGCAGCTCTTTACGACATTAGCTTTGCTACCGAGGAATGGGCATGCTCTATCCTCTGTTGTAAGCGCTAATCAATCAATGAGGTGAAAGCAGAATATTTGATACGACGTCGCAACACTTCGGGTATTCCGAGATGGCTGTTACCAGGTAAATCCAGGTCGGCAGGTTGAAGCCAGTGAGCCGATGAGGACTGCCTTTAGCGCAAGTGACCGCTGACAGGCTGTGCCTGAGGGACCTATCTACAGTAGGTACCTAGGCACCTATCTCAATTCAGGAGGGATTAGGGAAGCCATTCACCAAATGGGAAAAGAAGTACAAGGCACGCACAGAAGACGGGCAGAGGAGAGTACTTAAAAGGTACTTAGGAGCCTACCACCAATACCCAACCTAACTCCGTAGCGGACTGTAGGTACAATGTATGTATGTAGGTACATGTTTCTTCAGACAAGTAGCCCGAGGTAGCCTAAGGTACCTGCGAGCACTGATCGTTGTACTAGAAATCCAAAACTTTGGGTAGGTAGATTTTGAGTCATTGCGCAACGCAGTGCAAGACGTTGACCACGAACCGTCGTTTTTGCAATCGCGCACCCGCCTCAATCGCTTTCTCCAACAGATTCTGCGCCGTTTCGTTCTTCTTTAGTTCTCCCCGCGCAACGTACGCGCTTGAAGCCCTGGGCCTTGAGGTTTTCTGAAATCTGCCCTCCTGTTTCGCGCAAGCCTAAGAGCTACCCCTCCAAAGCCATCTCGCACTCATAGCCATCAATCACCCTTATCCCCACAGCTCCTGTGAGTAGACATCACAGGGAGAATGTCCACCCAGAGAGGGGGCTATACTCCTAGCCTCGAGAAGTTTCTCGATGGCTTGAAAAGTCGACCGGTTCAAGCTTCCGTCGAGCTGCTTGTCTCGTAAGTCATGTATATCCCTTGAGTGCCACATCATTCTCGGCTTGGCCTTATATACTGTTGAGAATACACGGTTTGGCTAAAGTGTCTTTAGTCTTCTAAAAAGACGACAAATCAAAGGGTCCGAGGCTTGTGCCACTGCTACCGCCCACATACTGCTGCAAATTGTCGCACGGGACAAATGGATCAACGTCGACCAGCTCCTCGGCCGTATTCAGCTAATTGGCAGGAAGCTTGTTGCCGCACAGCCCCATGAGCTCGCCACTGGCAACATCGTAAGGAGAGTCCTCGGCCTGATTCGTGATGAGGCCTCTGAAGACCGGAATGACGCTACTACCGACTCACCTCGACCGGCTTCACCTCCGTTACCAGTCCCGAGCCAGGCGAGCTCCCCTCAGAAGCCCGTACGCCCTCCTCCTCTCGCCACAATTGGGTCGTTTGCTCGGACCCAGTCTATGTTTAATCTCCTTTCCGATCCCAATGTCTTCCCATCAACGGGGTCGAACGCATCAACACCTGGTCAGGTTTCAGGCGCCTCAACCCCGATCTTGAATCCTCAGGCAACTAATGTATCTGCTCTACGCTCCGAAGTGATTGATGGAATTCAGGAGATTATGGATGAGATTAAGATGGTCGATGAACAAGTCCAAACCTATGCCGATATCTTCATTCATACCGGCGACTATATCCTGGTGTATCAACCATCAAGAACGGTCCAAAAGTTCTTAGCACGAGCCGCTTCAAAGCGAAAGTTCACAGTATTTCTGGTGGTGGATCCGTCTTTGGCCACAGATGCGGATAACCAGTATGCTTCATTGCTTAAATCCATGGCATCAAGTGGTTCGAACGTCATTACTATCCTAAATGCTGGCCTCATGGCATATATGTCGAGAGTCGATAAGGTCATCCTAGGAGCACGAGCGATAACCGCCCAGGGTGGTGTTGTTGTGGATGCAGGTGCCGCAGCTATTGCACGAGCCGCACGAGAGCGCCGAAGGTCCGTCATTGTTCTTGGTGGCGTGTATAAACTAAGTCCCGAGTGCAAACTCCTACCAGAGAGTCAAATTGAATGGGGGGACCCATCCAAATATGTCAGTTTTGCAGACGGATCTCTGGTATCGCACGTCAAAGTAAAGAGCGCTGTTTCCGAGTTCCTCCCCGCCGACCACGTCGATACTTATATCACAAACCTGTAAGTTCTCTTGTCTCATCAAGCGCAAAGATTTCAAGGCTAAAGTCTGGTGGCAGGGGCGCACATGCACAAGAAAACCTGCACACAATTATCACGGATCACTATAAGGAGGAGGATATCAAATTCGAACTATATGGAAAGGCGCAACGGTGAGGAAACGGGCAAAGGTGAAGAAAAATGTCATTTATGCGATGCGTTCTGTAGCGATAGTACAGGCTCAATACTGCTGGGCTAACCCTCCTAAACGAGGGGCTCAACAAGGCTAGTAGAAGCCCTTCTCGAGAGCGGCACTGTCTGGTGACTCAAAGAACATCTACACAAAGACATGTGCCGGTAACCCAACTACAGCGGCCGCGTCACCCTACAGGGCTCCCAGTCGCATTCGCGAAGTAGTAGGCGAGGTAGGTAAGCTTGCGCAATAAGTTTTAAGCTTGGTTGGGCTCAGCTGCGCGACCCTGCCCGATCAATCGGAGTCCTCCACCGGATCTTGGCCACTAAGCAGACGCTTTACGAGCCGGGGTCAGATCGTAGGCAGCAATATATCAGGCTTCGCCAGCGAGTGAAGCCCCCACGCATGTCGCCAGTTTCCTTTAGATAAAGACCAGGCAGGGGAGACAACATCTTCTCTCGAGTCAAGCCTAGATCAACTGCAATAATCAAATAATAAGCTTTCCAAATCCATCCTTTAGTCAGAGATTTTGCTCTTATGTATAATTGATCATCTACATAATATTTACGTCTACCGGCTCACTGTGTCTTCTCAGGACCGTGGCGTATACCGCTTGCTATTGGCGGTCTCCCTCATAACCATTACTGTATATCGATTCTGGTATTTCAACCGTATTGGACTCGCTACCCATGGAGCCTCACGATGGTCTATATGGTCCTCCACCACCTTATTCGGAAACGGATATCCATCGTCATGCACATGGCTCGCGCAATGGCCATCTGAGCGGTGCCGACGACGATGCATCGATTGCACCCTCCTCGTCCCACAGCAATATTATTGACACCCCGCCAGAGTCGCCTCATGATGCCCATTTTAGCTTCGCTGGTCCCAACGATGATCACCGTTTAACCAGTTCAGCTCAGGACTATTTTGACTCACGTCCCCCGCGTCGGTTGTCGCATGAGCCAAATCTCAGTGTCGTGGTGGAAATTACGCTAGATGCTACGCCGGCTGATTTCCCATACCCTAACTGGGCTCCTGATCGTGATGTATCAGAGCAGGATTGGCAGACATTTATCAACTATCTCCTCCCGGGACATGCAGCAAGGGCAAATTCTCACATTATAGACCGCAAAATACGCGTCGCCAGTGATGCCCAATCCTCCGCTAGTGAAGCCATTACGAGAGCACAGCTCACACCACTCAAGTCTTCAACAAGCGCGTCTACCAGTACTCACGACTTCGATGCAACGCTTCGCGAATGGAATAATGGTTTCTTTGAGCCGCGGGGTGTGACAGTACGCTGTACACCCCTTACCGAACCCGCCGCGGAACCAGGCATACGGAGGGCGAATCCAGCTGATCCAGAGCATAGCGAAGATCAATCTCAGCAGTCGAGAAGCTGGTGGAGAAACCCATTTGCTTTCATCAATGATAATAACGGGAGTCTTCGTCTTGGACCTCTGCACATCGAGGGTGATCGTGTAGCGGTAGGCTCTAGTTTCGAAGCTGATAGCAATGGGGTCCGTTGGCAAGGGCAATCTAATGGCGCTCCATTATTCGAAGCTTCTTCTAGAGGCGTTCGTTGGAGTGGACAACCTAGTCCTAGCATAGGACATCCATTTGCTCACCAGTATGGTCCGTGGGCCGGGCCTTTCGGTGGCGGGCGCGGACGTGGTCGTGATCATGGGCATGAGCCCAGACGGAGAAATCACTCCCGCAGCTCAACTAGTTCATCGAGCTCATCTCAATCTACGGACTCTGACTCTTCTATCGGCAGTCTCCCTAGTTGGGATGATCTGAAGGACGTGCAATTGCCAGTAACGAAGCAGTCGATCCACGCGTGGTTATCGCACCCAGACCAACCTGTCACCAAGGACATGGTCAAGCAAGCCGAGATAGAAATCGAGGCTGCGAAGAACTTCTCAACCCCGCCGCACGACCCATCATGGGACAAGGCGAGGGAAAACCTGCGTCGTGAAGTCAAGGACCTGCTCCAGCAGTTTAAAGTCCTCAAAAAACAACAGAAGGCATCAAAGAAAAAGGCACGCAAGGAGCATCGCCAGCAGAAGCGGGCCCTGAAACAAGAGCGACGTGAAAGAAAGCATACCGAAAGGCACGAGCGTCGCGCTCATGAACATGAGAGCCGTCGCTCGGAGCGCGCAACACGCCGTGCGGAGCGGGATGCAGAGCGAAATGCGCGCCGGTTTCGCCATCATCGTACTGCACCAGGGCCCTCTGTTCCTCACCCTGCAGCACCTCCTTCATTCCCCCCATTTCCCGGGGGATTCGGAGCGCTATTCGGTCGAGGTTCTTTCGGACAAGGGCCTCCCCATGCATCAGTGTCTGGGTTTCATCGAGGCTTTGATGGTCGCGGTCGCGGCCGCGGCCGCGGCCATGGCCCAGGTCGAGACGCATCCTACAACGTCGCCGAACAAGCGAACCACGCCGCCGGGAAAGACCTTGAGAGTACATTGGCCCAGGCGGAAAGGGTCCGAGAAAATGCCTTAGCCCTCGCTACGGAGCAACAACGGGCCGCACGAGCCATGGCAGCGGAGGAGAGCCGACGGGCAGTGGAGGAGAGTCGACGTGCGGTGACCGCGGCCGTGTCGCGCGCCGCAGCCGACACCAAGCTCGCCCAGGCCTGTGTTCTGGAAGGACAGCTTTCCGCGAAAACTGCACAGATACAGGCTCTTGAAATTCGTATTGCCGATGCTGATAAGTGGGGACATGGGGAGAAGAAAATGAGCGTGGATGCCCGCGCCCACGATCTTCAGGCTGTGGAGAGGCTGGAGGAAGAGATGGCGCTCCTTGCTCGAAAAGTCGAAACCTTAAGATTCGAGGCTGACGAGGAGTTGGCAAGAGGGCTTGCGGATGGAGATGAAAATTGGGCAGGATATCGATAGGAGTCAGGTTTCAGGGTGTATTATGTAGTGTGCATGGGATAGGTTTTCTCAAGGACGATGTGTATCTCTATCTACTAATTTCGTATTGCTATATATACCATGGATTTGTTGATATGATACCTCTATTTATTTATCTGTGCTAAACCTCAAAATCTATGTATATGGACAAAACCCAGGAATTCTAGCTGTCAAGATATAATTCTGTTGTCCTTTTAGTCTTTCTGTTTTTGTTTTTTTTTCCTCCTTGATGTGCTTCCCTTCCTTTTCCTCTTCGTGATCTACAGGTTTGCATCACTATATCATATACTTGAACTCTTCACATCCTATCATCTCTTGATTGGCGAACCCATCCATGTTGATGACATTGAACTTCTGCTTGGCGTTACAGCTTCGACCCCACAGAGATGAGAAATACAGATATGCCTTGTCGCTGCTCATCCTAAGAGGAGGCCTCTCTTGCTGCCATCATTACTGTCCTCTAACTCCAAGTAATCTGTTCTCTCGATAGACTCGTTTATCCCATATCTTTTCGTATCTCAGCTATCCTTCATACATGTTTTCTGAATACGAGTGGGCTTCCTTGAAGACAAGCAAGACTTGCTCTACGAGTGCTTGCTCTCGTCTTTTTCAACAAGACCCTGAACGCCGAGACCTCGTCCCACCTTGACCTTTTTCAGGTCTTTTTCTCGCACAGGGAGGGCCTTACTGCCAGCCTCACCGACGGGCTCACCCTCGTCAGCATCTTCGGCGGCAGCGGCGTCGCGAATCTGCTCCCGAATGGAAGATAGGTCGAGGCGCATGCTGAAGGCATCCTCGCCATCGGCGTAATACGAAGATTCCGTCTTATCCTGGTCGAAGCCAAGTGTCTTTGTATAGAGGTGAATGGCGGCTTTATTGGACACGCGCACGTGAAGAGAGACGTACTGTGCGCCGAATGTTTCGACCATAGCTAGCTCTGGAACAACCGAATCTGATTAGCGAAAGCGCATACGAATTGTACGAGGCCACTGAAACTACTCGGGACTGAAAGCACAGAGAGTAGCGATGACAATGAAATCGAGCTAAGGCGAGGGAGCCGAGAGGAACGGGGACATACGGCTCTGGCGCATGAGCTTCTCGGCAATTCCTAGGCGACGATGTGTGCGCATAACTGACAACGAGGTGATGTGACCATGTTGGATGCCGTCAGTGGGCTCCTCCTCCATCTTGGCCAGAACATAGCCCACGATCTTAGGGTAGTCGTATGGTGTCTTCTTGGGCCGCGAGACATCGACGGCAACGTAGCTTAGCTGGGGCCAGGAAAGCGCATGGTATAGGTAGTACTTCATGAAGTAGTTCTCGGGCAGGTTTTCGAGGTTCGCATGCTGGATTAGCGGGATGTCGCTCGGCTCGAGGCGACGAATGTCCATGGTTATGAAATTTGGATTCCGGGCAGATGCGGGTATATAGGAGCCGTAGCTACCTAGGTATCTATCTATGTGATGTGACGAAGTGCCTATCCTAGGTTCGTTCAGTCTCGTGTCCTTACCCACGTCGTCGTCGTCGTCGTCGTCGTTTGCACTTGTGTTGTCTCGGGTAGACCTATTCGAATCGGGCTAGCATGGGCGTTGGCTCGTGTGTTCTGTTTTACACCATCTACCATAAACTCCCAGGTAAACTCGAGCTAGAGCGACTGCAGTTTCTCGGAGCTCGGGAGCAGCACGGACTTCTGTTTGTCTAACAGTGTCCAAGCTCTGGTCAATGGGTCGGCGCTGTGACAATTGTGCGTACAGTAATTTAAGTTTGGATACCGAAGTGGGATGTTGCCATGTTGGTGAAAGTCTGAGTGTTACTTATGCTCAGTTGCGCACTGTACCAGTACCTTCAAGTACTACCTATATGTACTTGTTCACATGGTGCACGTTGATTATTCCCTACCGCCGAATTCTAAATACGGTTAGGCTATGACCTTTTCCTACAGCATAGGTATGTACATACTCTGTACATACCTAGCCTTGGTAGGATAGTGCGCTGTAGGGCTCAATGCCCACTGCCAGCGCGGGGCACTCTTCAACGTATTTCCAGTGCCCCTCTCGAGCTCATCAGCAGCTCTAGGTACCTAGGTAGGTACATATAGGTACTAATATGCTTTTCACGATCCATTACTGGTCGCAAGGTAACGATTTGATAGATGCAGCAGGCCTCGCTCAAGTATAACTGTATTGCTCAAACTGAAAATTAGGCAAGTCGCTGCTATAGACATTACTTAGATGCTGGCCACCTAGGTAGGTAGCGAGGACGCCGCGTCAGGTGGTATACAGGGCAGGTTGCATGCGCTAATGGTGGCATATTGCTGGGCTCAAAGTTGCTATCACCCGATACCGGCTCTTGAATACGTTTCCATGTCTGAAGGTTCTAACTGCTGTTTACATAGGTATTCATCTCTTCTGGTGACGGACTCTCGTATATGTTGACATTATTAAGAAAGTCATGGTGGAATAATATATCAATAATGTACGGGAACTGGCGTGTTTGGCACTTGGAAATAATGTAAGTTACCTAGCACGAAGGTGCGAGTGTGTGGCATAGACGTATTGCTAAATCGGGCTAGTTGGTACATGGCATACTGAGTAAGGGTAACCTCCATCGCCTCAGTAGTACAATTTCACATTCGACAGAGAAGGGGTGAAGGTAAGAAATTCCAGGTTAACTTTCTCTTACTCCCAATTCCAGAAGGTCAATAAGACTACTATCTAGTAGAAGCGAACATATTATCGTTAATACATACACGAACACATAGTATCAAAGGAAGGGAAGAGAGGCGCCACACAGAAGTGGCCTTAGAAGCGTTGGCCAAGCAAACTCTTCTCGGTCAAAAGACTTGTTTGGAGACCGTATCATGGACTCCTCGGATGATCCCTTTGATGACCTCCTGAACCTAGAGGAGAAATACTATCGGGATGGGTACGAAGAGGGACTGGAAGATGGTGTTGAGGCCGGCAGGATAGAAGGATACTCCCTCGGCCTGAGAAAAGGCTTTGAGAAGTTCGCCGAGGCTGGCCGTCTGCAGAGCAAGGCCATAGTCTGGGCGAACCGGATACCAAAGTACCAGCAGAGGCGACAGCGTCAACAAGACAGCACTTCAGAACAACAGGGCCTGGCTGAAAATGCTGAAAATAAGGGAAAGGAAAGTGAGATATCTGAAAGTGGCGCTAGACGGCTACCGCCTGTTCAATCCAACTCACGCCTAGAAAAGAATATCGAGATGCTCTATGGCCTTGTAGAGCCTGGGACCCTGTCTACCAATAATGATGACGAGTCGGTTAATGATTTCGATAGCCGAGTGAAGGGTGCCCATGGAAAGCGAAGGATCATTGAGCGCGTCATAAGAGAAGGGACAAATGGCCGGCATCCCACTGCGTTTTCGCCTCCTTCGCTGAAGAATGACAACATTGAAGACATTGGCAAAATACAATCTACTCCTGAGGCGAAGTCGACAACAACCTAGCAGTTCGGATTCCAATAAGTCAACTGCTACAAAATCGGGCGAGTTATAGAATAGCTAGCGATCCCTTTAAGGCTAATAGCCTAACCTCATAATAGCACCCAGAGCCGGAAATTACACAACATTGAACTCACCCTCACTACCTGGAGGACTCGTAGAAGATCTGATCATGTCAATAGATGCAAAGCTCGAGTTGCCTAGGGAATCTAAGGTACAAAAATCCTCATATGTACACACGTAATCCTATCCGTTCTTCCTACATACCTAACTCTCTATTGGAAAGTTCGGCACGGGTAACTATAAGTTAAAATGTCAGTACGTCATTATTCAGATTACACAGTCGCCTAATTCCCCACGTTATGACAGCGGAGACTTACTCTTCGGGATATGAATTCTCCTCCGTCAAGCCATACTTATATGCCTCCCACTTCCCATCGGTCTTCTTGCGCTCGCCGCTCGGTAGGGGCGGCAGTCCGTTGACTAGGAGGTCCTCGGCGGCAACGGCAGTTGTGTTCTTCTCGAAGTACGCAGCGAGCCCGCCGGACTGACCTTCCTCTGCCACAGCGACGAGCTGCTTTGCACCAGCGTCGCCGATCAACTCCCGCTTCGGCGCAGCCGCGCTACCAACACTCAGGAGCGCCACGGCATCTGCCTGGTTCACGACGCTCAGCTTAGGGTAGGACCGTCGGCCGTCTCGCTTCCAATATGGGTTATCGGCGATGTCACCCGCCGGAAGTGTCACGGGGTCATCATAGATGAGCGGGTCGAGAGCGCCTGGTGTCGGGTTCCGGAAATATGGGTTTAGAGGCACGCCGGACGAGCGATTAGGGTCGACAGCAAAGACACGGCGTACGCGATCCCAAAAACCAGTTGATTCAAGGGTTTGTTTCTAATATTATCAATTGGTGTGTTAGTGAGCTGCCCATGGCTATCAGAAGAGACATGTGAAGACTCGAGAAGGCTGAGGCCTTTCCCTAGCTTGTTATCTGGCAGAGTAGATGCGGATCGGGGTGGTTGCCGGTAGAAGCCATTGGCGGCGATCCTTGGCGGAGAAAAGGCATAAACACACCTGACTGAGTGGCACAACCCCCTTTGCAACTTTCGCTACCGCTTTTGAAGCCATGGTGGCTGTGTGAGAATGGGATACTGCCGTTGGGAATGTCGTTGATGTAGTTGGATGAGGTTGGCCGAGCTGCTAGCCCCCCCCCCGGCCGGCTCCGGTTGATTTCCCGAAGTATTGCCGCACTGTACAGGAGACGAAGCAGCATCACCATCGATACTTCATTAGAGCAATCTTACCATGACTACATTTACATACCGAAAGTATATTGGAGCGGGTTGATTTCCAAGACGATGCCTTCATCCGCACAGCCTCCTCCTGAAATCCAATCTCAATCGCTCACCTCTCTCACGTAGTGAAGCGGGCCGATGAATCAGGAAATAGCCTGGTAAACGTGTTGGAAAGCGGCATATAGTTCTAGTTTTGGCGCATAAATGCAAACGACCTTGAACACTGTACATTACCATCAAGACCCTCGCAATATACACTGCTGGATCTTAGTATTATTATTGTTTTCAGCGGCGTCAGCGGATTAGCAAAGTGAACTGAAGTGTATCATTTGCGCTTGTCATACTTCTGTCTATTGATATACAGGATTTTGTCTACACGAAAGGCGCGATATCTATTCCATCATTGAGGGCTCCCTTATTCGGCGTCACTGAACTCCTTGCGACCCTCCTTAGAGTTCAGATAATGATTTCTAGGAGAGGGTTAGTCTAATGATTCACTGTGCGGAACATCTATAAATCTGTATATGTTATACGGATTGATATGTTCGTGATCCCATACCTCTCGGTAGCCCAGGACATGGCGTAGTAGAAAGCGATGAAGGGGGGTGCAACGTATAGCACCTGCTTGCTGAATCGGCGCCAAGTGTTGAAGACGGCATCATGGGCAGCGCCGGCGATTGGGTTCTGCCTGTTCGGGCTCATAGTATATGTGATGATACCTTTCTGCTTGTAACCCCCTAAATATCCAACGTGTCAGTTTGATGAGACATACGCTACATGGCAGGGTCTCGCAAGGTCTTGCTTCGTATCCGTCGTGAACAGTTCCTCCAATCCGGTTTAAATCATCATTGCTCCCGGCTCCTCCTCGCCCGATAGCCCAGCAATTGTGTCCGTGCATTGATTGATCTCGAGGTATAGTGTCGTGTAGAGATAATAGTAGAATTTACTGACCAAAGTTTCCCCAGCTGCCGAGGTATCTATGGCGAAATTGTCAGCACACAATGATTGCCGTAGCAGAAGGTAGGATGACTTCAGCGCATGGCGAGAAAAGCCGCACGAAGTCCAGGTGCACATACTTGTCATGGCGGCCAAGAGGAGCATCGCCGCCGCCACCTCGTAGAGCTTGAGTAGGACGCATTGTAGAAGTCGGGGTGCAATTGACGGGGATGTGGTGTCAATCAGGAGGATAGGATTAGCTGAGTAGTTCGGGATGCAATGGAGGACCGGAAGTGAGGCTCGGTTGAACTCGAAATTGAAGATGCGGCCGGGCCCATCCAGCGCCTGGCCGAAAGGAGTTAGTACCGCGACAACTCAACAGCTCAGTGACCCGCCTAAAAGTTAACCCGTCATAGGTGGGCACAGAACTGGAGAGCACCATTGGTTGTCCCAGCTCCACGCCTCTACCTAGGTACATACATACCTATGTATATACGTAGTAGTAGGTACATAGATGTATGTGCATGTAAGTACCAGGACATACCTATTACGGAGTAGCTTAGTTGATTTCTTCTACCCAGCTTAGTGCGGGACCACGATACTTGGTTAAGTTCCCAAGGTAAGATATCTGCCGACCACAGCAGCTACAGTTCGATATTCTCAGCTACAACAACTGCTAACGTTCAACTTCTACCCAAGCGCAAATCGCTAGCCTTGCCTGTCGCCGATTAAACACTTCCTAAGGCCGAGGCAGACCAAACACTTAAGGAGATCTCAACGTTTTAAGCTGCGCCGTGAAAACCCGCCAACGATGGACCCAGTAATTAGATCAATGTCGCGGCTCGCCATTCCCGCTATCTTTGGTGCAGCCGTTATACAGTCAAGCATCTACGATGTCCGGGGTGGAACTAGAGCTGTCATTTTCGATCGACTGCAGGGTGTAAAGGAGGGTGTAGTCAACGAGGGCACACATTTCTTGATACCATGGTTGCAACGTAGCATCCTCTTCGACGTCCGGACGAAGCCCAGGAACATCGCCACTACGACTGGTAGCAAGGATCTGCAAATGGTCAGCTTGACGCTGAGAGTCTTGCACAGGCCAGAGGTCAAGGCCTTGCCTAAGATCTATCAGGTATGTATTTGTTCCTGCAGTTCCGCATTGGCCACTTGAGATCGAGGGTCAAGGTGAAAGTTAGCGACCGTTGTCATGGAAGTGTCGGGACCCGAACGACGGAGCAGCACTGTCAACTCCTTTTGAAGCATCAAAGCCATAACTAACCTATTACACAGAGCCTTGGTACCGATTATGACGAGCGTGTACTCCCCTCCATCGGCAACGAAGTCCTCAAGTCAATCGTTGCGCAATTCGATGCCGCAGAGTTAATTACTCAACGAGAGGCAGTATCACAGCGCATCCAGACAGATCTGAAGAAGCGTGCTGCGGAATTCAATATCGCTTTAGAGGATGTGTCCATCACCCACATGACTTTCGGCAAGGAATTCACCAAGGCTGTTGAACAGAAGCAGATTGCACAGCAGGACGCCGAGCGTGCCCGCTTCATTGTTGAGAAGGCTGAGCAGGAACGCCAAGCTAACGTTATTCGTGCGGAAGGTGAGGCCGAATCGGCCGACACCATCTCCCGTGCCATCGCTCGCCATGGTGATGGCCTCATTCAGATCCGGAAAATTGAAGCCTCTCGCGAGATTGCACAGACCCTTGCCACAAATCCTAATGTCTCCTATCTCCCTAGTGGCAGCAAGCAGGGAGGTAGTGGAAGCAACTTCTTGCTTTCCGTCGGAAGAGCGTAGGCTTGAAGCAAACCGTAAAAATAATGGTGTTACGTGTTCAGGGATAGGTGCGAGAACGCAAGCATTACACCCCGAGAGGCAGAGCCTCTTATGTATATTAATAAGGTACTACCCGATTCTCCACTCGGGATCACGATTAATATGTGTTACTATCGCGCAAAGACCATTATATCAATCCTTTGTGTATGCCACATATGCTCACGTTCATCAAATGTTTTTTTATTTGCTACGATCTGACGTTCAACCCGATCATTTATTCTTGACGGCGTAAGAGCGATCATCGGTGTTCTCTGATGAGCCGCATCCGGCGACATAGCACCCGTAGATCATGTTGGCAGAGCCTTAGGGGCCAGTAAACGAAAGCATGCGAATATGGTCTTAGACTCGAGCGCTGTGAAAATCAAAGCATGGGCTTGTCACCAGCCCTGCTCGTGAGGAGTCTGATTCTCAGTGATCCCTCAAAGCTCGTCCACTCATGCCCTGATATGCACGACCATCCCTTATACAGCTTTAAATGTGAGAGTGATCCCTATTTTAAATGGAAGTCTCGGTGTCAATGATTGCGAGACTTCTTTACCTGAGCACCTCCCACGACGGTCCAGACCTCACTAGGGGCTTGTAACTCTCCGTTAGTGTCCACAGTCCAACCCGCCAACCGCATAGATTTCCATTCGTCCCGAATCTTAAGCCGGACTAAGTCACCTGCCGCCTGTGCATCTTCAGCACTATCATGGCCTTCTGGAGAACCTTCGCCGGAATCAACCTGGATTTTTCGGCCAAGCTTCGCCTCCATAAGATGTTTGAGACCATGGCGCATGGGTAAACCATTTTTGTGTGGATACAAAAGTACTGTGTCGATGCAACTTGGATGGATAATGCGTGCAGCATTCAGATCGTTCTCGAGGCCGTGGCCAATCAGTGGCGTTTCTGCACTTATAACTGTAAAAAGTATATCTCGAGCGACTCGAGGTGAGGCGGCGATCTTCAATCGACGCTGAGGCGTCTGGCTAGGGTCCTGCGCTGGGAGTATTGTCGGTTGGTGGTTGGTACCAACTTCACATCGTTCGGCTAAAGCCATATCCTCTGGTCGCACACCGGAAAATCGAGTATTGAGGTCCAAGACCTCGCCTACTGGACGAACTAGGATGTCGAGGAGGGTACCGCCAGCCGGCCAAGACACGACAGTCAATCGAATGAGCTCTAACCCGTAAACGGTATATGCCATCTCACAGTCAAAGGACACGGCACGCTCCCTGGGTATTTTAGTATTGGTCGGAGTAGGAACAAAGTTGAGCACGGCACCAAGTCTCTTGGGGTCAGTTGTCTTGAAAACATGATGCTGAGCCGTCGTACAACCGCCTGCCTCATCATCGTAATTTCTCTGACAACACCTGAACCTCCGTTGAGCCTTCGAGCGGTCACCTGGTGCTCGCTCGAGATAATATGGTTTGCCTGGGTGATAGGTACAGCTCCCGTTAGATGCTAGAGCGCCGTCTAGTTCCCGACGACCAGGAAAAACTTGGAATCTTCTTGTACACCGATCGCAAGTTTCAGTGTTGCCGCAGGCCTCAACGGCCGCCTGGGCAGCCGCAATATCATCTTGGGATGGGACCTTGGAAATGTAACCATATCGTTCGAGCGGAGCTAGATCAAGCACCAGTCGAGATAGAAATTGAAACTCTTGCGATGACGTGAGACCAGTTTCAATTGATTCTACCACTGCTGGCGTGGCTGAGTTCGAGTCATTGGAATTATCACTCTGGAATATCTTTGATCTCTCATCTTTCCACTGAGCAAGGGACATCTTCTTGTAGGTCAAAATTCTATTCCGTATTGAAGTGGCGTAGATAGAAGTCTTTTTAGTAGCTATTTCTTGCTCCTCGTCTAACGTCTTGACGATGAGTTCCTGATCAGACATCAGCCACTCCTTCTCCGTCCCTTTAGCTGTTTTCTTTAATTCATTATTGAGCCGCTGGAATTCCTTATGCAGGGCCTTCACCAACGCCACTCGGGTGGCATGACTTGTTGGGGCTTTCTTTAAGAGGCGAGGGTTAAGTGATTCGGGCACCTTGCCGATTGGCTTTGACCGAGCATCAGAAGCCAAGCCGGGCGAGCTAGCAGGCGCTACAGAGACAGTAGCCATCGACTCCTGAGTTTTGGTCTGGCGGTCAGCTGTGTTTTCGTTTGTTTCAGTTGAAGATGGAGCCACACGCCTCGGGGCAGAAGGGGAACCGCTTGCGTGTACGGTTCCGGAGGTGCTAGCGGCCAACCCTCTTCTTTGTTCACCAAGCTGTGTCTTAGTAGAGCCTGCCGGGCCCGAGGACGATGAGGGCCGGGGCGAGACGTAAGCACTGTCTATGTCGAGCTTTACTCGCTTCCTTTGCAGTTCTGGTCTTGGGGTGTCGTTAGTGTCCTCATCCGGGTGTGGACGAGACGGAGCTGGCACTTTTGGCGTGCTTCTGTTCTGAAGGGAGTTCTTGTCTGTTGTTTTGTCACTGTCGCTTTGATCGCGAGTATGGCTGAAAAGGCATTGGAAAGCAGTACAACTATCGCCGGCAGGACAGGGCAGGCTTTTGAGAGCTGCCAATGTGTTCGCCATAGTGAATGGATGGCAAATATTATAAGGTGATGAGAGGAAGCAAATGAGGGGTGAATGGAAGACTGTCTCAAGGGGATGGCGACATTGGAGAGACCTGTCTGTGCCTCGTTCGAATATGGCTCGTTTGTTTCACCAAAAAAATGAGATGGCAGGCAGGCAGACAGGTTGGCAAGTAGCTGCTTATCACGCGGGAAGCATGTGCACAGGGATGGTTGATTGAATGTAGCTAATGTGGACGAACGAGGATGTCATGGATGAGTTGAAGGGGGGTATGGAATGCTTCTTAGAAGAAGAGCCTTGAGTGGCATAGAGTAGGTAGTGAGACGAAGTCCCAGTTGATTGAGCGGAAGCCAAGAGTGAATGAGTGATGTCGTCACCAGATGGACAGACTCTGTATTACCCTGTTAACATTGTTAGAAATTGGAGGAGGATAGCACTCAAGGCTTTGATAGGTAACTCTCCGCGCAAGACTGATGCAGGAACAGCCTTATATTACTTAAAGTACACTGCATCTACGAGGAGGCAGGGTTGTGAAATTAGTAAGTAAGTTTAGTATTTGCCAATACTAATACTTACTAAAGAATTTCCAGGAATTACTTACTAATACTAATTAGCCTTGAGTATTTACTTACTAATACTAATTATTCTTTAGTAATTCTTTAGTAATTCCTTAATAATTATTACTTACTAATAATATTTAAAAAAAAAAAAAAAAAAAAAAAACCCTTTATTATATATAATAATTCATTTAAAAGTATAATGAAATATATTACTTAAATAAATAATTATTTAATTATAATACATAATATTATATATAAAATATTAAATATATATTATTATTTTAATAAATAATTATTCTTTTAAGTAATATTTTTTATTTTTTTATTAAATAATATTTTTTAAACTAATATTTTTATAATGAATTAATAAGTAATTAGTAAGTAATTAATAATTACCTAGTTTAAATACTAATACTTACTAATACTAAGAATTCTTTAGTAATTATTTACTTATTAATTTCCAGTGCCTTGAATACTTTTACTTACTAATACTCAGCTAGTAAGTAAATACTAAGGAATTACTAATTCAGTACTTACTATTCTCACAACCCTGCGAGGAGGTAGAGTACCTGTGCACAGTATGCGCCGGCGCGTGCTTGCTATCTATCGCACAGTGTACGCTCTGGGTGGGCCTATACTACGTATATACCTATAATTCAAATGAATGGGAAATAAATACCTACGTAGGCAGGTAGGTACCTAGGTAGCTGCCCCTATATATGTATAGGTAGAGGAATGTAGGTACACTTACAGTAGTAGGTAGTCAAGGAAGTACGATGCAAGAAAACCCTTGAGCGAACATGATCCTAGTGACGCAACCTAACACTTGCCTGGACTCCTAAATATTGTATGAGAGGTGCTGTCTACCTTTTACCATTTCTGCTGCCTTTTATACTTACATAGTAGGTGCTCTCTTGGCTACTCTCTTGGCTTCTTATATCCGTACTAAGCCACATTCACATATCCTACTTACGTGATCAGGTCTTCTCAGCTGAGCCGGGCATACGGGCAGCTCACCTGTCCGCCGGAGTTAACGACTATCCCAGCTGATACAATACCTACCTACATACCCAGGGGCTTATTTATTACACCTACCAGAAACCTACCTACATGTACACTATAGACTACGAGCCTTTGGCATACGTCCTGATCGTCTCACATTCCTCCATTCTTTTAAAAAGATAGCATATAATATTGCAGTCTCCGTTTAAAGTCGCTAAATCAAGGCACAGTCCCTGGACTTGTTAGCCATGGAGTTTAATGGTGGAGGTATATCCGCAAACCATCTATGTGTTTTAGTTCATGGGGTATGCCGCCCACCTCCAATGCTGGAAGCGCTTGTGATTGCTAGATTATCTAACCCAGGACAGCTATGGGGAAACCCAAACCACATGAGCCAGGTTGCAAAGGCCCTACGAGCGGCTCATTCTGAAGATGAGCTGTACCTCCTTCTTGCGAAGCGGAATAGTGGCAATTTCACCTATGACGGCATCGAACTCGGTGGCGAAAGAGTTTGTGTTGAAATCGAAGAGGAAATCGAATCAATACGGAAGAGAGGTGGCAATATCACCAAATTGAGCATTGTTGGATATTCATTGGGTGGACTGGTTGCCCGTTATGCGATCGGTCTCTTATCTGCAAAGGGAGTCCTAGACCAAGTAGAACCAGTTGTATGCGCGGCGCTCACTAATTCCACTTAGTTGCTACGACTAACATAAAGGCATGTAGAACTTTACAACCTTTGCGACACCGCATCTGGGTGTACGAGCGGCTCTTCGAGGCTGGTACGACAAAATATGGAACAGACTAGGAGCTAGGATACTGTCAGAATCCGGGCGCCAACTCTTTATCGTCGACAGCTTCCGTGATACGGGCCGACCACTCCTCTCCATTCTCGCCGACCCCGACTCTATATTCATGACAGGTCTAAGGAGATTCAAGCGCCGGACATTGTATTCCAACGTGACCAACGACCGCACTGTCAATCACTATACTTCCATGATAACAAAAACGGACCCTTATGTCGATATGACTAAGGTCAAAGTCACCTATGTAAAAGGCTACGATGATGTAATCCTTGATCAAACGAACACGCTCGAACCTCTCCCACCAGCGAGCCCTAAATCAACAATGCACTCAGTGGCCACCGACGGCTTATCTTATATCAAGAATGGGCCATACATACTTGCGCTTTCTATTGTCCTGCCCATTGGCATTACAGCTTTTCTGCTCAACTCGGTTGTGCAAACAATACGAAGTTCCCGGCGCATCCAACTTCATGAAACTGGCAAAGCCGGGATACAGATTGAAAAATATCGAATGCCGCTCTGGATCAAAGAGTTCCAGGGTACAGTTGAAGACGTCTACGAAAATCTCAACAATTCACAGAAGCAGGAGTACCTCACATCTCCAGATGAGACAGACTCTGACAGCACGCTGAACACTGCAAGGATTGACATTCTTGATCTCGAGCGCAGAGGGTCTGAACCCCATACACCTACGCTCGCATTGGCCCCTTGTCAGTTCGATATGATTAAAGCCCTAGACAGTGCGGGCTGGCGTAAGTACCCAGTCTGGATTCACAAAGTACGACATAGTCACGCAGCTATAATTGTCCGTACAGATAAGCCGAGCTTCAGTGAAGGACTCATTGTGTTGAAACACTGGCTAAACGATGAATTTCTCATATAATTATATATATGTCCCTGGGTTGCATGTTATTGCTATATATATAGAAAGAGGCGTTAGGAAGGGACATTTCCAATTTTTAGATAGCAGTGCTCACACTACCTATAGAGCAAACTGAGCTAGACACTATATATAGAACGCTCTCGTCGAGCGGCCATAATCATAACATCTTATAGAGGCAGCATCCGAGAGGCTCATGGCAAATGAGGCGACATGAATTATCTAAGTGTGAATCTCATCCTCTTTGACAGCAGTAGGTACTCAGGACATGGGCATCACACTATGGACAGCTGCCGGGCAGCTGTCCATCTATACTATTTTTAGAGTGAAACTTTTCATAAGTATGACGAGGTAACAAAGTACCGGCCAGGTCATTTCCAAAAAAAAAAAAAAAAAAACATAACACAGAGGTCTTCAAGACCGCTTCACGGCGAATTGGAATGTTGATTCGGCGACTTGGCGCTCGGGTTCCCCGGGTCCTAGGACCTGCAACGGCTAGCAGGTCGACCTTTGTTACCCTTAGAGAAACCCCGAGTCTTCATAGCGGTGCCGCTCTTCGATATGGGTTGCCTAAAATTGAGAAGAGACAGCAATTGTCCAGGGTCTATTCCAACTTTGCACCTAGAGACTATTCTCGCTACGACGCATATGCTCAACCACCCAAATCGCGTGGTAGCAGATTAAAGGACATGGCCATCGGCTCCATCTTGACTATCATTGCGTACCTCGCATATAAATCCTACAGCCTGTGGGATGTTGTTAAGCATGCTAGAGAGGAAATTGATGTCGCCATAGAATTGGACGAAATTTACTCTCACTATGATCAGTTGTTAGACCAAGCTGAGGCGGCCGGCGATATGGAAAAGAGTCAGAGTCTCTTTAAAGAGCGCGCAATGGCTCTCGTACGCGCCATGCTTCGGAACCAGGAAGACCAGACTATCAATGACTTAGGCCCGCTACCTACGCTTCCTGAAGATTACGACGGCGGCCAATCTCATGGAGCGCAAATATTTGGGGGTGGCGACACATTAATGCTGATGCCGCAGTGCCCTCCACTGGATGAAGGAAATTCATTAAGCCCTCGCCACTTGGTTGCAGTTGCTATCAACGCCTTTGCTGAGGATATTGGCATTAATGACGATGCGATGGGGCTAGTCAACTACCGCACACCTAAAGTTCACGAAATCATCCGCCGCTCAAGATTCATGCTAGAAAAATTGCGTAAAGAGGGTACTATAGATGGGATGACATTAGTCACTGTATATCTATGGGATTTCGAGTTCATGTTTGTTTACGATGAAGGCATTATCATGTATCAGTAGTTGGAAATGAGTTTGGAGCACGACAACTCAATACTTGTGATTGTGAGTACTCTAAGCTGGATACCCTCTTATGGAAATCAACGGCAACGGAAGTTGAACTTACTTACATCCACTGAGTATGTTGGGGGGGGGGGGGGGGGGGGGGGGGTTAGTTTTGAATTATCCAGTAAAAAATAATTAGAGAAACAAGAAACAAAAACGAAAAAAGAATAAGACTTATGTAGTGATAAT